CTCGAGTCAAAACTGGATGAGGGCGGCAGACACTTCCTGCAGGTGTGTGTGGGGGGGAGTGCTGGGGGGGGAGTGTAAGAGGTTTAGGGTTTTACCCTTCACTTTAAGTCTTATCCACCCATCTGCCGTACACACGCTCCCACCTGGTGCCCCCATCCAGGTGGCCAACGAAGTGGGTTACGGAGCCGCCACCACCCGGGAGATGCTGGATGCCGTACGGATGGCGGAGGGTGACGTGGCGTACTTTGTGGAGCTGCACATTGAGCAAGGTTGGCCTCTCCAGGGGGTGGGGGTGGGGGTGAGCCCGGGTAGGAGGGAGGTCATGTGTATGGGGCGAGGGGTCAACTGGCTTGGGGGGGGGAAGGTGTGTTTTAGGGTTTGGGCGGCGGTCCGGTTGGCTTTAGGGGTGGGGGATGGATGGATGGATGGATGAACGCGGAGGATTGCAACGTGGGACTTCAGTCCGTGACTTATGGCCTGTTTTGGCAACACTTTTCAACCCTTTTCCTATTCGTCCTCCCTCTCCCCCCTCTTCTCCTGGTGTCCATTTCCGTGCCGCACTAGGCCCTGTATTGCGTCACCTCCCGTCGTACTACCTTCACACCTTGCCGCACCTCATGGCCATGTGCCGTACCCTGTTGCTTTTTGTGTTCAGGCCCCCTCTTGGAGCGCGAGGGTGTTGATATCGGGGTGGTTACCGCCATTGCGGCCCCGGCGGCTCTGGAGGTCAAGTTCTCGGGGGACGGAGGTCATGCGGGCGGCCAGCTGATGCCGGACAGGTGGGTGGGGCCCGGGGGCGGGGGGGGGGGGAGCTGCGCGGCTAGGGTTTAGGATATTTGCGTGTGTGTGCGTGTCACAAATGCTCGTGGTGAGGCTGATTTGTGAGACATCTCTTCCCCCGATGATAAAGCATATGTTGTGCGGCCTGTTAATTATTTTTCAATCCGCGCATGCGTCCTTTTTTCCCCCACAACCCTGCCCTTGCCGCTGCTCCCTTCTCCTCTTTTCATCTCTTCAATCTCTTCCTCTCTTCATTCCTCTCTCTCTCTCTCTCTTTCTTTCTTCCTTCCCCGTGGCAACAGCTCCTTTTTCATTCAACAGCAGCCCGCGCTCTCTCGCCGTTTTCGTTATGATCATTATATTCTGTTGGTCCAAGCTCCCGTGCCAACGTGTGTTCTGTGTTTCAGGAACGACGCGGGCTTGGCGGGCGCCGAGCTAGCCTTGGCGGTTGAGCGCCACGTGTTGGGTACGGGCAGTACGGATACAGTGGGCACCACGGGCACCTTTGAGATCGCTCCAGGGGCGGTCAACTCGGTACCCCGGGACGCCCGTTTGGCCATTGGTGAGATCTCCTTCCGGGGGCCGAGGAGGGTGGGAGGGGGGGGGAAAAGAGGGGGGACCGGGGGGAGCATGGAGAGAGAGAGGACGGGTGATGCCGTGGAGGAGCATTGCACGTGTACAACAACAGGAGACGAGAACAACAACAATTCCCAACTTACGTCAACCGCTTTTTTGGCGCCCGGTGTCGACAGACATTCGCGATATTGACGGCCCTCGGCGTGACGGTGTGGTGTCTGCCGTACTGGAGAGCGCGGAAGAGATTGCCAAGCGGCGCAAGGTGTGATGAGGCGCGATGATGGTGATCGTGAATGAGTCTGTTATATAGTGTATATACAACCATTTGTCCTGTTTTTGCTACACGTGATTTTGTATCGTACATCCGTACTGGACTAAGCTCTCCCTGTACATGTATACATTTTACCTGCTTGGACGAGCATTACACGACGACCGCGGAAGGGAGGAGGGAAATAATTGGGTTTTAGGGTTTTACGATAACACCCGGCGCATAACCGGGTGATCGATAACCGCTACCGCCGCTACACGAATGCAACCTGTCTGCCGTACTCCGGCTTGCTACTGCCTTCTCGAATTCGCCGAGGTTGCATGTGTCCCCTTTTTGGGGTTGCTGGACTTCCCCTTCCTTCCTCCCCTTAGGACTGTACAACACACAACCAACCAACTAACCAACTACCAAACTAACTGACCACCTACGGCACCCGCTCACCAACCTATGCACGTAGTCGCCTTACCCACCATCCATCCAACCATATATCGCTGTTGCGCCCTCTCTTCATCACCCCTGCTCCCCTCCACATTTAAACCCCCCCACATACCCCACTCCGCCGCGAACCCCACTCCTCAACCCCCCAGGTCCGTTTGGTCAGTCGCATCGTCAACCAGGACCCCCCCGCCGGCAGCCACGCGGATATCGTGGAGGCGGTGGCGGCCTCTGCCCGCGACCTGGGGCTGAGCACCATGAGGATGGTGTCACGAGCTTATCACGACTCGCTGTTCATGGCTAGGTGAGGTGGGGGGTAGGGGTAGGGGAGGGGGGGGGAGGGGGAAGGTGGGTGTCACTGAGCTCGGGGTGGGGGAGAAGAGGGGCTTGTGGGAGAGGTATGACATGGTGTTTGTGTTGCTCGCTTGCCTTTGCCCGGGGTGTGGAGGGGGATTGAGGAAACAATTTTAGCAATCTCCTTTGGATTCGTCTCATCTTGCGGATTGTACATCCGCTATACACCTTTGTGTGTAGCCGAGTCCGGTGCTGTCCTGTCCTGTCCATGTTACCCCCCTTCACCACCCCCCACATCCACAGCCGGCTGTCGGACTTTCACTCGCACCTCTCCCCAGGCATAATCTATTTCTCCCGCGGACCGGGATGCTATGATTTGTTGAAACACGTGCACGCACAAACCCATTCTTTCCTCCCACCCGACCCCACCCCACCCCGACCCCACCCCGACCCCGCAGGGTGGCCCCCATGGGTATGATTTTCATCCCCTGCAAGAACGGCTGGAGCCACCGCCCAGACGAGTTCTCCAAGCCGGAGGATATCGCCAACGGCGTCCGGGTGCTGGCACTCACCCTGGCGCGGCTGTCCGAGGGAAGCTGGCCCAGGGACGAGCTGTAACTAACGAAGCGGGGTATATATTATATATGTACATATATATGTATATGTACATATACACCTCTTACCTATACCTCTTACCTTTTTGAGTTGTTGCTGCTGTGTATTAGAGTCAAGATTTGAAAATTTTGAAATTGGGGCGGTTTCGGAGTGAAATATACCGTCGCCGCGTTAAGGCGGGCTGAGTCTCAACTTGGCGGTGCGGTCACTTGGGTTAGGCAGTAGGTAGGTAGGTAGGTAGGTAGGTAGGTAGGTAGGTAGGTAGGTAGGTAGGTAAGAGGTGGAGCGGGGAATATATCGCTCACATCGGATGGCAGGATGGGCAACGTAGGTGGGTGGGGGAGGTGGTGGGCTTGAGGGCGCCATGGGGGTATTAGCGATTTGGATGGCTGTGTGGATTTGCTAGTGGTGGTGTGGGGTGGCTGCATACCGGGGGTTGCGTGGCAGCAGGCAAAACCAACCACCAATCTGGCAATTTGGAGCAACTTGAGCACCAGAGAAGCAGCTTCCGCAGATGGGTGGGTTACCATAGATGGCTACGAAATAGTCTTCCGGTAGGTGCAGTCTAAACTCTCTTAAAAATGCACAGAAATCCCCACAGAAATCCTCCTCCGCCAGTTCACACAAAAGCAACTCGATGTCGATAATCCAGATGACCCAGATCCTCCTTTAGACATATCAGGTTCCGGCTCCGGCTCCGGCTCCTAGTTGCATGCCCCTCTCAACCGCCTAGATGCACTATCCTCTTCCCTGGGCGGCAATGCTGTGTGCTGCCACCGACCGCGGTAAGCTGCGACAAACTGGATAGCCGCGACAGTTGCGAACCGACCGCTGACAGTTGCGACAGTTTGAATCGGTTTCAATTGGTGGGGTTGCGACCAGGCATCGGCATAAGGAACATTTCTGGGTTTGGGAACGGGTCCATTTCTGTCGTTATTGACTGCCGTTATTGACAGCTCCGGCCGTCTGGGGCCCATTCGATGGGAGCTCTCGTATCGGATGGCCCTATTTCTGCAAGCGGGTCGGCTTGGGGAACTCTACTTCCGTTTTCGGGAGTTTCGATACGACCTGAAGTGCGCGAAGCCTTTGCCGATCTCTGGTTGCCGACCCCGGCTGCGATGGGGTTGCAGCAAAGTTGTTGCAACAATAAAACAAAATCATAAATAAAACAAAAAGAGGTTTGGTGGCGTCTCACGGTTGGTGGGGTGCCTATGTTAGGAAGTTCCCATCTCAGGATGTCGCGGCCCGCAGTGTGTGGTTGTGGAGGTTATCCAGTATATTCCCTGGGAGGGGGTGTATCCCCTCGCTGTCATCACTTCTGGGCCTGTCCGGTGGCACAGGCGGTAGCGGATCAACTCACTCTGTCAATAGGATTGCCAGTATCACGTGAACAACTTTGGCTTGTCCAAGCTCCACAAACAGTGCGATAATGTGTTTGGGATGTTGTGGCTCTTGCTGCGGTGTCAGCTATGGAGCATGGGCGGCGATATATGGCTGCAGCCATGAACACCAACCTGGCACTGTTACCTGGCCCATGCCTTAGAGAAGGTGCCATTCATCGAGTTCTTGTTGATTTTAGGGGCCGCCTGGGAGTTCCACGAAAAGAATGGGATTCTGTTGGGGCACATCACCCCTTCTTGCAAGTTGTGTCAGACAAGTTGTTATGTTTACTGGAGAGGGATCGTCGATGGACGATTACCAATGCAAGTTGCAGGTACGGGCAAGGCAACCTACCATGTAACACACACACACACACACCCCACATAAATAATGTGGTAAAGTGATATTAAGTAACGGAATGTGACGTCTGAGTGCTGGGCTCCAGGTTTTGGAAATAGTTGCATTCATTTGATGAAGCTAGTCGCGCGAGTGGCCGAGGAACCGGGACCTTCCATCTGACCTGCAGATCCAGCTGGAACCAGGAAAGGGCCCTCAATCGATTCCATCATCAATGGCCAGAGCGACTAACGAGCGCGCGCTCAAACACTGTTTTTACTGAGCTAAACATAAACACATTCAGAATTTATACCGCGTATCGAGAGTAGCTGATCCCACAACTCGCTAGCCAATTTAGGACCGCCCGCCTTACACGACCGCCAACTTGTGCAACCGAGTAGTTTTCGAGGTTTACAGTTGACCCCGATTGGGGCGAGTGAAACGCTCCCCAGGCCAACCCAATAGGCCGAGCACCCGTGAACTCCCCCGACGGCCACCACCCGTGCATCACGACACGGGTTATTGATAAGGATACTGAGTGACTGAAAATGCAAATCTTCTCACGTCGCCCTTCAGAACGCTCAAAGGCAGGCGAGCAAAACATCTCTGACGACTATTGCGGATAGAAATGGGAACGACGGCGCGAGCCCGCCTGTGAAAATCGGTCGTCTGTTGTCCAGGGTCACTGCAGTGACGCGCTGCTGCGCGTTGATATCACGCAAGGTCGAGCAAGTAAGCACAAGCGTGAACGTCGCCTGCAGCTTTCCATGATGCAGCTGCAGCGTTCGCTGACTGTCCCGCCTGCCTACTTACCTCTACACCAGGGCACATAAGTTGTCGCCTGCCAACCTGTCTTCGCCGTCGTGATGAAATTAAACCTGCGTGGTCAGCTGACGATGGCAGGTTTGGCATTGAGGCAACCTCGGGTGTCGCAGCTCCAAGACGCAAGCGACGGCGAACCCCGTGTCATCGCGCTTGTCGCGACCCGCGATCGTTTCGACCTGCTGTGGTCGCGATGCATGGAGTCCATTCTCGCACAGACGCTCCTTCCCCAATTGATCGTGCTGGTGGACGATTCCGAGGTTCGTCTCATATTGGTCGCTTCCCACCCGCCCGAATGCCTCTCCTCATAAACTGCTTGCACACCCCATGTGTAAGACTGACCAAGAAAATTAAAACAAGCATAGCCTGCATGCCTGAAGTCCCTTTCTCTGCGGCGTCCCACCTTCAGACCGTACTTCACTGTTTTCCGATTATTCTTGGTCCGTCCTGCCTTTGAAAGGTTCAATGTGCCCAGCTGACCGAGCGAGCAATTTTAGGTTGTGGAGATCCCGCGAGGACGAGTGCGCTTCCTAGACGCACGGCGTTTGCCTGCATGGCCTCCGACAACCCGTGTCGTCGTACATTCATTTCGTTAGGGTAACCTTCCCTTGTGGGGCGTCGTACATTTGAGCCCTCTTGCTGCCGCCCAACATTTTCCGGACAATATTCTTGTGTTCGTCTCGGATCGCATCCAGGACGTCAGGATTTTCTTCTCTCTCGCCGCGTCCAGGAAATTTCTGGGGAGCTCGACTCGGGGAAACTCGAGGAACCGTATGATTGCTCCATAGATGGCGAATACATGCATATTTTAGGCGTGTTGCAGCAGGCCCTCTTAGCCAGGTCACATGGCAAATATGTGCCGGTCAGGCAGGGCAGGCCAGGTTTCCATCCCACCTGTTTCTAATAATACGTTTTTGGGTTTTTCTACGTTTTTTTCTTCATCCTTAAAACACGTCGTACACCTCTACAACATGTCATACATGCCTCCCATGTGCCCTGCCTCGAAACCGCAGAACCCTGAAGTGCGCGGGAAAAATGAAAGCATGGCAAATCTGTTCAATTCCCGCTTGGGCGGCAGGGATGGCGGCGGCGGTGAAGGCAGCAGCAGCAGCAGCAGACCTGCGGCGCCCCCCATCGTGTACCTTCACAACGGAGAGACGCCCGGAGCCTCAGGTGCATGGAACACGGGGATTATGTTCATTGCAGAGGCTGTGGCGTGTGGGGCGTATTTTGGGCCAGCCGCTGGCCGCGACCCGCGTGGAGGTACCGAATGCGAATGCGACAGCGGTGATGGCGGTATCGAGCCTGATCAGGAAACGCCGTTGAGCCGACGCGGCTGGCCAATGGTTGACGCAACGACGGCGGCGGCCCTGGCCATGTACGGCGATTCGTGCCGTACGTCGCTTCCTAATAACAGATACAATCTAGGAGGAACTGCTGTAGTACCGCCAAGTGGTGGCCGGATGCTGTACGATAAGCTGCACGCCGTATGGGTCGCTATCTGTGGTAAGTCCATGTATGATTTCAAAGGATTGTCGGTACATGCATTCCCCCAAGCATGCACAGCTAATTTCTTTCTTGGAGTGCAAAATTTGGAGCGGAATACCGCAAAAAGTCATGGGGGTAAAGGAGCGTGCTGACTGGTTGTTGAGTAGGCCCCTCTCCGAAGGAGCGGTGATAGCGGCACTAAGGGAGCATTTGATGAGCGGCTGGGACCATGCGCGTCTGACTGTCTTGCCAGTGGAGTACCCATCAGATGGGAAGCGACCGGGAGTGCAGATGGCGAAGAATAAACACTGGATGGGGCTGCTCTTTCCGGGAGCCGCAGCCGTTATGTGGCCAACACATGCTAAGGCTTTCATTCACTCCTCGTGTAGCCCATCGTATGTTGCTGGGATTCCGAGGCAAACAGAACCCGAAGGGGCAGGCACCATGTCCCCAGGGAGCAGCGGATCCACCGCCTGTTGTGGCACCAAAAGTCAAGTCGAGGATGAAAAACAGCATACAATAACATTCGTGCGAAAGAAGGATTTGATCATCAACAGAGCATGTTGGAGGCCATGAAATGGGAGACAGCACGTCTGGGAAGGATGTTGGAACGTATGTGGGCTCACCGCAACCCAGTTATCCCCTTTGGGCGCTAGCCTAGCTGATAGTGCGGTGTTTTCCTTTCCTCCGTGGCTTTTAGGCGTTGTAGTATTGCCCTTGGGCCTTCGGCTTGTATGGGTACTTCTACAGGCATGGGGTCACGCACCCAAACCATGTAACACACACCTACGTATTTGTGCCTAACGCTGACCTTTCCAACCAACGGCTTCAACCGACATGTGCCCGCAGATGATGACGACGCCTGGGCAGAGAACCACCTGCAGCTTTGCTTTGAGGCGGCGGCTCAAGCCCCCTCCGATATGGTGGTTTCGGGGCTCATTCGAGTTGAAGGCGACGATACCGACGAACATAGGCCGCCGCCGCCGCCGCCGCTAACAACAACTGGCCCCGCCCCTGCGCCTGCTGCCGATGCTGCTGGTGCTGCTGCTGCTGCGCCGCGACAGGAGCATCACCAGCCGCAGCAGCAACACAGCACTAGCGGCAGGGGCGGCATCCTGGAGCGTCCGTTGCCTCTTCCACCCGCAGGGCCCTTGGAGCCAAGTTGGTTCCTGAGAGGCAACCCCGGCATCCAGGGCTCCAACCTCTTCCTACGACTAGGGGTGCTGCTGCGAGCGGGTCTGTTTGACGAGTGGCTGCCTTCCACAACCGACAGGTGGTTGCGCTGGTGGGCGTTGGGGGGTGCGGACTGGGGGATGCGGGGTAGGCCATGGAGTCGTAAATAAAGGTGTCGGGGCTAGGTGGGGATGGTGAATGAGAGGCGGCAAGCTAGCAACGGAGCTAGAGGCCCACGTGCACGGGAATAGCGTCCACTGTTCATGCTGGGGCCAGATAGCATGGGTTCGCTTTCTGGGACGCATTACTGGCTATTGCTCATCGGGCAGCCGTCCCTAACCCCTCGACCGGCACTCAGCAAAACCCCCCTTCCCCCCCCACACACCCATGCATGCGAACCCCGTGACGCCTAAACGGGCGCCATTGCCTCTTCTGGACGTGGGCCGAGCCAATGAAGGGACTTGTGCGTGCGACTGGCGCATCTTGGGGTGGGAATCACAACGACAGGAGTGCACACCGTTTGGCACTACGCGCCGGGTAGCGGCGACCCCACTGGCTCGCATCAACGAGGTAGGGCCGCGGCCGCGGCCGCCTCTGCTGAAGACGTTGCAGCTGCCCTCTGGGTCGGGGAGCGTCGCGGCGACTTCGCCGCCGATGCCGCCGATCCCACCGCCGCTGTTAATTCCACCGTGGCCCGAGTCCCGCGGCCCCGTCTTTCCACTCCAGCGTCGCCAGCAAAGGCCCTGGGGCTGAGGCGCTTCTACGCGAAATGGGGCCCCGACATGACCGAGGACGAGGCCGCCAGTTTCAGGGCTCGCGCTTCGACGCTGTTCGCTGTTGAATTGGGCCTCAATCCGCTTCTTGGGTTGGACAGCGGCGACCCTGGATCAACTGAGATATTGTCACCACCAACAGCTTCAACATCGCTTGCGGCAACACAAGCCACAGCAGTGGCGAAGCCGACGTCTCCACAAGCCGGACGGCCACCCCGTGCATCTTGTTCCCCCCGTTGCGGGCCACATCATCACTCGGAGCAGCAGCAACAACAGCAGCTTCAGCAGCAGCTGTCATCGCAAGCAGCAGCACTACAGCCGCCGCCGCCGCCGCTGCCAGCTTCGATTTCAGTTCCAGTAATGCAGCTGCCGCAGCGTGAGGAAGCCCAGAAGGCCCAGAAACTGGCGGCCCGGCCCCCGGTGGTACTGGTTGTAGGTTTCGCATCCCATGACGCCAGCATAGCGGCCCCATTGCTAGAGGACCTACTTCGGCTGCGCAGCCGCGCCGGAGACGTCTTGCTGGGGGGCTTGGCGGTCGTGATCCTTGAAAACGGCGCCGGGGACGGCGGCGGTGGCCTGGCAGCGGCGGCGACTGCTTACGTCGCACGCGGCTTGCAGGTGTCGTACTTTTCCCGCGAAGCCCAGCAGGCGGTATGCCGTCAAGTGCTGCAGGAGGTGGCAGGGTTAACGAAGGAAAAGTCTTGCACAAGTCGTGACGGTAACGGTCGTAGCAGCAGCGGCGCGGCCGCCGTCGCCGCCGCCGGAGATTGCAGCAGCAGCAGCAGCAGCATAATGCCACCTGCGCCACCGCCGTCCTTGTCGTTGGTGCTGCCGCTTGACTTGGCAGAGGTCGTGGCGGCGGCTGCTCCCGGCACGCCGCTGCCCATTGGTGTCACACGTACGCTGCTACAGCACCTGGTCTTCTATTTCGTACAAATGGAGGTCCCGGAAGGTGTACGGGACACCGCCGTCGCCTGGATCTTGGATGACGATAAGCGCCTTCCCCGTCTGCGCCGCCCCAGTGAGCCGCGAAGGCCGTCACCGTGGGGCCACGGTCCGCTTTCTTTGGGGCCATTGGCTGCGGGTGGTCCGTCCAACCCTGTGACGGGGAGGGCCCGGGCGCGGCAGGAGCAGCCGCAGCGCCAGCCGCAGCAAGGGCAAGAAGGAGAACGTATCTCTACCTCCGTTTGCGAGGACCGCCCTGGCCGCCGTGGTGGCGGCGCCGGCAGCGGCGGCAGCTCTGACGCGGTGATGGTGGGTGCAACGGATTGGGCGAAGGCTGGCGAGGGTGATGACATTGACGTTGGCTTTCTGGAGGTGCTGCAGCGGCTCCGTGGGGCGGCTGACCCGGGGGCCACGCTGCCGCGGCCGCTGCCGGCGCCGCCAGATGTCGTACTGGGTGTGGACATCGGCTCGCCGCCGCTGCCGGCCGCGAGCTGCGCCCGGTTGGCTCTGCTGGACCTCGTGACGGCGCTTAGGAGGCAGCTGCACCAGCAGCAGCAGGAGGACCAGAAACAGCGGCAGGGCCGGGACCAGCAAGAGGACGGAACGAGATGCCGTACGTCTTTGGCAGTCGAAGCCGAATCCGGCGGTAGTGGTGATGACGGTGTTGGTGTTGGTGGTGGTGGTGGTGATGACGCGGCCAGCATTCTTCGGTTCAATACCTGGGCGAAGCAGCACTGGGAGGACTCCTATTACGACCTCAGCACCGCCCACAGCGATCACCTGGAGGTTCCACTGCTGCTGAGCCCCAGGACGCACTCGATTGCCGGCGGCGACGGCGGCAGTGGTGGCGGCAGTGGTGGCGGCAGTGGTGGCGGCGACGAGTTTGAGCGCCTCGCAAGTGCGGCACACGGCATCCTGACCGGCGTTCCCTTCCTTAGAGATCTCGTGCACTTAGTGCGTGGCCACCGACACGTGGGCGCATCAACCGCCCACTCGATGTGGCCGCCAGGGGCGATGGAGGCGACGGCAGCCGCCATCGACCCAGCATTGCAAACAGCAGCAGGAGCAGCGTCAGCAGTAGCAGCAACAGCATCAGCTACAGCCGTGGAAGCCCCGCTCAGCGGTGGGTCCCTGCGCGCTTCGGACCCGGCGGTGGACCCTGCCGCGGCGGCGGCGGCGGCGGCGCCAGCGGTAGTTGACACACACCCCTGCGTGCGCCGCGGCGGCAGCACTTTCGTGTTCGACATGCGAGCGCTGCGCGTGCCGCAACACGCCTTCCCATGCCGACGGTCCGATATGCTTTGGTGCCTGGCCTGTACGGCATCCGGGCTGCGGGTGGTACGGTGTCCGGAGTTGGCGGTGTACCATGACCGATGGGAGAGTGGCGGAGCTCTTCGCGCCTCCGGTCCTTCGCCGTCCTCGCCCCCTGGCCAAAACGACCTTCGGGAGGACTTAGACGGTCCTTCAACAGCAACAGTAGCTAGAGCAAGAACAACAGCAAGCTCAACAACAACTGCCGATGCTGATATGGATGCTGATGTTGATGCTAATGGAGCACCAGGGGCGACATCGGCTGCAGCTGCGGCTGACACGGGCAGTGTGGCGACCGCCGCTGGTCGGCCACGGGCCGTGAGCCCCCCGCCGCCTCTTCCGGGCTTTTTTGACAAGCTTGCCCGTGACTGTGAGGGTCACGCGTTTTACAGCGCCCTGCAGGCGTACTTGCTGTTGCTGCGGCGGTTGGAGGAGATGCCAGCGGCCGGCGGCGCTGTGGCGGCGCGACGGCGTCGGTCAATGAGCACCACCGGGAGGCACGACGGCCTTCCCGGGAGCAGTACCGATGCGCCGCCGTCTGCAGTGTGGCCTGAGGAAGATTGGCGGCAGGGTACGCAGCAGCAGCAGCAGCAGCAGCAGAAATTCATGCAGCCACAGCAGCAGCTGCAGCCACAGCAGCAGCTGCAGCCACAGCAGCAGCTGCAGCCACAGCAGGCGAAGGACCTCCTGGGTATGTTCCAGAAGCATCTGAGGCGGCGGGCTATGCAGGTGCTTCGATCGGTGTTTCGCACCATGGGCCTTGTGCAGGTACTTCGGCGCCTAGTAGATAGCCCTGAGTTCGGAGCCGCCGCCGCCGCCGCCGCTGCCGCAGAAGCTGCGGCAGCAGCGGCCCCAGCGACAGGAGCCACAGCAGCGCCCGGCACAGCTGTCGCTGTTGGTACTGGTACTGGTACTGGCGACGTTTCCAAGATGATGACGGCAGTTGGTGGCGGAGGGACGGAGGAGGCGTTGGCGGCATTGCAAACCGCAGCCAGACCGCCGTCTCCGTCATCACCATGGGCTAATGAGCCCATGGGCCCGTTTGACGTCCTGCGCGCCGCCTGCGCTATCCTCGAGCGGCTTTATTCCCCGGAAAACCTTGACGTGCTGATGCGCCAGCTGGTGCTCCGGGACCAACGACGGGATGCGGACACCGTGCGCAGAATACTGATGCAGGTAGGTAGGTAGGTGCGTGAACGTACATATGAAGTACGGGAGGCTCGTTTTACGGTGCACGGCTGCGGAGACGATTTATCGTTACACTCCCGGGGCCATTCACGTTGGAAGAGCAATGGCAAACGTGAAGGAGGGGTTGTGAAAGGCAAGGCCGAGTAGTGAAGCTGCCGTGCATCCGCCGGTTTCCCTTGTCCGTGTGCATGCGCTCCAAATTCATATCTCCAGATGTTGCTGAAGGACGGGGATAAAAAGGGGGTTCTCGGTTGCCTCGCTTTTAATTGCTTTTTCGCTTACCTTTCTTTCGGTGTTCGCCTCCGCGTCGTAACCTACCTACGGACAGGTGCAGATCGCTCAACGAATCCTGCTGGTGGGAGCTGACCGGGAACTAATTCCTGCCAGCAGCAGCAGCAGCAGCAGCAGCAGTGGTGGTGCCGGCCGCGGCGACAGCAGCAGCAGGAACAGCAAACGTGTTGATAAGACTCTGGGTGATGGTAGTGCGCTGCAAGCGCTGCAGCGTCACTTTAAGGACTCCCTGGTGCAGTACGCTCGGGTAGCCGTACACCGTCTGATGGCGGCGCCGCGTTTACCGCCGAGCCAGACTGCTGCACCACCGCTTGCAACGGTTTCGGATCAGTTGGACCGGTTACAGGTACTGGGGCATGGCCAGGAGGGCGTCGTGCTATCGGGCTGCAAACCAGGAGACGTCATATTTAAGTACATCTTTCATGTAGCATCTAGGGTCTCAAGAGGCGCACGACGATGGGGCGACGGCGGCGGCAGTGGCGAGGAGCGCAGGGCCTTCTTGCGGACCCTCCCAAACCGACGGCCTAGGTGCGTTCGGTGTGTTCGTCAGCTGATGATAGCACCCAGATGGGAGAATGCAGTCTGTTAAGAAAAATCACGTGTATTAATCCCTTGCTTTGAATTGTGCACCTGCTAGGCGATTTGATGCCCGAATGCATGGTGTATTTCTGCGAGGGCCCCCCCCCAGGCCGGGGGGGGGAGTACCCCCCCGGGTAGTGGGGCCATCTGGCCATCACACAAAACGGGTTAGCGAGCGGGGACTTGGGTTGTTTTGGTCTGGGCTCAATAAATGGGGCCGCAAGGGGTGAATGGAGGAGTATGGACAGTCTCTCCTCAGCTTTAATCCTTAATTGATACGGTCCAGCGCAATGCGGCCCAGTGGGTCAGTGCGGGGGGGGGAGCGTCATAACCACCTGGGTGCCCCTCTGTGGCAGTAATGAAGGACTTTTGCTCAATAGCCGCCTCATCGCATCATAGCCGCGGCATGGTGCATTGGCGAACTCCCGCCCTTTCGTTGGACCCTTACCTCGACGGCGGCGGCGGCGGCAGGCCGACGGCATGCCTGTACGACATCTACGACTGGGTGGACGACGGGCCCTCTGCACTGGCTGTGTACGGACCCTACGAGGATGGCGGCGTGTTGCTGAGCAGGCAAGTACGATTAGAGGGTACGGCACATGTACGTAAGGGGAAAATATCACGGGAGGCCAACGACTGCTTCATCATGGGCATCTGTCAGCCTCCTGCCTTCGCCACCTGTCCTTTCCTAGCAGCAGTGGCTAGGTGGCTAAGGTCGCTTTTGGTCGATTCTCCTGCTCCTTTTGCCTTCCTTACTTCTTTACTTCTGATTATCAGGCTGTGAGGGGCTTTTTGCTGAACGGGAAGCCTGTTTAGGTACCTGCCTATAGAAAAAGGAATGTTCATGTCACCAGCGACCCCGGCGGCAGAGCTCCGTAACTCCCCCCCCAACACACCCGCTCGCCTTGTTCACTGGCCACCGGTCACTGGCCGTACGCAATGGGATCGTCATTGATGTCGACTGCCGTGATACATCTCAGTATCACCAGCGACGCCGGCGGCGACGGCGCCGGTCACATGTGTCCCGGCGGTCTGCTCATCATGCTGGCCCGTGAGTGCATCGCTGCGGGTGTGGTGCTCGGGAACGTCCACCCGAGCAACATGGTGCTGCTGCTGCTGCCGAGTCCGCCGCCGCCGCCGCCGGTGCCGGCGGCAACGCCACCGCGTCGCCGCCGCCACCAGCACGCCGCAAAGGAGACAGAGGGAAAGGAAGAGGACGCAGCGTCCGCTGACGATGATGGCTCAGCAGCGAAACGAGACACGCCTCCCAACGATGGCTGCGGGCGTACGGCGGGTGACGACAGGGAAGGGGGTTGCGGAGGCGGAGGCGGAGGCGGCGATGGAAAAGGAGGCAAACTTCTGGCGGTAGTAGGGTGCGCAGATAGTAGGCTGCAGGCTGCCGCGCTTCGGTTCGTCGACGTCGGCTGCGACTGGTTGCCTGCAACCGACCCACGGGACACTGAGCGGTGTGTGGGTACTTGAGAGCCTGGGTGATTGGGTGATAGGTCGATTGGATTAGGTTGCAATGACCGTGTCTTAAATAATGCCAAGTGTACATCTTCCTTCCCGCCGTGCTTCTTGCGTTGCGTTGCGGCGGGTGTCTGCCCCAACCAACCAACCAACCAACCAACTTGCTAAATAGCTAATAAGGCTTAGCAATCTAGTTTCTGTTGGGGTGAAATGGTACGTAATCCTGTCGGTCCTTCCGCCTTCCGATTTCACCGGTGCAACCCGCAGCATGATCCGCAAGCTGTATTTGTGCTGGCGCTGGTGGCGGAGAGAAGACTTGCGTGAGTTGCTGCGGGCGTCACTGACACTGCCCTCCGAACGGACGGACAGCGCCGCAGACCCCCCTTGCAAGGCCTTGGCCCACCTTCATCATTACGACGATGACGTCAACTCGGTTCCGGAGCTGCGTGGCTTCCGCCGCTTCAGGGATGCAGTGTACGGCGCGTACGACACAGCGGAGGCAGTCCTGTTGCCGGAGCTGCTGCGGGCGGTGCGGCGGGCGCTGCCCGCCTCTGGCGCCGTAGCCTCTCCCTACCACCACCATCATCATCACCACCACCACCAGCGGCATGCTTCTGAAGGCGGACTGGCAGGTAGGTCCGGGTGCGATGTGTACGGCACGTTGAAAAGGGCTCATCTCGCTCACGCAAAAGCAACAGCGCCCAGTAACTCCGCACCTCCCCTTTAAGCACACATGCACATACACACACATTCTCTCTCTCCCTCTCGTGTGACCACATACCCCCCGCCCAGGTGCGCCACACACATGTGTATGTATGTATGTATATATGTACTTACAAATTATGTATACACACATGCAATTCCCTGCCTGGACTGGCCGGCCCCCCCCCACCCACACACGCTTACGCACTCCCGGCCCCCCTCCACCTCTCCCCACCCAGTGTTGGACTACGGGGCGGGCTCCGGTCGGCTGCTGGCGGCCCTTCACGGCGAGCTGCCCGGGGAGGTGGCGCTGGCGGGCTGCGACCCGGGCGTGGAGCGGCCCCGGCACTGGCAGCCGCAGGTGGCGGTGGCGGAGGGCCGCCGAGCTGCAGTTTGGACCACAGACTGCGCCCAGGCGGTGGCCATGCAGGTGAGCGGTTCACGGCGTGTCCTGACCCTTATTTGGGGGCGCGGGGGCCGCAGTAGTACTGCTAACCTTAAGGCTGAACCAGTCGGATCCGTTGTGACATCTCATTCTTTCCTTCTTATTATGGGGTTGCGGATGTTAATGAGGGGTTAATAGGGTCATAGGAGGCATAGGGTCCATCTAAATCAGTGCAGATCTAGATCTCCCCAGGTCGGATTTTCCCCCCCACATTTAAATGTCGGGGTATTGAGTCGCCATGGTTGTAAGTACTGATGGGGGATCGAGTATATGGGGTGGATATAGCGTACGGTGAACACCCGTACGCTATACGTGTACGGGTGTACGGCAACAGCGTATACCCGTACACACGTACGGGTATGCATGTTCTGCTTCATGTTCTCGGATTGATACCGGACGACGACGCTGCCCCCCGCTCATTAGCATAACAACAAGTAAATCTACGTGCTTTAAATACAACTACATTCTTGTAGGAGTACGACGTGGTGGTATGCAGCCTGGTGTTATGTGTGCTGGAGGACGAGGACGAGTACCGTACGGCGCTCAAAAACCTGGCGTCTGCGCTGCGGCCGCCACCGCCGTCGCCACCAGCACCGCTGCGCCGCCCCGGCCGCGTCGGTATGCCAACCGTGACCGCCCCCGCCGAGGCCAAATCTGGTGGTGATAATAATGTTAATGATGATGGCGATGACGACGGTGCTGACGAGGGCGGCGGGGTGCTCATATTGGCCGTTTGCAATCCCTTCTTTACTTCCCACGGCAGTACTGTGATGCAGCACCGCTTCCCCGCTACAAAAAGTGGAAATGACGATATCAGCTCCAGCACCGGCGCTAGCAGACGCGGCAGCGGCAGGGGCAGCGGCGACGGCGGCGACGCTGGTGAGGGCGGCGGCACTGGCGACGGCGGCGACGCTGGCGAGCGCGGCGGCACCGCCGATGGCGCTGGTGACCGCGACGGCGGCCGCGCTGGCGACAGTGGCGGCGCTGGCGACGGCGGCGGCAGCGGCTCCGCGTACCGCTACCTGCAGCGATACGCGTGGACAAAGCAGCTGACGATGTGGCCGCGAGCTGCTTCGCGGAAGCTAACAGAGGATGGTGGCGGCGGCGGCATTTGTACTGCAACAGTGACCAACGCCGGAGACCAGTTGCGCCATGGTGGTGGCGGCGACTTTAACGTCGAGACCAGCAGCCGCAGCAGGAAGGCCAGGAAGGTTCACAGCCCAGGCGCTGATGGCGCTGATGGTGCAGGGGGATCAACACTGGCAGCTTCAGGTGCTGAGGGGAAGGTCGCTTTGGCGGGCGAGGCCAGGCCAGCTGTACGGCGGCGTACGGATGTGCACCGGCCCTTGGAGGTGCTCCTTCTGGACCTACGCCGTCTGGGCCTGGAGCTGTTGAGGTGGGGGCTGTGAGGTCTGAGGGCCTGGTGGTTGGGTGGTTGGGCGTTGGGTGGTTGGGTGGTTGGGTGGGCGGCGCGGGCAGGTGCTCAGGTTTCATCAGACATTGGAACCGGCCCCGTAACCGTACGTGGACGAGCAGCGTGCTGTCGCTTGGAAGAGAATCTGTTTTCTGAGAACCCCACAAGCGAGTGGGTCGGGTCCCACCGCCGACTGCATTGTGTGGACACACGTATCCAACGTCCGACCACGTGTGCGCTTGTTTGTAAGAAGTGCATGCGGTGTCCCATGGGGGGCCTCTGTCTGGCCTTCGGTCGGTGCTGCGCCAGGACGCGCACGTCTAGCCTTGCGGGCTTCGCGAGCTCATATTTTTCCTCTCTTGCCTTAAGATCTCGACCACGTTGTGTTGCATGGTGTGCGTGTGTATCTAAGTGTGTATGTATGTTGTTACAGGGTGGTTAAGCTTCACCAGCGGCCCCCTTTCCTGAGGCAGTTCCCTGCTCTCCCCTGCTAGAGGGGCACCCTAATCCAATCACCCCATCCGACTTCAGAATATATTCGTTGGGTTCAGCAACTCACCACCAGCATCCAACCTAATCTAGCGGATCAACGGCGCCACAATTTAGTTCCTGGTCAGCTCGCAAAACGCTATAATCACGTCCTACACCGTCTACAAGACGGGGACCCACCTCCCAAGTCAACACCCCTCACACACCGAGGGGTCGGCAGGCGAATTTGAACCCGGACCTCCGGGAGCAGAAGTCAGGCCTTAACTTCTGCCAGCCGCCTGTGTGTATGTATGCGTTGTTAGACTCAGCAAAGCGCCGAAACCCTCCCTCATATTACTGCTGTCACAATCACTGGTACATTGAGTGGTCACTTTCCAACATGCGTGTGTATCTATGCATGTGTATCGATGCGTGTGCGCGTATGTGTGTGTGTGTGTGTGCGCGTATGTGTGTGTGTGTGTGTGTGCGCGTATGTGTGTGTGTGTGCGCGTATGTGTGTGTGTGTGTGTGTGTGTGTGTGCGTGTGTGTGTGTGTGTGTGTGTGTTGCACGCTTTCCGTCTATTCGCAAGCACAACACAGCGCCCGGCGTGTTAACTCCATTTCCCCCTTGATGGACCCACACCCTATAATCCATGATCCTCTATGATCCCCACAACCATACATCCAGTGTACGGCAGACGGCCTCCCTGGACCCCGACCTCCTGGACGAGCCGGCGTCGGACTTCCTGCTCATATCATTGCGACGCCGAGTAGCCAAACCCACCTCCGGGCCTGCAACCGCCCCGCCGTCGTCGCTGGGCCACGGCAGCGCGCCGGAAGCGCCGCTGCCGACTGTGATGCCGCCGGTGCCGCCCGCGCCGCCGCTCCCATCACAGGGCCCACAGGCCGCAAGCGGCCGCTGGCTGAGGGTAGGACCAACGAGCCCAGGTCCTGGTGGCGTGGCTGGGCGCCCCAGAGTCGCCCTGCTAATAAAGGCCTGCGCCATGGACCATGAGCGCATCGAGCAGCAGGTGCGTGCGAGAAGAGGAACGTCGCCTGTACGGAAAGCCGAAACGGAAAGCGTTCAGGCGGTGTACGTGTGTACGCACGATAATAAATGTCATGTCTCCTCCTTCGACGTCTCTGGTTGGTGAGGGGATCTGCCAATGTATACGTGTTTTAATGATCTGACCTGTGTATGTATGTATGTTGTTACAGGGTGGTTAACTTCGCCAGCGGCCCCCTTTCCCGGGGCAGTCCCTGCTCTCCCCTGCTAGAGGGGCACCCTAATCCGTCACCCCATTCGACTTATTCGTTGGGTTCGGCAACTCACCACCAGCATCCAACCAAATCTAGCGGATCAACGGCGCATCAACTTAACTCCTGGTCAGCACGCAAGTTGATTTTATCACGTCTTACATCGTCCATATGATGGGGGGCCAGCTCCCACTTCAACACTCCTCAAACACCCGAGGAGCCGGCAGGCGGGTGTGAACCCGGGTCGGCCGGGAGCAGAAGTCAGGCCTTAACCTCTGCCAGCCGCCTGCCTGTATGTATGTATTTATATACATATATATGGGGGGAGGCAGATGGAGTTAGCACACACATACACCTCCGGACCACCCAACCTCCGGCCATCATTCCCTTCCCCCCTGACAACGCAGGTACTCCACCTGACCTCACACCTGGCGGATCCCGAGCTGCCCTTCACCTCGGTGGTGCTGCTGGTGGACTCCTTCCCTGGACCTTACCTCCGGCAATACGCCCGCCCCGACCCGGCCGCACTGGCCGCCCGGCTGGAGACCCTGCGCAGGCTGGGGGTGCTGGATGATGTCATCTGGGCCCAACCCGCCGGCTCCCCCGAGGTGGCAAACATCAACCGCAGGTCCGTGTGCATCATGCCGGCGTGTGTGTATGTGTGTATGTGTGTATGTGTGTATGTGTGTATGTGTGTATGTGTGTGTGCGTGTCATGCATGTGATCCATTCCCCACATTCCCGCATGCGGCCGTATGTCTGGATGTCTGTATGTCCACGCAGATGGTTCGGGCTTCAGAACTGCAGTCTCACCCACAGCGCTGAGGGCGCCTCCGTCACTCCGGTACTGCAAGCCGTACAACAGCTTGCGTCGTCTGAGCACCACACCACCTGTGAATACGCCCTCCAAGTGGATTGCGACCTGGTGGTGGTCAGAGGCGCCGCAGTGATGTGCCCTAGTGACGCCGCCGCTGCCGCCAACAGCAGCGGCAGCTATGGCGCCGGAAGCTACCTGCGGCGCATGGTGGAGGTCATGGAATCGGACCCAGCTGCCGTCACGGCCGCCCTGGACCCCGTACCGACATCCCCGCAGCCACTGCCGCGTCCGTGGCGCCCATCGCAACCGTCCGGCAGCGGTTGGAGTGGTAGCGACGGGCTTGGTGACGACACCAGCGGCGGCGGCGGCGGCAGCGGCGCCCCCGCCATCACGTTCTGCGGGCCGACGGGTCCCTGGAGAGCTGAGGTACGCGGCTGCCTGCTGCACTTGCCCCGCCTGCTGGGGCTGCTGCCGCTACCATCACTCCAGGAGGGGATGGGACTGTCGCCAGGGCCACCGGCGCCCACCGCCAGCGGTACCCGCCAGGACCATGTCGGTGCTCCGCTTAAGGACGCCGCCTTCGCGACCGCAGCTACCCCCAATGCCGCCATGCGTTCCGCTGGGCAGCCATGCCAAGGATCAAGTCCCCCCGCGGGCAAGGCTGCGGGTGCATGTGGCCGTGCAGCCGCCGCCAAGGCCGTACAGGCCACCGACGCTGACGTTGGCGACGGTGCAGATGTGTTGCCGGAGGCGGGGGCACTGGCGGCAGTCTCACCCCCTAAGTGGCACCGGGCACTGGATGCATGCATTGTGGCGTCAGAAGGCCGGATCAGGTCCTACCGCGGCGCATGCGGCGGCCGAATAGCGGTATTGCACCCGCCCAATATCCCGATCAAGCTGCCATCGCCGCCGCCCTGGTGTCGTGAGGAGGGCGATACGGATTGGTCTCGCGGCGGGGGCGTCGCCGCCACTGCCGCCGCCGCCGCCGCTGCTACCGCTGCCACCGCTGCCACCGCCGCCGCCGCCGCTGCCACCGCTGCCACCGCTGCCGCCGCCGTGCATCCGCACGGCGACGTGTTCTGGGATCTACTGTATGCAGCGGCGTGGTACGGCAAGTACCCCCCGCGGCAGCGCGGCAATATGGACGTTGTGGGAGGTGTGGACGACTGGGCGGCGGCACTTGGGCGTTTGGAAGAGGTGGTGGTGGTGGTGTGTGGTCGGAACGTGGCGCCCGGCAAGTTTGGACGCTGCCTGGAGTCTCTGGCCGACCAGGTACTTGTGTGGGGCGGAATGTAGATGGCCGTGTATTGTGTGTGCATGTATGCATGTAGGTAGGTAGGTACGTGTAACCGGTGATGATGAGGTATGTTGCCTTGTCGGTAGCGACGAGCATTTCAGCCGTACAATTACTGCTAATCACAGAGCAACGATCTGGCGGCTGCCACATGCGCGCGTTCATCAGGCGCCAACATTTAAATTATTGTACGGCATCATGTATCCTCCATGACCTCATGTACCTAATGATGACGTCATGCCACACAGGACATCGATCCCCGTCGTGTGGGCGTTGTGGTGGTGGATGACAGCTCGGATGCGGGCGCGTGCGGGCCTTATATGGAGGCATGTTGCCGCCACCTGATGCCCTCCCGGTGGAGGTCCCAGATCACTTTTATCCGGTCGGTTGGGCTCGGTTGGGCTCGGTTGGATACGGTTGGATACGGTTGGTCACGTTTTGGCAGATTATTCTGGGGGGTTGCTTGTGAAGGCGCCACGGGCGAGGAGGACAGATACAACGTTAAAGACTTACGCTCGCCACTGTCAGATGGCAATGCTTCTGGCCTGCAAAATGGATTTGAGGATTGTCTTTGTGCTTCACCGCTGTCGCGGCCGTCACCGGGCAACAAGACTGTGCGCCCCCGCAGGATGCACCGACGCCGGCGAATGCTCGCGAACATCGACTTTGTCGTACGGCACATTGTACGGCATCCGGACGCCGTCATCGTGACACTGGACGCCGACGATTGCCTGCTTCGCCGCGACGCGCTGTCTGCCGTATATCGCATGCACTTTGACAAAGGCCACGACCTGGTCATTGGTGGACAGCTCCGTACGGACCGTACGGCAAGCCCTGCGGCCAGCGCTTTTGGTACAGCACACGTGGTATTCGGCGGGCCGCCTCGGCAGCGAGCCCTGCGCGGCGGCGGCGATGTGTGGCGCCACCTGAGGTCCTTCCGTGCGCGGTTGTACAACAGAATCCGTACGGAGGACCTTCTGGACCCGGTGAGGGCCTCCGTACAGCTCCAAAACTATTTACCACCTACGTGACTCGAACATGTTTTCGTCCATCCTCCAAAGATTCAATCCATTGCCTTCCGGATTTTGTTTTTGTGTGCCATGTCACTAACTGCCAAATTACCCACCCCGTTCCTCTTTCTCCGCGCCATCCCCAAACCCAAACTCCCCAACTGCTTGCAGTTTCCCTTCCCCACTTCTCCCGGCTGCTTTTACTTTTACTAAATCCCTGCCTGATGTGCGCTTGTCTTTTCTCCCAGCGTCACTTACAGTGCGGTTGCATATTTCCCATTCCCCCTCCTTTCCCTCTCTGTCCTTCACTGCACTCCTTTACCCCTCTCCTGAACGCTACCTGCCCTCCTCCAACTGTCTCCAACTGTCTCCAACTGTCTCCAACTGTCTCCAACTGTCTCCAACTGTCTCCAACTGTCTCCAACTGTCTCCAACTGCCTCCAACTGTCTAATACTGCCTTCAATCCCTCCTGTGAAGGTCACTGGCTGGTTCCGCGAGCCGGCCAACGACTGGGCCTTCATGGTGCCCATTGCCGAGATGGCCACACGACCCGCAGTGCTCCCCCTGCCGGTCTACCTGTACGAGCCGTCACAGCAGGAGTGTCCCTCCCTGGAGAGACGGGCGAAGAGAGAGGCCGCCATCGGCGCCATAATGGCCTTACCGCCGTACTGCCCCCGCCATGGGCCGTTTTGCAGCGCTGCAGCTGAGGGTACAAGGGGAGAACGACGACTTGGCGGTGATGGTGGCGAGGCAACCGCCTGCCCACTGGTGTTGGGTCTGCGGCCGCTTGTGGCGGTAGTGGGTGATGCCAACCTAGAGGTGGAGCGCGTGGGCGACCGGGAGGAGAAAAAGCACCTGGCATTCGAGGTGCGTGTCAACGTCTCTTAAGGGTATCGCGGTTGTGTGCAATTTGCGCAGTAGTGAGCTCCGTGGAAGCGTTTTACAGCAGGGGGAAGGGCGGGGGGGCGAGCGGGAAGGGGAGCAGGGGGAAGGGGAGCAGGGGGAAGGGGGGGGAGCGTTTTACAGCAGGGGGACGGGTGGCGTACCCCTGCACGACCAAATCTGGCCCTATCCCTATCCCTAGCATATACCCTGGCAGACGCTGCAAACGGGCGGTCCCAGCGACTCAACTCTGTTCAAATCTAGCTCAAAATGATGTTTGTTGTCTTTATCTGTCTTTATCTTTATATAACAGGTGAGGAATCAAACGGGCCCAACTGTGTAAAATTTGGCCCGTAATGCAGCGATCTCCCCGTCATGCCACGCACGGCATGGGTCACAAATGACCCATGGGGCGCCTCCATTTCCCTTCTCTATAGGCGGCCGTTCCACGGCCCTTTGCGCCTTTTGGGTCCTCCTCCATCCTGTCCAGTATTGCAACGAGGAAGACCACTGAAGATCACTGAAGGCCACTGATGCACATTCATACATCATGAGCACGTATGATCACGTATCATGAGCAGGTATACGGGTATACGTACGTGCATAAGCTATATATAAGCTACATATCTATGTATGTATGTGTGTTATGTTCGGCCAGGTGGGCCGGTTGCTCGTTGACAGCGGCTGTCGGGTATTGACTGGCGGCGAGGGCGGCGTCATGGAATGGGCGTCCAAGGGTGCGCGCGCATCAGCACGGTGGGAGCCAGGAAGCACCCTGGCGCTGCTCCGGCAGAGCACGAAAGCAGCAACACAGGGGCATGGCCGGGCGGCAGCGGCGAATGCAGAGGGGGAGGCGGAAGCATCGTGCGCACGTGGTCTTGGGGCTGCAACGCGGACGCCGTCATCATCACCGCCACTACCACATCCCGCCGGGCCCCGCAGGAACCGCTTCGTGGATGTGCCCATGGCAACGGGTGAGTGAGCCCATCTTGCGTAGTAGGGAAGCGCATACCGCAATCGAACGTCCCCGCCCCCTTAGGCAACCGCACTTACACCACAGGTGTGGCTTGGCAGCGGTTTGTAATAGTTTGCTGTGCACTTTGTCTTTTGGGCCAGAGGCGGCTGGGAAGCAGAACGTAGCCGGTGACAGTGGGCTTCAGGGGCCCCTGCTGTTCTGTGAAGTCGTGGGGACCCTTTGGACCTTGGTGAAGGTTAACTTGGGATGCATGCACACGGCGACGAGAGGAAAAGGATGAAATTTTTAAAACAGCGCCACCCCTGAAAGTCGTCGGCCCTGGAGCCACCCATGCTTATGTGCATGCGTCGTTCGAGCAGGACTGGGGGAGGCTCGGAACGCGACGATTGGCACAGCGGCTGATGCCGTAATAGCCATTGGCGGTGGCCCTGGAACGGTTTCGGAGCTGTGCTTCGCATGGATGGCGCAAGCGTTGGCGGTTGTGGTGCTGAGCTCAGTGCAGGGTCTGAGTGCTGCGCTTGCGGGTCGAGCGCTGGACGGGCGGGTACCGGCGCGGCGGGTGGTCAAGGACGCCTGCAGTGCAGCTGAGGCTGTCGAGTTGGTGGTGCAAACCCTGCACAGAGCAGGTTTCCACGTAGAAGTTCAAAACCATTACAATAACGCATAACAAAAGCTTTTTATGGCTGCGTGTGGATGGCGTATGGTCCCAGGGTTTACAGTCTGCTCCAGCGACGGCACGCTATGAGAATTTTTGGAGATCCCAAACGTGAGGTGAAGTTAAGTGCAATCGTGTTACAGTGGTGATAGCGGCACTGTTTGCGGCTTTTTAGCTGCCAAGGACGGCGCTGTGATATTGAGTGCAATATTGACTGTCGTTCCTCCGTCTTTGCGTACTGCGCAAAATCCTTAACAGCATGTGATCAACGTCGGGGCTATGTTGCTCTGTGGAAGGCTGCTATGTGTATGCTATGTGTATGCTATGCTGGAACGGTCAGGATGTACGGCGTTGCGGACAGGGGACCGTCCGCTGGCGGTATGGCAGTGGTGAGGGCGAAACTGCATATCGGGAAATGGGATTGGATGAGAATGGAGAGTTTCGTCCCATTTTTGTAAAGTGGGAAGAAGAAGCATCCACGCGGTCATTCAGTAAACGAATGACATGAAGAATGCGACGCATGAACGGGCCCTTCAGGACGCTACGGCCAGCGACAGACGAGAAGGGCTTGCGCTCCATTCCTCGAGTGAAGAAAGCAGTAGAGTCCTTCCAATTTTTTGCACAAGATTGAACATGGCAATGACTGAAATTTTAAAGTACATTTGAAAAGGTCGATTGCCTACTTTTGTACCTATTTCCAGTATGATAACTTTGCTATTTGCTGCTGTGTATCTCACAACCTCCCAATGACCTGATTTCAGTTTGGAATTGCTTAAACTTAGTGCCGACTGGATTCAAGGTTCATCATTCGTGCATGTTATGCATCCCATCCTGCTCAAATCCGTTGTAAGTATCGAGATGGTGTTGATAAACACCGGATTTTTAAAAAAAGCCTGGGAGCTGCAAGACGGAAGCGAACAGCTTAACCGCCGAAGCCGTAGAGGGTGCGGCCTTGGCGCTTCAAGGCATAAACGACGTCCATAGCTGTCACAGTCTTGCGGCGAGCATGCTCAGTGTAGGTGACCGAGTCACGAATGACATTCTCGAGGAAGTTCTTGAGCACCGTGCGCGTCTCCTCGTAGATAAGGCCGCTGATGCGCTTCACGCCACCACGACGTGCCAAACGACGAATAGCGGGCTTCGTGATACCCTGAATGTTGTCACGCAGCACCTTACGATGGCGCTTGGCTCCACCCTTCCCCAGGCCCTTGCCACCCTTGCCGCGTCCAGACATGTTAGATTGAATACAGTTAAATACAAATATGAATATCTCTATGAGCCTGGTGAGAAGTTATGAAGGATTTAGGAATGGACGAGCGTACGGGCAAATGACCCGGTGAGCCGACCCGGTCAACTTGATTAAGGTGGCCTGCAGCCTTCGTAATCGCCTTAACTGCAAAGTGTAGCAAGCACTAAGCGCATTTCCTCTATCAAGGAAGGGCGATTGTAAATACCCTTCTTAGCGCTCGCATGCCCGAACTCCACCCACAACCTTGTCATAGTTGTTGTTGTTGTTGTTGTTGTTGTTGTTGATGGGGTGTTACACTGTGGGCGGCTCGCCCGATAAAGGACGAGCACCGGGGGCCCTGACCGGGCCGAAACACAGCGCAGGGATGGGCGCGCGGCTCTACGTCCGTCTGTTTCTCCGCGCGCGCCTCGATCCCTCACTCACGCCAACCGGGACACTCTCCCAGCCCCTGGCTAGGCAACACAGCGGCGCAGAAGACTGCGAACCGATCTATGCGAGAGCCGCACGAAAGGCGCCACTTCGCCTGGCCTGCCTATTCACGCGCTCTCGTCCCTCTTGACCGCCAAAACAAGAGCAAAAAGAAAACACCACCGGGGGCAGGGGCTCTACTCAGGGGGCTCCTCTACACACTCAACAAAAAACAGGGCCCCACGCAGCCAGCAAGGCAAGAGATACACGGAGGACCACGGGCCTGAGACGACACACCACAAAAGCCGAATACGGATGCACAGAGAAGACCAACACAAAGCGAGTACTCGCACACTGGTCCTCGAAGGCCAGCTGTTCAACTACCACGAGCAACGAGCAACGAACACTTCCCGAGGGTGGCCACCACTACCTCGCCGGTCCACTCACAAACGAGGCGAAACTGGTCCGCACGTCAGTCTCCTCCTGGGGGTTGCGGGCTCTCGGGGTTGCGGGCTCTCTGTTGTTGTTGTTGTTGTTGTTGTTGTTACATGGTCGTGGGTGCGTTCCCCGTACCTGCAAACCACCCTAGTACAAGCCGAGGGCTCAAGGGCTGCCAAATCGCCTATAAGCACCATCCTACCTCGCACTTCCAACGAAACAAGTGATGTAGTATACTAACGACAAAAGGGAACGATAGAGTTGCGGTGGGACCATATGCGTTCCAGCATCCTTGCCAGGCGTTCAGGTTCCCACTTCATAGCGTCCTTCATGTGCTCGAAGCCTGGAAAGCCCATATCAGATCTGATTTCGTCGTATGCCGGACAGTCCAGCAAAATGTGTTTCTCATCCTCGATATGGCTATCAGTGCCGCAGCAAGGTCATACTCGCTCCTCCCTAGGTATATAACGCCGTCCCTTACGCGCTCTGTTAGCCGCCAGTGCCCAACAGCAAAGCCTAAACTGCATAAGCTTGCGATTCGCGGAACGCGGGATAAACATTGTGATATGCGGGAGCACCTCCTTCCTGCCCGCTTGCTCGGCCGCCAGACCCATCCAGTGCTTATATTTCGCCATGTGGATTCCTTGTTGCTTGCCGTCTGACGGATACACGTCAGGCTGGACATCTAAACGCGTATGCTTCCAACCTCTCACTAATCGGTCCTTGAACTCCAAAATCACACCTTCTGGCATTGGCTTGTTCATCAGCCACTCCACTCGTTCGTCTACCTCATGTAGCCCTTGCGGGGCCTCTTTCCATACGTAGTGCCCCAAAAAACATAGAAAACGGAGGAGTAGTGTCCCCCATCCGGCCCCTTCGGGGTTGGAGAGGGACTCTGCGACCTCCTGTCGCAAAACGTGGTGTGCCACAGACCCACGCTGTAAACGGACATGGTTTCAAAACCTCACAACCTGCTTGAGAACGTGGTAGTGTAGGGGTAGCTGCGACAGCTCTGCGAACAGGAGGCGGTGTGTTGGTCTGGCAGCTCCTACAATTTGCCGCATGAAAGATATCTGAAGCTGCACTGCTCTGTCCTTTAGGCATGCCTCGAAGGGCCCCTCTGCAAGGTTATTCGCATCACTCCGCTTCCTGAGCCTGTCCGAGACTTCAGCTAGCATAAACGGCCCCCACGCTTGACAACCATACAACAGTATTGCTCGTACCTGCGTATCGAAACACCTCATCCTCACATCTGGGGCGAATAACTTTAGCTTATCTAATTTTGCACTCAACGCGAACATAGCTGCTCTAGCTGTGTCATACAACTGCTGACGGCAGGCCCAGAACTGCCGTTCCGGCCCATACACTAACCCCAGATATCGTGCACTATCCTTAGCCGGTATGGCCTCTCCAGCCAGCCTGAGCTCATCACACGATGCTTGGACAGCACTTCTAGTATCGCTGTCGCTTGCCAAAACGAGGCGTTCACATTTCGACACATTTGGGCGCATCCCAAAATCATCACAGAACATGTCCACAATGTTGAGCAGCTCCCCCATGCGTCCCGGTGCTGTTGCCAGAAGGCTAACGTCATCGGCATAGAGGAGGATGGACACTCGCTCATTTCCAACCTCCGGTGCATCCTCTGGCCGTGCCCCGGTGTTAATACCGTCGTGCATATCGATGACGTCCGCGAGAGTTTCAATGTAGAGCCCAAACAGCTCAGTTGATAATGGACAGCCTTGTTTCACACCCTGTTTTGACTCAAATTCACCTCCAGCCTTACCATTCGTCTTGATGACCATTGTAACTTTATCATACGCTCGCATCAGCGACCGCAGCATGGACCCTTCAACCCCTCTCTCTTGCAAACGAAGCCACATTATCTCCCGCGGCACCTTGTCAAACGCCTTCTCAAAGTCAATTTGCACTATGATTAACGGCCGCTGTCCCCGGTTGGCTGTGCCTAGCAGTAAGGTACTGCTTGGCAAAGAGATGATGTGTAGTACCGAAACCTCTTCTAAAACCCGCTTGGCCTCGGTGCCTAAGTGAGAGCGTCTCCCCTGTGCGAACGAGCCTATCCAGGAGGACCAGCGCGTAACATTTCGCCAAGGCGCCCCCTACTGCTATGCCCCGGTAGTTACTCGGCATGCTGGGGTCCCCCTTCTTGTAAATAGGGGTGAGGACGGTAGTTGTAAACTGCCGTGGGAAGTCCCCAGTCGCCCTGATATGTTCCAGAAGCACGTGCAGTACCGGAACAAGCTGATTCACTTCCCCCCGTCGCCTGCCCCTACCATTACCCGACGCGGAGCCTTCTTCCTCTCGGGGCAAACGCGCATAGCGGTAACATTCCGACGGCGCTACTTCCAAACCTGGTGCCTTACTGTTAGGCAGCCGGTCAACAGCATGTGCGACTTCCTCCAGCGTGAGGGGGGGGTCTAGGATTTCTGCTGCCTTCGCAGTCCTGCCCAAAACCGAGTGGGATGACCGCCATTCCTGCCCCTCTAGGAACTGCCCAATGTTAATGAAGTTCAAAAGCCGGTTCGCACCATCAGGCCCTGTCTCCCCTACACCTGCGTTTAAGAGCCCAGCAAAGTGTTCCCTGAAGACCTCAATATCATCTATCGCACATCGCTCCCTCAACTTCCCTCCTAAAGCCCGCCACAAAGCTCGTTGATCTTGCCGACGTTTGGCCACAAAATCTCTCATCCTATCCTCCTCATATGCCGCCTTTGCGTGTCTTTTTGCCCAGTTATAATCCGTCCGCGCATGGCGGAAAGCCTCCCATTCCGGACCCGATTTATTACTCACCCGGCCTGGACCCAGTTGGGCTCTACTCTCCAACATGCGTTGCCGTGTTTGTTGACATTCCCGGTTCCACCAAACCGTATCCCCACCTGCCGTCATGCCGGTAGGTCGGTGGGTATCGAAGGCCCTCACCAGGACTTTGTACAGGGCACCTCCAATGCGTTCGACAGCTTGTGTGGTGTTGCAAACTCCCCTCTGCAGGTCCTCGGCCACTTGGCTTAAGGCATTCATAGTAGGGGACCCCCCCTCAAAATATTCCGCATAATCCTGGTATCGTGCAATATCAAACTCCACCCGGGCTTTCCAGCCTTTACCTACACCTGCTTTCGTCATCCACTGTAACATTAAGAACAAGCGTCAAAGGACGGTGGTCGGTGGGCTCCCATCCATCCAACTCGATCAGGTTTCCTACCCTCAGAAAGGTGGCGTACTGCTGAAGCACACGCGGAGTCGCTATGAATAAATCGATCATACTACCGCCTGCCTCCCCCTTAGGGAAAGTTAGGCGGCCTTCTGGGTCCCCTCTCATCCGGCCGTTCATCACGAGCAGTCCCTCGGATCTGCAGAGTGCCCCAAGCTGGGCACCAAAGAAATTGCAAACTTGGTCCTGGCGCTTTCGATTTCCGAGTCCATCATAATTCTGGTAGTCCCTCAGTCCTTCAAAACCCATGACCTCGCATACAGCCTGCGACTGCTCTAAATCCGGGATGTCGTTCACGTAAGCAGGTAGGTCCATCGGGATAGCACGGTTTCGCTCATGCTGTGCTCCAGACAGACGTGCGTTAAGGTCCCCGGCTATCAGTACGTCCTCATCGCCAAGCCTGAGTTCCGTTAGTGACTGTTGGATCCTGGTAAAAACGGCTTTTGCTGCTGCAGTGCGCTGTGATACGGTGCCTCCACCATCCGGGTAGACCCTGGACGTCTCTGGTGCGAGGTAGCAGGCTCCCATCAGGAGACTACTACCTGTAGAAAGGCTAACGCGTGCCCAAATGACCTCGCACCCTGGCAGCTGGTTGTCCTTGTGCACTACCGTAATACCCCTCGTGAGTGACTCCCGTACATACAGCACGACGCCTCCATAATCGGCCCTCAGGGCTTCCTTTGACCTCTCCACCCGGAAAATACGGAACCCTTCCAAAGCTATGTCTTTCTCCTCAATAGTGTCTTTCAAATGTGCCTCAGCTATAACAACAATATCATGACTCGTGACGAACGACCTAATTCCTGCCTGGTTGAGCTTGAAAACTCCCGCCTCCAATAGCCCATGAACATTCTACAGTAAAATCCGTAGCCCTCGGCTCGCGTGCCCCTAGGTGTCATCCATTTCGTCAGCGTTAGGGAGGTTTGCGAAGCGGTTTGCCCTGTTACCCGCCAGTTGGTCACGTGCCCTGTCGTCCCTTCCCCCACTGCCGCTTCCTCCTTGGCCCACCTGCCCGTTTCGTGTACTTCCCGCCACGAGTCGGAACCCTTCCGCGTCGACGCCCCTGCTATCCGGCCCTTGTACTCGTGGATCGCGTCCGGCTGGCGGTCTGTAGCTCGCTCGCTCCAGAGTGCCTGGTGAAGCCGTGTACGTGAGTCCAATGGTGCCCTCGGTTCACAGCTGTTTCGGGGGTTTTGCCTTCACAGCGCTGAGTGTGGTCTCGGGTGGTATCTTACTTTTGTTGTTCCCAATGAGCGCCAGCTCATGCCCGGGTGGGATTGGTTCGGGAGGTGGTGGAGGAGGGGCTCTGGCGGTCGGGTCCCTTGTCATAGGACCGCTGGACGCCCTTCGCAGAGAGCGCTGACTGCTTTTCGTATCGTCATCCCGGCAACCTTCCCTCTTGGTAGAACTACGCACTTGGCGACCGTTATCACTAGGGTTGGCACTCATCTAAAGTCGTTTTTCTAATCTAATTATTTCTCTTGAGAATCTCAATGAGAATTTAGAAGGTATTTTTTGACACTTGAGGAGACGGTTGGGTCGTTATCTAATGTACGGCACTATAATTCTTTATAAATCTTTAGAAGCCATATATTTGCTTACTAGACACTCAGAACAAAATTGAATACCGAAAATGGCAGACACTAGCACTGCCCCAAACCAGGGGCAGAGCCAGGAGTCCAAAGATAACAAACCGAGAGAGTACACGTATGCCAAGAAGAAGTATTCGATTCAGGCATATTATGAGAAGCTGCAAGAGGTGAAGAGGAGGAATTGTGCCGACTGGTGGAAGTTCTTCCTCGTTCTGTTGCTCGAGAACGAGGTCAGGATCGAGTGCACGCTTTTGGACGGTGCATATGGCGGATTCGTATCCGGCCCTGGCCTTCGTGGCCAACCGCGTCCTCCGCATGCACGCAACCACCTGCGCATCAGAGCGCAACTGGTCGCTGTGGGGCAACCTGTTCCACAAGGCCCGCAACCGCCTGGGGCAGATGCGTGCGATGAAGCTCATCTTCATCCGCCAGAACGACAGCTACGCGGCCAAGCGCAACGCCCTGTCGGATGAGGAGGTGGTGATGCAGCTGCTGGCCGGGGATGAGGAGGAGTGAAGTAGCTAGGGATTTAAGTTGTTCGGTCGGCATTGGTAGCAGTCTATGTCTGCTGAAGTTGGCCAGCATGAGATCTTGATGGCATACCATGTCGGCTTTTGTGCATTGCCAGGGCTTAGGAATGATGATTTGGGCCCTGATTCGTTGAAACCTTAACCCTTAGGATATGGAGTTAAAGAAGCATCAAAGGGATAAGCGCCTGTGACGTGTACTCGACCGTCCAGTGCGCCCTCGCATGCTTTGACCCATGGGTCAATACTGCGGCGGAGTATAATGGCTTGTTTCTGTCGTGCAATTGTGCTTCGCAACGTCCCAAAACTTAATTATTATAACAAATATACCATACAGAATCATCCTACAAAGTTTCAGAGCCAGTCATGCATTTCCCAGAAAGCTGCCAAAACTTGAGATTAGAATCTAACCCATTCTATTGAGATCTAATGAGATCTCAATAGATTGAGATGAGAAGACTTTTCTTTCTAAACCTAGGGGATACCCTAGTTATCACCGAGTCTCTGAGCCCCCCCTTAAGGCTCCTGCTTCCCGTCACTATTCGTCAGATTGCGCGCGCCCCGGACGCGACGCCTGGAACGTCAGTTGCCTCCAGGGTAACCGTTTCCCGTGCCGAGTGTTCCTTGCGTACAGCTGCATACCACTTCATGCTATTCGTCACATGAATGCACATTACAAATGCAATACAAAAAACAAATACACGTGCCTTAACTGGATTCCCCTGGTCGTTGTCAAACTGCTGATCCGGGAGAATGTGCATTGCTGCTACAACAGCCTAAGACCTACTTGATAGGTCCGCGAAACCCTGGATTCCATGACCAAGAAGCCTGCGCTTCTAGCGCCAAGAGGCTTACTTGGGGGAGCTGCTCGTGTGAACCTATGTGGCATCAACATCTAAAGCGTCACAATTGCGTCGAATATCCCAGCTTGCATGCTGCATTCATTCTTGAGCGCGAACTGGGCTAAATGATACCGCTGGGTTATCCAAGCTTAAATGTTAAGAGCTACAACGTGAATAGCTGGAAGGGGGGTTTTCTACGTGCAGGACAGCGTGATATAACAAGGATGTACAGGGCGCTAACACCGATAACCCAGTAAATTGATGGCTAGATTAGCTCCCTTATGAGGCACGCAACCAGTCTCCGGGGGCTCACGGATCTTCCTCGATTAGTATGAAATGAACCCCAAATACCCATAGCGGAAAGTAGTTGAGTATACAATTGCATGCACGGCCGGATAACGCCGTGGCGGTATGGCTAACCGTTTTAGTCAAAAAACGTTGACCACCAATCATGCCATCAGACATGCCTTGCGCACTGGCTACTGACGCATGCCTAGAATCCCATCGAGGGAAAAGGACACTCGACGACCACCAGGCACACGCCAGCGCCCAAGCTAACCATCGGTGGTGTCCCATCGAATTGCACCGCTCCTACAACTGTACTGATTCTTAAACGAAATAGACTTGCGGCAGCCCCCTGATGGTATCCGAACGCTGGAACGGAGGGTCCATCTAGTGCTTGTATTCCGCTAACCCGCGTTAGACATATCGCAAATGCTGTCCAATAAATTCCCCCTGGCATTTTTAACCGCCCATCGCTGCTTCAACCGCTCCTCCTCAAATATTCCCTCACGTTAAGATTGCGCGAGGACGCGGCACATTCACGTGCCTTAGGCTCAGCGTTCTCCAGGGAAAGTTCATCGGTTTGTTAACGTAATCATCAGCTAAACACCTGTCGGCCGCGCCAAAACACTAACCTCCGCATGGTACCTAGGTACCCATATCATGACAACAGTACAAGACCCCTATGAAAACTCCTAAACACAACAGCTGCTCTACAAGCCTGCCCGCCAGTACTTCAGGCCACATGCTGCACCCCGCCATGGGCATGTGCACTAAACATGCAACTGTCCAAGGCACATAGCACGGAACCGCGAAGCCGCTACACTGACACTAGACCTACACCCTAGCAGCCCGGTGGTTTCTCCAGCGACCCCCTTCGGTGGTGTCGAGGAACACCGTGCAAACAATACATTTGAGTACATAAGCAGGGTTGCAACCCGTGCATCTACGACGCAGTGAACTTGGTGACAGCCTTGGTACCTTCCGATACCGCGTGCTTGGCCAGCTCGCCCGGCAGCACCAAGCGCACCGCCGTCTGAATCTCGCGTGACGTCACAGTGGGCTTCTTATTGTAGCGGCTCAGGCGTGAAGCCTCCGTGGCGACCTTCTCGAAGATATCGTTGATGAAACTGTTCATAATGCTCATGGCCTTGGAGCTGATGCCCGTGTCGGGGTGTACCTGCTTCAGGACCTTGTAGATGTAGAGCTTATAAGTTTCACTCTTTGCCACCTTGGCCTTCTTTTTGCCCTTCTTCTCGACCTCCTCGCCAGCCCCGGAGTCCTTGGCGGCCTTCTTCCCTGCCGCCTTCTTTTCCTTCTTGGGCTTAGCGTCCGCCTTGCCCTCAGAAACAGGCTCTGCCTTTAGCTCTGAGGGGTCCGGTTTTGCCTCAGCGCCAGCAGCATCAGCTTTCTTTCCCTTAGGAGCCATGACGAGATCTGAGAAACTCGAGGACTACTGCAAGAATAGTGTTTTCACAACCCTTGAGAAGACAGCGCTAATGGTATGGCGCTATACAAAATTGATGTATGTAAGGCGTGTGCCTTTGCATGTTCAGGTGGTTGGTCGCAAGGCCGTACAAACGGCACGTCCGTTTTTGCCATTCCCCCAATCGCTAATCTTGTTCCGTGTTATTGTATAATTGCACAGAATGTGAATACTCCATTCCTTCATGCTGAAGCTGAAAAACGTTTGTAAAAGTAAATCTCACACACTATTGCTTGCCTGCGCTCGGCAGGATCTTGGCGAAGGCAAGGGTAAGGCTACTGGCACGTAGGCCGTGAATCTCAGCGCAAAACCTGATCTATAACTCCCTATCGTCCACACTGGCCTCATCTGAAGTAGCATATATGTCTGCTTGGCCATCCGCAACGATGAGGAGCTGGGCAGTGCACCGCCCGCGCCTTTCCAACACCATTGTCGCTGTTTAACAGGCACGTATAACAATCCGGACCAAGCTTACCCGTGCAGTATCCCTCCCGAAGACTGGGTTACCAACGAGGACGTGCCACTCCTCATCTAGCACTCCGTGTAAAGGCAGCGTGAAACACTAGCACAAGCCAGCGCTATTCATTTGCTACTTCTGTAACCGTCCCCTCGGAACAAAAGGCGGCAGCCTTGCCTACTTCCTGGCCACAAGGTTTCATGTTTTACCGCGGGACTCGGTCCCGTCGCACGTGGATTTATCCCTCTTGCTGGCTTATCATTCCCACGTTTGACGGATATGCCAGGCTGGCAGGATGGGAAGGCCTTTTCCACGATATTAGTTTCTCACTACAGGCTAAGGGATCGTCGTCAACGGGCAGTCTATTCCCTCCTCCACCCAGAGCCCCTTCTTGAAATCCTGTCCCGTCCGTTTTCTTAACGTCCTGTCCGGGCATGTGGGAAGAGTTCGTTGCTCCGTGTCCGTGTTTTTGCGTCTCTTGGTCGCGAATCTTTCTCAGGCTTGTAGAACAGGTCCACGCACGCAGCGCAGCCCGGGGCATATCCGTGTACAACGCGCTTGCGGGTCGCGTGCTGCGGCGTGCTCTGGTCACAACAAGGCCCAGTGACGGTTCACGAGAGGGGCTCTCCCTTCGCGAGGGCCCACGGGTCTCATGCACCATCGCAAGGGACAATGAAGGAATATCCTCAGCACCATAAACGCATGTAAATGTGCTATATTAGTAGGGTCGTAGAATTACTGCGGAAAAGCAATGCGGTGGCCCTTAATAGCAAGAAACATGGCCTGTCCTTGTCAGCTGCCTATCTTTATCGGTAGTGACTCGGAAGGGTGACATCGGCGCGTTCATATTTGGAACAATACACATTTCCTCCTGTGTCACGTGAGCCCCGCAAACATTCCCGCTTCACACTCGCGTGCGGCGTGCTGCGAGTTATGCAGGTCGTACAACTGCCGCGGCCGCGAGCCCTTGACTGCGAGTCTTCCGCCTATGGCCTGCCCTCTACAGGCAGCATCGCCTGTCGAGGTCTTCCTTTCGATAGGAATAAAGCCGGTTTCACAGCCGAATGCTAAAGTAGGCCGGTTGCAGACATTCTAGTGCGGCTGGTTCCGGTTAGCTGACAGGTAGCCAACCGTCACAGACGACGCCAAAGAAACCCGTCATAATTAAGGAGATGTCCTCATGATACATCAACGTGTGCTTATCAGGGTTTGCCATTAAATGCTTGGCGATTGTTCTGCGGAATCAGTTGAATCGCTGTACGGGCGAGGACTCGCGTAAGCGAAACTCGAAAGCAACATTCGCAGGTTGTGAACTAGTTTCTATCAAAGAGCGCTTGCGTGTATACTCCAAACGTGTTTGGCATTAGAAGGTTGTAATCTTCTGCATGCGCGGGTAGATCTCCATGGACATTGACAAACCCGAGGACGTGCCAAAGGCCAATGGCGCAGCGGAGTCAGCTGCCCTGGCTCCAGCAACAAGTGTGGAAGACAAGTTGAAATCTGTCGTGGCGCTTGTGGAAAAGTCCGTTAAAGCCAAGGACACCCGGCTATTGATCGGCAGGCTTCTTCGCCAAACAGCAAGTGTGCGGAAGCAGCTTACAGCATCGAATGTAAAATGCTTCTTGCAGCAGATGCTGCCGGCAGAGTTGGAGTCGCGCACTTTTCTGTGTTCGCACGTTGAGCAGGTAAGGTCTTCATTCCGGTTGGCCTCCCCCGCCATCCGGCAGAACAGCAATCTTTATGGGTCACCAAGCTCTGGCCATTTCCATAGGCGGCGGCATCGGGCATGGATGCGGACGAGGCCACCACTTCGGCGCAATGTGAGGTCTCGGCGGTGATCCCCGAGGTGGAGTTCTACGCATATCTCATTGTGTTAATCTTCCTCTGTGACACCAATCAGTATCAACTGGTGCGTGGCTGGCCCTGTGCTTAGCAAGCTTGGCCCGCAGGGCGGGGCAGGAGAGCAGGGGGACGCTCGGGGGCCGTGGGGCGGACAGCGCCTTACGTCTTTATCATTTGCTCGTGTTTTGGCTAATCTTGTCCCAAGTTACCTATCCCAAAGTGCTTTGCACTCATCGTTTCAAAGCCCGGGGGGGTGTCGGTCGGCATTTGCACGGCAAATTGACAACCCGTGTCGCACGCATGCGTATTCGATACCGATGCAGGGTATGTGCGGTATTTGAGGGAATGGGGTCAGGGCTTCCGCGGTCAGGGCTTTGCTGATCAATTGTGCTCTCTGACAGGCACGCAGCGTCGCGGACCACGCTGTAACGCGGCTCGCTCAGTTCAACCGCCGAACGCTTGATGTGATAGCGGCACGCATATACTTTTACTACGGGCTGAGCTACGAGCAAAGTGCGGACCTATCGAGCATCCGTAGGTAAGTATGCTTGCAGGCTATGAACGCTGTTTCCCGCTGCTAAATAGCTTCCTGAAGGGTAGTCCTGGGCAGCAGCAAATAAGGAAAACACCCTACGAACCACAGTCATAAAGCATTCCCTCAACCTGCGCCTGCCGCATTTGTACGTACACGCATCTCTGGGGACGTGTGCGTGCAGCGAACCCTTGTGTTGGCCTTGGCAGTCCCGCAGCAAGGAAACCCGTCAGGACTGTGGCTGTTAGGATGCCCAATCCAAGGCAGGGTTTTTTGCGCGCGCGTGTGTGTGTGTGTGTGTGTGTAGTTCCGGTATATGTGTTGTAAGCGGCTGGGGAATAGGATTGGGGATAGTTGTGTGCCACAGGTTGGCCGGTTGATACTGTGACGCCAAGGCCTGCGTTTGTTGTAGGGGAGGGGGTACGAAGGTGGAACCGGCGCGTACTTGCGTGTGGGCATGTGTGTGGACATGTGCAAGGAATTTGACCCAAAAGATAACTGGGGCCCACAGCACGAGGTCTCCAGTGTACGGGCAACGAGCAACGAAGACAGTCGTACGCATCAAGGTTGAGTGCTTGTTTGCTTCTGGCGGCCATGCTACGTTTCATGAATCTAAGTTGCATTCGTACTGCTGGTTTGTTGGTTTCGTGCGCCTGCAGTAAACTCCTGGCGCTGCACCGTACGGCAGTTTTGAGGCACGACGCGATCGGGCAGGAGACGCTCATGAACCTGCTCCTGCGCAACTACCTACACTATAACCTCTATGACCAGGTAGGCCATGGCACCGGGCAAATGGGCACATCGCCTCCTCTTGTGGTGTGGGCGGCATGCACATCTGTACGCATGTCTAGTTCCTTGCTGTGACATGACAAACACAAACGCGCTTTGCTCAGCCATCAGTTGTCCTTCCTTGAGTGAAAACCGGAAAAACGTTTAAGGGTTGGGAATGGGTGTAGCCGTCATCCTCCGCGATTGGTGGGTTTCCCTGAGGCGTCCCCGTTCGGGCTTCCCGGTGGTCCATGCTGCACCACAGGCGGAGAAGTTTCGCAGCAAGGCCCAGAAAGCGGATCAGTTTCGCAGCGGCCAGCAGTACTGCCGCTACCTTTACTACTTGGGTCGCATCCGCACCATCCAGCTGGAGTACACGGAGGCGAAGGACTGCCTACAGCAGGTGGGGCCTCCATAGTACGTGCTTGCACAGCAGTCAATATGGACGGCATTCAATCAGTGTTGGTTGGATTGGATGGACGCAGCTGATCTGGGTCAAGGCTGATCTGAGTCGTGGGCTGGGTGGGCAGTGCGGACGATTTGGGTCGGGCGGTGCATGAAAGAAATGATGTGGGTCATTAGCGGAGAGCAGCTTCAATGCGTTCGTCGTTGTGGGCCGCGTTCAGGGGGAGCAAAGCTTGAGGTTTCCCTTTTTATTTTGAAGAGGGGGGAATCCAAAGGGGGTCCGGAGGGGGTGGGTGGGATGAAAAGCTATACGCAGAGCAGCGGGACAGGGCTGCTAGTTAAACTACGTTGGAGTAGCCCTAACGTATTTGATGCGTGCGCTCTGGCCTGGGGTTTCACCGAGAGGCTAACACCGTTTCGCAATACCCAGACCTGGAACTCAGCTCATGGCACGATCTGCTCCGCAGCAGCTTCCCTCCTGGAACCCAGATAGAGCACCCAACGTAAGCCGTTTCACACACCTCGCAGCGCATTGCCCTGCCGCGCGTCCCTAAAGCCTCGTCCTGCTTCAGGAAGCATACTTCACTCTTCCATTCATCCTAAATCATCCGTTCTTACGCGGACTCTGCCTCTTTCCCCTTCCTCTCCATTCAATGCATACGGGCGCTCCTTGTGCGTGCGGCTGCTTACACGTTAAACCTTTCATGCGACGCAACCTACGTGAAGGCCCTTCGCCGCGCGCCTAGCATCGCGCACGGCTTTCGTATCACCGTGTCTAAATGGCTCATCCTGGTTCGGCTGCTGCTGGGCGAGATCCCGGACCGCCAGGAGTTCGCGCAGCCGGGCATGTCGGCGGCGCTGCAGCCATACTTTGAGCTGACTCAGAGCGTCAAGGCGGGCGACACGCTGGCGTTTAAGCAGGTGGGCTCCAGGCTCAGGACGGGTCCGCAGTCAGGCTGGGGCCACGGTGATGCTTGTGATTCTAGTTAGTTGGGCCTTTCGGCGACCAGGACTAGAGATCCACCGGGTTCTGGTCGAGATATTGAAGACTGATATCCCGCCGTTCGCGTTGGTCGCTGAGCCGAACGGCGGATGGTGGGCGCCCTGGAGGAGGAAGCGAGGACCGCCTCTGTGCAACAATTGAAGCGCCTCCGCGCCACTTGCATGATGACAGCCGGGGAGCCAGATAGCTAGAGCGGGCGGAACGGTGCGGCCTAGCAACAGCAGAGCATTAACAGCTGCGGTGGAATGTATGGATGTGGGTATTTTCGCTGCACAGCTCCTGGGATCTGCCGCACTTGCCCGACCCGCGCCAGGTGACGGAGCGCTTCAGCTCCGTATTCCTGGCGGACCGCACGCACAACCTCATCACACGGCTGCACCAGAACGTCATCCGGATCGGCCTCCGCCGCATGAACCTGGCATACAGCCGCATCAGCCTGGCGGAGATTGCCGCCAAGCTGCACCTGGTCAGCGCGGAGGACGCAGGTAAGTGCGTGCAGAATGACGAGGCGTTTACGTTGGAGGGGAAGGGGTGGGCTTGCCAGTCACGTGGGTGCGAAGGCTCACGGTAGCTCCAGCTCTCGTCACGGTTCTTGCCCTTAACCAGTGTTCTACTGTTTTTTCAGAGCTTTACCTAACGACGTATGAAGTAATGTTAGAAGCAGCTGTGCTGGCTTAAGTTACCTCTGTGACGACCAGTTGGCATGACACAATACGCTGTGACACAATGCGTGTGGATGAGTGGTTCTTCCTGCCCACCAAGGCTTGGGAGTTGGTGAAAACTGTGGGTGCAGAGTACATCGTGGCCAAGGCCATCCGGGACGGGGGCATCGATGCGGTCATCGACCACGAAGGGGGCTTCATGGCGAGCCGCGAGCGGGTGGATGTGTATTCGACGGCCGAGCCGCAGGCCGCTTTCCACGCGCGCATTGCCTTCTGCCTGGATCTGCACAACGAGGCAATCAAGGCTATGCGTTTCGAGCCAGATGCGCATAGGTGGGTAACAGTGAGGTGGGGAGGTGGGGGAGGCTGGTGGCGGTTGCTTTTGTTCATCCAGGCGTCAGCGGATAGGATCTTTTGGGCCTTCCGTTTGCAGCTTGGCGTCAGGTCAATGATTTGGATTTTCTTCCTTCAAAGGATGGGGTGTCCTATTTGGTTTGGTGAACGCAGGCGCAAGGCGGAGAGCAGCGAGGCACGGCAGGAGCGGCTCGCGGCGGAGCAGGAGTTGGCGAAGGCCCTGGAAGAGGATGACGGGGAGGACTTTTGAACGTGTCACGGGAATGTCAACATGGTGATGCGGCCGGCTGATGTGGACACGAGCGGGAAGCGGCGTGGCCAAAAAGGCTTGTGGTTTTTTCGCACGTTGAACAGTCACCGTGAGACGGTCTTGGCAGATGCCTGGAAGTTTGCCATGGAATGAATTGCGGTGCGGCACCGAGAGATGCATTATGCGTCATGCAGCGTGTACGGCGGTGTCAAGCCCCCAATTATGTAACGTCTAACGTGTACCATACATTACAATCTTGTGGAATTTGCCAAGAATATTTTAACAGTCATAGCCTTACAGGATGTTGATGGAGATATTGTGTATCTTTCATATGGGCAGCGTAGTAGAACGGCAAAAGAAAGAAATTGTCCGAGCCTTGACTCTATGAGAATAGTTCTTGCAAATGACACCTGAATGCTTACATTCTTTGTACATTGAATATCAACACGATGATGATTCCCTTCCCAGCTTCTCCGACGCACAGTTTACTGTACCCTCCGAATTCCGGACTGAGCTCGGGGAGCACGGTGACCAGCAGCTGCCTAGACGAGGTCCACGCGGTGGAAAAAGGCCGCTTCGACCTCGCCAGCAGCAGCTGTGTGCACTGGAGGCGGAATTGGAGCAGAAACTGAGAGATTTGAAAGCTGCCCAAGAGGAACATGATAGGCTCCAGCAACGTGCAAAGGTAGCTCGGTTAAGCATTGTCATGTTAACCTTTTAGCTGCTTTATTTCGGTCATCTACGACAGCGTGCTGTGACATATTTTATAGTCTCTCGCCATCCTGAGAAGATTATTGTGCTCATGCACATCAGCAAGAATAACGCGCTATTTTTTCCGATACAAGTACCGTACCTTGTCGAGTCACGTGGGCATGCCCTGGTCTGTTCTTTCCTTACCTGAGAGGGTGCCAAGCTACCATGCACGGCAAGCAAGGCACATCTCTAGCTCTCCGTGTGCTTGCTTGTTGGGCTGTCGCCCATGCCTGCACTGGAAGTTAACTCCATGTCCTACATGCCATGTTAACTACATGCCATGATGTGGTCGTTGGCCTGCTAGCAATGGCGAGTTTACCAACGTCTGCCGTAAGGATATGACGAGTTGTGGACAAAGTTATTGCAGGATTATTGGGCCAACGGCCATGGTCGCTGCAGGTGCTGGAGGTTGTGCTGCCTATCCGGGAGCAACAGGTGCAGCTGCTGAAGCAGAGGCGGCAGGTGGTCTATGGGCGGCAACAACCAGCGCACGTCCATAAGCAGGACGACGTGCCAAGTGCCAACGCGGTGCGTATCACTAAGTTGCAACCGTGTGTCTCCAACGGCGGGCTCCCGTCTGGTTCAGAGTCACCGTCAGCTGCCGACGGCACCTTGGAGCTTGGTCCCAAGTCTGCGGAAACGTGCCATCGACCTGCGGCGCTGGCGCGCGCTATCCAGGTTTCAATCGATTACGTCAAGGTCATGAACCATGCAAACACATTCACGTCCGGCCAGGTTGCGGTCTTCACCTCCGTGCCTGCACATGGCAGCGTGCCGCCCCACCTCCTGCGGCACATGGTAAACACGTGGAAGCAGTGGGTGCGCGAGGCGGGTCTCGTGCTTCACGCATATGACGCTCGTCCGCACGACCCCGGACCACAGCTCAAGCTTGCGCAGCTGTACGAGCAGCAGCTGACGCCCACGTTTCGAGCAATTCGGCTTGATTATCCGTTTTTCCTGTCGGAACTTATGTACCTCAACTTCGAGACAGGGGAGCGTGGGGAACCTCCGCCGGACAGTTTTTGGGTGAGTGAGTCATCATAAGCTGGTCCATAAACCGGGCCACAGCATGGGCTGACACCTAATCCGTGGATGGGTCCTGGTTGAGAAACTTTTCAAAGTAGTTTTCTTGGGATGTACAAAGCTCTGGGTTTAAACTGGTCCACTTACGCGGTCCGGCTTGGGGCACCGCTTCTCTCGACTGCCGCCGCCGGCGGTTATGGACGCGAGCTTATGGTTCGCGCGCTGCACTGCGTGTGCCAGCGATGCCAACTACGGGGGGCCAGCGCCGCCCCAAGTACCTTCCCCTAATCCTAAATCAACTCGAATGCCCATTCCACCCACATTGCCTCGTATACCTGCATGCTCACGCGTTGCCCACGACCCGACGCAGGTACCCGTGGTGCAGGGTTTGCGGTTCAGCCCCGAGCAGATTGCTGACGCAGTAGCCGCGTTGGCGCTGTACAAGGAGCGGACCGCAAAGGCGCTGGAGGAGCGGCGCATATTGGTGGCGAAGCTGGATTCAGTCTTGGCGGCAGACCGCCGGCGGTCGCCCTGGGAAGAAGGCCCGGGTGCGAACCAGGGTCAGTCCGGCCCGCTCAAGTGCTGCGATGTCCTTTTGGAGCTGGACTACCTGACGGCGCAACTCTACCGCAATGTGATGAACCAAGGCGGCGCGCTGGAGGCGGTGAAGGTGCGTGAGAAAGGCGGGCACAGGCTGGCTGAGTGCGGGAAGACACACTGTGTATGGCTAGCGGGGCCTTTTGTACATGAGGCAAAAATCGCGGCGTTCCCATGCAGGTCAGGGCGCGGTCTGAAGGCACCTTCGCCGGAGAGGCGCGATATGGTTTCATGCCACGTTTTGTTTCGAACCGCCTGACCCGGGGTTTCTAGTTCTGGCATGACTTTACTCTCAGTTTTTATGTCACACACCCCATGCGAGTCCCCCGTGAGCAGTGTGCGCACCTGTGTGAGTGGTGGCCGGTAGTGTCTGTTTCACGTCATCAGCGCAGGGCACCATGACAGGGTCTGTTCAACCTTTAACCTGTCCACTTGCATACTATGCAGCGACTGGCACGCCTTACTTTTTCCCTTGTACTCCCCACCCCTGTTTTGCTGGCTTGACTTGCTGCAGGACTTCATGGGGAGTAACCTCTTTTCGCTGGTGCAGGTCGTCCGGGGCAGCGTGCTGTCGTACCCGTACTTCCCTGACGCAATCGCAATTCTTAACTGCCTCAGCACGATGTCGCCTTTCCCTGTCAAATAGTCATGCGACGGAAGGTGCACGTGGCGAAGGTGCACTTGACGTGTTGGCACGGAGGCGGAATGGCACACGACCATGGCAACAGCCTAGAGGCAGCGGCGAACTGATGGCGTGGATGGTACGGCCTGCTCATGCACGGCGGCAATGTAAGCAAATGGGCTTGCAATATGCCTGTGATATCATCAGCGTGGTAATTATGTCTCCCTTTGCCGCGAGCCGACGTGTGCTGTACATACCATGCATGCATGTGCAGGACACGCTTCCCTGACCTAAACGTTCAATGGACGGAGAGGATGTCCAGGCGATGACGTGTTGGGGATGCTTTGGTCAGGATAGGTGTGTGTAGGATCCTTCTTTCGAGCTGTACTGTACAAGCTGGGGTATGTGTTAGATGTGCCCTCGAATAGATGCGTATTCGTTTCGCTTCGCAATGTTGTTGTTGTTGTTACAGGGTGGTTAAGCTTCACCAGTGGCCTCCTTCCCGAGGCAATTTCCTTCTCTCCCTTGCTAGAGAGGCACCCTAAGCCATTCACCCCATCCGACTTCAGAGTGTACCCTTTGGGTTCGGCAACTCACCACCAGCATCCAACCAAATCTAGCGGATCAACGGCGCCTCAACTTAGTTCCTGGTTAGCTCGCAAGTTGATTTTATCACGAAATACACCGTCCACAAGATGGGGGGCCACCTCCCATTTCATCAGCCCTCACACACCCGAGGGGTCGGCAGGCGGATTTCAACCCGGAGACTCCGGGAGCAGTAGTCAGGCCTTAACCTCTGCCAGCCGCCTGCAATGTTGGCATATGGCGTTTGTGTAGAGGCGGGCTGAGCAGCTGCAGGACCCCTCTCGAGGATTTGCGTCGCTCCTGTGTCTGGAACACGCACTTCACGGCGGTTTGGGTAGCTACTGCGGGGATTCCTCGGTCCTCCCACCTTTCCTCGCCTGCAGCGTGTTCTCGTTTCTGCTATCCATACAACATGGCTTACGTTTGCGCTACTCCGATGCTGGACATTCACCATTGAGCTTGCATCGCCATTTCAGGAATCCTTATTAGTACCGGAGCTCTCCGCTCTGCGCGTCTATGCGGGAGCATGGAAGGCGAGTGGATGGGGACCTCTTGGTTTGCATGACTGGCATCTTTATACGGAGTGTTCGGAGGCTCAAGTGGTGGCACGGCTGGCAGCCGCGTCCTTGCACAGATCCCGTGCTTTGTAAAAACCTGTTTGGTGTGGCGCCCGTGTACAACTGTGTCGAATTTGATTGTTTAACCGTAATACTGCCAAGCTTTCGAGCATTCACGCATGCCGCGCTTCTACTCTGCTTTCTCGCTGCGGCGGCCGTCCCATGGTGGATGCTGAGGAATCGCCCTGTCCAGTGGGTTCATCCAGCTGCTATCGCAAAGCTTTCGTTGCCGTGGCGATGGTTGTTGTAAAATGACGAAAATGGCGGCTAGCGCTTTTAGCATATGGGTTGCCTCAAAGCCGTTCCGCTATGCCCCTGGCAACAGGCAGCGTGGTTTATGTGCATTGTCACACTTTGTCAGTACAAGCAAGCAGGAGTTCATGAGGGGCATGCAGGATACGCTGATGATGAGCAGTTGTCTGAGAGCGAAGGAGCAAGATGGGGTCGGGGAATGCGTAGAATGCCTTCTCCGGCGGCCGTTGGTCGATAATACCCGTCGGTCGTGGATAATTCCCTTTTTGACTAGAGGGAGATGGGAGAATGTGAAATTCATCGTGTTGGAAGATACATCATGACTTTGTAGCGCATGAACTCCGAGCGAGCGTTTTTTGCAAACAACAACCAGGCCAGGACAACGTTCGGCCTAGTTCACAAAATGCAGTTTGGGCATATATACTGCAGTTGAGGCTACATATCTCCTGGGGCGTGACCCGCCATTATAGGACGAAATGCACAGTTAACAACAAAAGTCCGACATAAGTCATGCACCTCTGTTCCCAGCTAACATAGAACACTCCGGTTGCACTACCACCTGCAATCCGTTTACCACTGTGGGTGGGTTGGGTATATCCCTGTAAGGTCGCTAAAAGGAAAGGCTCCGAAGAACTACTAGCCAGCTCATAGTCCGCAGTTCATGCAGGGTCGTGGGTGCGCGTGTAGGCACGTGCAAGGGTTGTGGAAATGCAGATGATCCGGTCAGTTTGGATACCACCTTAAGCTGGTATAGGTCGGGATGGACACACCAAAGGCGCAAGCAGAGGCTCAAGGAGGGGAACAGAGGAGCACCAGGAAGGGTATCCCCGCTTGAGCTGCCTTTGCGGGGGCCCAGAGTGCCGGAGAGACGCTTGCCCAGAGACGCTTGCCCGTGTTTTGTAAACTATCGTAAGAGGAATGGAATATCTTCCATGGGGATTCGCAAGCAGCACAATAGCTTCTTATGGAATCCCCACTTTCCCAAAAATAATCCTTAGCTTCGTCATGTTACTGGCCGGTATGGACGGTACAACATGTAACGCCAAAGCATATGTGATGACGTCGCCTGAGCATGGCGAAGGCGAAGTGCTTTCTCAGACAAGCTGATAGCGGAGTCCGAATGCGTCCAAACACCCGCCACGACAGTCGCTGGGTCGGCCATCCTCAAAGTACCACCGGTCTGCCTTGCATTGCATGTGCCCACTGGGCCAAAGGTTCCAAAAGTCCAATCCTCAACCATACGCAGTCAGTCACGAACCGAGAAGCTCCTCCGGAACTGCGTCGTTAGCCGCATATACATGCCTCGCACTATACAAAAAAATGCAAGAAGAAAAGAGGAACCTCGGGGATTTGCTCACGCAGACCCCAGGCGATAACCTAAGGCCATATATTTTTTGAAGAGGACTTCCGTCTGCGGTTTACAGTCCACACGCAGCTCCTTAGAAGCACTGCACAACAGTACGCACACGACAATCCAGTTGGTCCATCAACCGTTCTTCTCGTGCGCTTTCCCCTGCCCGACCGAGGTTACCCCACGCATCAATGAAACCCGTTCCATCTCGACCAGATCATAATGTCGTACTTAGTTCGTCAACTGGGACGCAGACCTTTCCGCTGTGTGTAGTTCCATGATCATGACCCACCCTACCAGCGCGTCTCAGCGCTCGCTGCCAGCGCGACAGCAGAGCAGAGCAGGCCGGTAGACTAGCGGCGGCAACAGCAAATGCCGTCGCAACGGTGGGTTCTTCATTCACACTCGTGCTCGAAGCCACGCGCCCAGGGCTCTTCTCCAGCCCTGCGTCTGTACCTGCGGTCTTCTCTCACGCATATCTCTAGATGCATACCGTCTTCCCGAGTCACCTGGCCGCTGGATAGAGCGAGCAAGGCCACATCCCGGCGAATCGATACCGTCATGAACAGGAACGAACTGGTAAACAGGTAAACAAGAAGTGACTCGGCCCATGTATGCATGCAGCGATACGAAAGGATTTATATCTGTACATTGGTTGCGAGTTTGACGTGGAAGGATGTGTGACGCGCACACCCCCCTGAGGTGCGCTACGTGGGAAAACAATATGCAGCCGTGCCTTCACACTCCGCCGCGCCTCACTTAGCCCCACTCAGCGACGCTTTGCTTTTCGCATGCGAGGTCACTCTGCTCGCGACGACTGAGAGAGAGGCGTGCCCATGTACGGCACGGCAGCCACGATGATCACCATGGTGACGATCACGGCGGCCATGATGACGTCATGCAAGCGAATGGAACTACGATGTTCGCATGAAGGATAATACAAACGTGCCACGAACACAGGTGCCGTACCACGAACACCGCGTACGGCAAGAAAACAGAAACCCAGCAGCCAGTGCGATCATTCTCCTCTTTTCACCCTCCTCAATCGCTCATTTTTCTCTCCTGCTCGGAGGCTGCTTTTAGCATCGCATCACGCCCGCGCCGCATGGCTGCCCATGCCCCTCTCGTAGTTTAGCCTTACGCCTCTGTGCCGCTGAGGGTCCGGGCCCATAAGACCCCCCATGGCGCTGCCGTAAGGCCCTGGAAAGCAGGCGCCAGCACCACCGCCATTGCCGTCCCCCCTCCCCAATAGGGCTCCGGCCATGTTGCCATTGAGCAGCGCTCCACCAGCCTCGTGAGGCGGCGCTACGTCGATCATCGTGTAGGAATTGATGCCTCCGAGCTGGCTCTGCTGGCCACCGATCCCATGCAGCTGCTGGATCCAGTCGTTGGAGCGGAAGGTGTCGTTGCCTGTCAGCAACGTGAGGCCATTCCCCATCAGATCGTCCGTCTTGAGCATGTCCAGGCTGAACATAGAGCCGGCTTGCTGGCCGTGACCCCCGTCGCCCAAATGGTTCCCGGTAGGCGCGTGGGGACCTGCAGGGAGTGAGCGGGATGTGCTTGTCGCGTAGAGGGCCAGAGCAGCCGGAGATGTTGTAAGTACGCTGGACTCTGCAGGCATTCCTACGGCTTGCTATCTATCCCTCGACTTGCTAAATATATTTGTACTTGGTCAGCTCAATCCTTCCTACCTCAGTTGTTTACTCTCACTTCCCGCATGCAAGCCTAAAGTAAAAGTGTCCATAACCACCTACCATTTAGATCTTGCGCTGCAAGCTGGCCGCCGCCGCCGGCCCCATTCGGCGGCATATGATGGAACCTTGGGAACGCGTCCGCGATGTTCATCATCATGGCGTCCGCCGCAAACGGTGAGCGCGTCGCTCCGCTGCTCGTGGCGCTTCCCGACCCGCCGGCAGCAGGCGGGTGATGAATCGTCGCGGCGCCCATTACCCCCACCGCCTGTTGACCACCCACGAGGCCGCTGCTGGTGCCGCTGCCCGCTCCGTTGACGGCCGGTGGCACGTTACCGCCGCCAAGATCATGCATGGCCGGTGCCGCCAGCGCAGAACGTAAATGGCCCATGGCTGGTGGCTGCATCATCTTCATGAGGGGGGCCCCAGGAGGCGGCCGCGGATGATCCAGCAGTTGGCGTTGCGAATGCCGCGGCGTGTACGGCGTGGAATTATCAACACGGTGGCCACCACCCGGCGCCTGCACGGGAAGTTGGGCCGTGCCCCCTAGTTGCGCACCAGTCAGGCCGACGCATGCGCCAGCTTCGGGGTGGCCGTATGTGACACCTCGCTGACCGTACATATCTCCCGCATAACCGGCACCACCGCCGCCGCCGGCTACCGTCAAGCCACCGAGTACCGGCGACGGAGGCCTACCGGGGATACCGTACGTTGCTGCCGGCATCACTCCCGCCAAGTTTGGCCCCAGCGGCATCAGTGGCACGCCTGCCGCGCCCCCGTTAGAGGGCCCGGCGCCAGCGGCGGCTGCCACGGCAGGGCCAGGTCCAGGGGGGGTAGCCGGGGGCACAGCCTCCTCGTTCTCGCTAAAGATGGCCCAGTTGGGGTGGTTGGTCATGTACCAGTTCTGGACGGCAGAGTTCTTCAGTCGCGGAATCGCGCTGAAGTCCGCCGGGCTGAGCTGCTGCAGCTGGATAATCTGGGTTGGAACATCCGGACCTTGGCCTGCCTTGACAACGCCTGATGCAGGTCATGTGCGGAAGGAGGGATGGGGCTTGGGCGGGTGGTGGTCAAGAAAGCCCGGAAGGTTAACACCAGGCATCCGGAGGTTCCCATGGTGATGCGAACGAAACCTTGGAGCGACGGGAGTTATCCAGTGGTATCCAGTGTACAACTTAACGCCCGTCGGTCATCAAGCTAATGCCGAACCTGGCTACGCGCAAAGAGTTGTGGGTCGGTGGCGGTGTGCGCTTGCATCTCCACCTGGGGCTCAGTTACAGCTCTACGCCTCCAAAACTGCATCCTATAGTCCCCTAGAACACAACACCCTCGTCAGTAAGAAATCTTTGATAACAAAAACGCCTTGGTCCTTGGCTGTGGCGCGCTACATATCGTGTGGGATGAGAGGTGTTCGTACCTATGGGGTTATCCAGGTCGACAGCTCCGTTCTTGCACTGGTACAGCAGCCCCAGGCTTGATGGCACGTACCACCAAACTCGTTGGCGCGGGTCAGGCGATACAGCGCTCATAGCGTGCTGGCACAATTCATCCCACTTCTCCGGGGAAAGTTTGAGCATCAGGCGCAACTGCGGGGGCCGATGGCCGAAAGCGACGGAGTAAATTATCCCCTCGAACCCCATACAGTGCGGTTAGCGGTACGTGGTGGAATACGTTAGCGAGGCAGCTCTAGGTGAGAGCCCTCACAACAACAGTCATCCACCTCGACGCAATGCAATGCAAGGCAAGGCAAGTGCAGCTGGCTCCCACCCGCCAGGAGAGTGTCAACTGACAAGGCAAGGCAACGCTGGTAATGCCAGGCACATCGCCTGCGCCTTTTAAGGAGCGCCTGAAGGCTGACCTGAGCCGGCGTAAAACATAGCCTACGTGAGCGGCGTGGCAGACGAAGATCCGTAATACACATACTGAAGACCCCGTCCAGATTGTTCCCTCCTCGCTCTCCCTTTGGCCCTTTCTGGCGCTTTCCCTTTAGCCCTTCTGGTACTACTCCTGCGGGAAAGGAGTCGTCAATCCCAACACACAACTACCCAGGGAGAAATCCACGCTATCGGAGCCCATACTACCACAGCCACAGAATCGCATCAACGTAGAGAGGTTTCATGGCGTTGTCAACGCGATCCTGCAGCTCCGCCTTCCACCTCACCCTGTTCTTCAGCTCGTTGTTGTTCTCGCTCAAGTCCACCAGCTTCCGGAACTGGCCGACCTTCTCCACCTTGACGAGATCCTCAGGCAGCTTGAAGTCGAAGCCTGCATGCAGTTCGGGAAACCGCAACGTGGCCCAGCTGAACGGGAAGCCGCTTTCCAATCAGGGAGGCGGGCTCTCCAGCTAACAGTTGACTCCTCGCAGTGTGTGCGACTGCAATGCTACAGGGGCGGCAACGGACAGCCTGATCAGCCACTACACCCATGCCCAGACCTTGTGACCTAGCAGCCGACGTCCCCTGCTGGCGCCGCGCTCTCTCAGCTGTCCGACTTTCCCCCCCAACTGTTCACCTTCCTCCTGGAAGGCCATCCGCAGATCATTGAGCTTTTCCACCGTGGCCTTGCCGATATGCACAAGCTTTGAAATGCCGTCCATGACGGAGGGAATGTCCGACTTGATGGCACCCTTGACGCGCTTAGTGGCCACCTGGAAGATGCGGATGGGGCAGCCATCAGCAAGCAACGCGGACTGGCCAGCTCGTCAAGCAGCCAATGTCCGACGTTCTCCAACCCTCCCACAGTAACACATGCGCAATTGCAGGTAGGACGCACCACGAAGCTCTCCGACACGACGTAAGTAACGTGGGGCACCGGCTCCCCGTCCTCCTTCACAGCCCACACCAGCAATCGGAAGGTGGGCGCCTTGCCGCTCAGCAGCGCCTCGCTACTGGTGGTCAGGGCCAGGTCCGACAGCTTGGCGGTGCCGTGCTGATGGAGAAGCCCAGCAAGGGGAGGGAGTTGCAGCATTGGCAAGGCAGCCGCGTAGAAAGGAAGTCAAGCCAAGCTGAAAAACATCCAAACATATGCAAATTTTGAGCCAAACAATAGCGGGCAGGTGGCTAGCAGAGGTTAAAGCCTGACTTCTGCTCCCGGAGTGGTCGGGTTCCAATCCGCCTGCCGACACCCCGGGTGTGTGAGAGGTGATGAAATGGGAGCTGGCCCCCGATCTTATGGACGGTGCAGGACGTGATAAAATCAACATGTGAGCTGACCAGGAACCTAATTGAGGCGCCGTTGATACGCTAGATTTGGCTGGATGCTGGTGGTGAGTTGCCGAAACCAGAGAATACGCTTTGAAGACGGATGGGGTGAAAGGATTAGGGTGCCCCTCTAGCAGGGGAGAGCAGGGAAGGAGGCCACTGGTGAAGCTTAACCACCCTGTAACAGCAACAACAATAACAGCAACTTACGACACGGCAGTTCAAAGAGCGAGAGCGAAGCCACGAAAACCATTCGGCGAGTGGTTTTGGTTGTTGTGTACGCGTCAGGAAGGCGAGGGTTTTACACCAAACTATGCTGCGCCTCACCTCCAGCGGCAGGAACACCTCCAGGTCGGTGTCAGACATGCCGTCACGCTTGAGCAGTGCCTTCGTGTGGTAGTTGATGACGCAGCTCTTTATGTCGCTGATCGACGGTAACGCTTTGTCCGAGCAGAGCTCCTTGTACTTTTCGCCATTGAGAATGCGGAGCTTCGATCGGTAGATAGGTGGGTGGGTGGGTGGGTGGGTGAGCAACTGAGGGGTTCCCAGGAGGGGTGAAAGTCCACTTCCCACTACGCATTCGAAAAAATATTGCATTGGCTAAGGGCCACCAACCTAACAAGGGCAAATATACATGCCCTGCAATCACGCAGCATTCGCAAATGCGCGCACATGTCCGTGTCCGTGTCCGGCCAAAACCCACCTCGAGCTTCATCCCGGCAGGTAGCCCGTCGGTGTGACATGCGCCAGTATCGTCCACCAGCTCAACTCGCAGCTGTGCGCCGCACTTCGCCTTGAGGTAGTCGTCGATCAAATACTTGGATTTTACATTCCGGGTGCAGAGGCGACTGGGGTTGTACTGGCACAGGACACAGGTCTGGTCACCGCAACCCGTCGACCTGAGTGGGTCAGTGGAGCATTGGAAAAGGAGGCGAGGCGTCGTCGAACATAAGGCGACACATGCGTTGCTGGACCGCATTTCATTTAGGTTTTCTGGCCGCATAGCACTCGAAGCCCTTGTAGGGGGTTCCTCAGAGCTGCGTGTTCGCACTGGCGCCAGCCATTCGCCCCTGGTGGTGCGTACGAACATGTTGATCCGCGACAAAGCTGCTGGGGCTGTGCGACCGGAAGCTCCGTGCCACCGACCCCCTTTCGTGGCTGGTATGGGACGTGCAACGCAGGGAAGACTCTGACATTGCTCACTCAGCACCAACGCGACGATCTATGCGGGTTTCAAGGAGTGGATTTGCCAGCCCCTTTGCCGAACTGCTTGATTCCCAGTGGCCATCCGTGACGCCTGGTACACTTACTGGCAGTCGTGCCGTATAACGAGCCGCAACGAGCGCTGTGGGGCAGCTGCGGCCTCTTGCTGATGCATAGATGCTATCACTTCGTCTATCAAATTCCTCATATTGTCGGGCGTGCAGGTATGACGAATTTGTTCAGGCATAGTGGAATTACTTAATCGTCGAAGTAGCATACTCCCGAACTGGCGCAGTTTGGTGTCCAAATATACCTGCATAAAGATATAGACAGGCTTAGGATGCAGATAAGGTGACCGAAAAGGAGTGGCGCACGATTGAGCTCACGTCCAGGATAGCTCGATATGGCCGCAGTTCAGCAGGAAGTGGAACATGGACGTCCATCCTGCTTATAGACGACTTCTTTCAGGAAACTCAAACACAGCCTCAAGTGAGGCCTTGCAATTCTATCGAGCGAAGAAAAACGTACGCTGTACTAGGAAGATGGGTAAGAGTTTGGCTGGATGGACCGGCCAACTCAGAACTATGCGACGTCCGTTTCCATAATGTTATACGCAGCTTCAGACATTAACTTCAAGTTGCGACTCTTGTGGCTGCAGGCAAATTGGTCTTCTTTCGATTAGGTAGAGCAGTTCGTTGAACCTGCACGGCAGCCCGGTTTTCGGGCCCCGGACTAAGGACCGGGAACCGATCCACACTTGTATGTCAGAGTGATCAGTCCGGGCATATAAAACTTAAATGCATCGCATTCCGTGCAGCGTGTTTCGCATGTTAGGTAATGAAGCGAACTAGGGTAACGACCATAACGGGCATAGATCTTTCACAATTTAGCTATTGCGAAGCAGGGCCATGAGGCGAGGTAAATAGAGCTTATCGTGTCATATGTGACGGAGAATAAGAGGCAGAAATTTCTCGCATAAAGTGTTTGTGAAATGTATCATACAACGCCCTGGACGGTATTCCACTTGCATGCGTGCTTGGTGTCCGTCCAGCGTACGTAAGGACTAAGGAAATGTCCTATGTTTTTCGAAGGAAATGCCTGTGTCCTCCTCCGTCGCTGTTCCAGAGCAAGCCGCGAACGTTTGTACCACAGTACAAAATCACGGAGAAATGGTCACGAACTTTAGGATACATGACATGCAATCTCTGGACCAGGCACATCCAGATGAAATCAATAATAGAAATATAAATTATTTAGTACGTAAGGCTCGTTCTTATTATCCAGCGGCGGCATCACTTTCAAAGGTTGCGACCGCCGGACAGCGAACTCCAGGTTCATGGCATGTCCTCAGGCTCGATGCTCTAGTCCTGAACTAAGCTATCACCCTTAGCACGCATACGGTGGGACTTGAGGATTGCATGACTTGCGCGTTGTACTAACACCAGACCGTGTGACCGTGAGTCTTGTCCTATGGAGAAGAGCATTGCTTATCTCGCGATTGCCTTCGTGCATTATCCTGCGACGAAGCTACAACGGGCCTATCTTCAGGGTAAACAGCTACTCAACTGCGCAGGGGGAAAGAAACTGTAACCCTTATCTGAGTAGAATGCAAAAGTTTGCCAAAGTGTACATTTACATTGATATCATATCCGTGAGTTCGAGTCGCTCGTTGCAAATTGTGGTGTACGATATTTAAATTTTCAAGCGACAGTCGGTCCCAGCTTATGAATGGAACGCGAGGCTGAAAAGGACGAAATGCTTAAGGCAAAACAGTTCCCCTGTCGTGTGTCCACAGACCCAAGGTGCGTCTGCCAGGGGAAACGTGAACCTCACGACGTCGCCCGGCGTTGCGCTGTGGCCCTCACTTTTCAGTCGTTCACTTCAGCTATCCACGGCCAGTCGTCCACCTGACATACACATGGATTAAATTTGTTATCGCCCAAATGCAGTTTCCCTGTGGCCCATCGTGAAAAGAGGCACGGCCGGATTCACCTGTTTGCACGGCCACGACTTCCCCGCAGGTGTGATGCTATTAGAGTCCCAAGTGGTTTAATGCCACGACAAGGTTGGACAAATCTGAGTCCATCCCATAGGACCTCATCCCCATCGTTCTACGAATGATGGACACCGCCTTAGAAGGCATGCGCCCCTTTTCCTCCTCTCCTGCCTCTACTACCCGTCCACAGCGACAGAAGCGCTAAACATGTTATTTCATCCAACATACCAAGATATACGGAACGGGTCCCACGCCGCGGTGGTCCCATGCATGACTAGAAAACAGAAGCACGCCGGCAGACAGACAGACGCAAAAAATGGTTTGCCGCCATTCATGGAGTGGCGCCGCGCGGGAATCTGTACAAGCGGTTTGTCATGGAGGACTAAGGCCCAGAAGCTCCCCAGGGCCCGCAGCAACCCCATGCAACCTATCGAGAGGAAAGGCGCATGCAGAGCTGTAGGGCGACTCGCCACACCACTCGAGCCTCAACAATCTAACTCAACGCAACATTGCCTTGCACATGCAGATCATACCGTGTAAGGCAATAAGGCAGGAAAGGAGGTTCAACAGCAACTCGCTGCTCAAGGTGGAACACGTATAAGATAGGGTGGTGGTCACCTTACGATCGGACGGAACAACATACACATGTGCATATAGGACAAGCAACGTCAATACCGGGGCCGTGGTGTTCGAGCGCCGCCCACGAAGCTCTTGCTTGGGACACAAAACATGCGGAGCAATTTACTTTTGTACATATGCGCACAAGCACACCAACAACGCTGCTGACATACGCGCCGAAGGAACACCCTCACGTACCTCTCGGCCATGAAACACATGCTGACTCATCACACATTCCTTACCCCTTGCCTTCTTTGCTCGAGCCTTTCTGCCTCCCAACCTCCGTCCGCTCATCATTTAAATTGCCTACCTGGCAGGCTGACACCTGCTACCTGGCAGGACCTCCGCATATATACCTACCCCCCAATTATGCCCTTCCAACAGCTCGTGCGCAGCCAGTTGCAACATGAAAAGCACGTGATTTCCATGGTCCGTTGAACCACGAAGCCCCAAACGAGCCCATGGCCGAGAACGAGGTATGGCAGCGGCTGTTGGAAAGCTGCTTCAATCCCCCACACCGAAAGGCTAACCCCGCCTTCAGTTCGTCCCTGTTCTTCGCACTCCCGTTTAATTATGCACACTCTCCTTCGCATCCTGCGAATGGGTTGCAGCCTCAGGCCCCCCTGTGGTCCGCAATGACCTTCTCGTAGTCTAGGGTTATGCTTCGGAGCCGCTCGGACTCCAGTCCGACTAGACCGCTACCAACGTCGCCTTGGGCCCCTGTGAGCCCGGCACCAGGGGCACCACCGGCACTACCGTCACCATCCCCTGGAGTATCACCAGCAGCGTCGCCAGCCTCGTGAGGCGGCGCTACGTCGATCATCGTGTAGGAATTGATGCCTCCGAGCTGGCTCTGCTGGCCGCCTATCCCATGCAGCTGCTGGATCCAGTCGTTGGAGCGGAAGGTGTCGTTGCCTGTCAGCAACGTGAGGCCATTCCCCATCAGATCGTCCGTCTTGAGCATGTCCAGGCTGAACATAGAGCCGGCTTGCTGGCCGTGACCACCGTCGCCCAAATGGTGGCCGGTAGGCGCGTGGAGATCTGCAAACAGCGTATAGGGCAAGCATTAAGCGGATTTCAGATCGGGACCGGAAGAAGACACCCATCCCTGTGGGAATACAAGCAAACTAGTTTTGTGCGTTAGCATTTGCACATGGGCCCACCAAACATGTGAACGATTGATGGGCACGGACTATTATGGCTAATGCTGCAGGACGTCTCCGGTAGGCGGGGTGATGCTGGAGCCATGCTTCAAAAGGTCGCAACGCAAACAGCTTGCCTGCATAGCGGACATCACAATGTTCCACGGTGAAAAGTACGCGGCCGATCGAAACCGCGGCAAGAAGAAGACCTCCGAACCATATTGGCAAAAAAAGCTTGAAGCGTCTCTATTTTCCCTTGGAAGGCGGGGATAGCCCAAGGTGCACACGGAGGCGGGGCTGGGCCACCTCCAGATCCCCTAACCTTTAACAACTCCATTCCCGGCACGAGCACGCCGCATTCTTTCCGTGGCATCGTGTCGGACGTCCGATACCCCCTTCACACCACCTTGCACACTTCTCGCACCATTTAGATCTTGCGCTGCAAGCTGGCCGCCGCCGCCGGCCCCATTCGGCGGCATATGATGGAACCTTGGGAACGCGTCCGCGATGTTCATCATCATGGCGTCCGCCGCAAACGGTGAGCGCGTCGCTCCGCTGCTCGTGGCGCTTCCCGACCCGCCGGCAGCAGGCGGGTGATGAATCGTCGCGGCGCCCATTACCCCCACCGCCTGTTGACCACCCACGAGGCCGCTGCTGGTGCCGCTGCCCGCTCCGTTGACGGCCGGTGGCACGTTACCGCCGCCAAGATCCTGAACTGACGGCGCCACGGTTGGTCCCGTGCGCTGCTGGCTGATTGCCGGCTGCACCTTCACTGAGGGCTGCTGCTGTTGCGACAATTGCCGTTGTCGCTGCGATTGCGGCTGCTGTTGCAGTACAAAGGGTGTGGAATTATTGATACGGTGGCCACCACCCGGCGCCTGCACGGGAAGTTGGCTCATCCCTGCAATCTGCATGGGCATCTCCGCCAGCCCGACATAAGCGCCAGCTTCGGGCTGGCCGTATGTGACACCTCGCTGACCGTACATACCTCCCGCATAACCGGCACCACCACCGCCGCCGCCGGCTACCGTCAAGCCACCGAGTACCGGCGACGGAGGCCCACCGGGGATACCGTACGGGGCCGCCGGCATCACTCCCGCCAAGTTTGGCCCCAACGGCATCAGTGGCACGCCTGCCGCGCCCCCGTTAGAGGGCCCGGCGCCAGCGGCGGCTGCCACGGCAGGGCCAGGTCCAGGGGGGGTAGCCGGGGGCACAGCCTCCTCGTTTTCGCTAAAGATGGCCCAGTTGGGGTGGTTGGTCATGTACCAGTTCTGGACGGCAGAGTTCTTCAGTCGCGGAATCGCGCTGAAGTCCGCCGGGCTGAGCTGCTGCAGCTGGATAATCTGGGTTGGAACATCCGGACCTTGGCCTGCCTTGACAACGCCTGATGCAGGTCATGTGCGGAAGGAGGGATGGGAAAGTGGTCAGCTTGCAAGTCAGGAAATCCGCTTTTCCCACCAGCACGCTGCCATCACTATCATAGAAAGCTTAAACAACCCATCATAGAGGCCCGGCAGGACCTTTCTAACCCCTTTGAAGCCAATTATAACAAGGTGTGTGTGAGTTGTGTTACTCTCCGAAGGTGTAACGGGCTCCATATGAGCCCGGGGCACAAGGGCCAGCCGAATGCTGTCTGAAATAGATATCATAAAAACACATCATTTAAAAATTTTTCATCCTCTCGCTCAAAAGGAAAAGGTACACTATCACCAAAATGTCCTCGGCTGTGGCACAGCCTGCGGCGTCAGATGTCGTACCTATGGGGTTGTCCAGCTGGACAGCTCCGTTCTTGCACTGGTACAGCAGCCCCAGGCTCAATGGCACGTACCACCAAACTCGGTTGCGGAAGTCAGGCGATACAGCGCTCATAGCGTGCTGGCACACCTCCTCCCACTTCTCCGGGGAGAGCTTAAGGACGTGGCGTAGCTGCGGGGGCCGGTCATATAGGGCGGATAGGTACAAGGAAACGCAAGCCGTGGTAAGGAAAGCTTACGCGACGTCTATCCATACCGGCCAGACGCGGTGGGAACACTACGCTCCCCTGGTGTAAGCAAATGGTAAGGGAAGCGAGTAAGCAGCGCCATGACCATAGCGCAACAAAGGCCCGGAATGGCAGGGTTTTGGAGCCACGGGCCCATGCCAACCCTTTCCAACAACTTCGGTGCTCCGCCTTCCACCTCACCCTGTTCTTCAGCTCGTTGTTGTTCTCGCTCAAGTCCACCAGCTTCCGGAACTGGCCGACCTTCTCCACCTTGACGAGATCCTCAGGCAGCTTGAAGTCAAAGCCTGCATGCAGTCCGGGAAACCGCAACGTGTCACAGCTGAACGGGAAGCCGCTTTCCAATCAGGGAGGCGGGCTCTCCAGCTAACAGTTGTCTCCTCGCACTGTGTGCGACTGCAATGCTACAGGGGCAGCAACGGACAGCCTGATCAGCCACTACACCCATGCCCGAGACCTTGTGACCTAGCAGCCGACGTCCCCTGTTGGCGCCGCGCTCTCTCAGCTGTCCGACTTTCCCCCCCAAACTGTTCACCTTCCTCCTGAAAGGCCATCCGCAGATCATTGAGCTTTTCCACCGTGGCCTTGCCGATATGCACAAGCTTCGAAATGCCGTCCATGACGGAGGGAATGTCCGACTTGATGGCACCCTTGACGCGCTTAGTGGCCACCTGGAAGATGCGGATGGGGCAGTCATCAGCAAGCAACGCGGGCTGGCCAGCTCGTCAAGCAGCCAATGTCCGACGTTCTCCAACCCTCCCACAGTAACACATGCGCAATTGCAGGTAGGACGCACCACGAAGCTCTCTGACACGACGTAAGTAACGTAGGGCACCGGCTCCCCGTCCTCCTTCACAGCCCACACCAGCAACCGGAAGGTGGGCGCCTTGCCGCTCAGCAGCGCCTCGCTACTGGTGGTCAGGGCCAGGTCCGACAGCTTGGCGGTGCCGTGCTGATGGAGAAGCCCAGCAAGGGGAGGGAGTTGCAGCATTGGCAAGGCAGCCGCGTAAAAAGGACGTCAAGCCAAGCTGAAAAACATCCAAGCAAATCCAATTTTTTAGCCAAATAATAGCGACTTTCGACATGGCAGTTCAAAGGGCGAGAGCAACGCTACGAAAACCATTCGGCGGGTGGTTTTGGTTGTTGTGTACGCGTCAGGAAGGCGAGGGTTTTACACCAAACTATGCTGCGCCTCACCTCCAGCGGCAAGAACACCTGCAGGTCGGTGTCAGACATGCCGTCGCGCTTGAGCAGTGCCTTCGTGTGGTAGTTGATGACGCAGCTCTTTAAGGTGTTGGTAGACAATAACGTGTTGTCAGGGCACAGCTCCTTGTACTTTTCGCCGTTGAGCATGTGCAGCTGCAAACCATTATCGCAGCAAGACGTTACCCACGCTTGAAGCAAACACCTCTCCCGTCTCGCATGATGTACAAGACGTGAAGGATAGCATGCAACCCGTAGCAAATAAGGGCAAATCTACATGCCCTGCAATCACGCAGCATACTCAAAGGCGCGAACGGGTGCAAATGTCCGTGAACCTACCTCGAGCCTCACCCCCGCCGGTAGGCCCTCGGTGTGACATGCGCCAGTATCGTCCACCAGCTCAACTCGCAGCTGTGCGCCGCACTTCGCCTTGAGGTAGTCGTCGATCAAATACTTGGATTTTACATTCCGGGTGCAGAGGCGACTGGGGTTGTACTGGCACAGGACACAGGTCTGGTCACCGCAACCCGTCGACCTGAGTGGGTCAGTGGAGCATTGGAAAAGGAGGCGAGCCGCATAGTGCAAGGCCCGGGATGAATGGCGATGGCAACGGTGTCTGTTATGGGGTAGGTAAGGAGCGAGGGATAAAAGCTGCGTAACCAACCGGACAACATGAAATGGGGCACATTTTCGGGTTCCTTAAGCCTCGGTCGTACGCGGTGAACCATAGCCACCGGCGCATTTTGTGTGCTTTAGCCGGTTGGCAAGAGCGAGGATGGAACCTGAGCTGGCGCTAGGCATGCAACGCTGTTGGTCGCCGGGATGTAGGAGGTGCTACTCCCGCCGGTGCGGTGCGTGCATATCATTAGAGGCCTGCTTGGGCTTAGTCAGTAACGACGGGGCATTTAGAGCCGCGAACCCGTGGACTACCAGCTCCATGCCCGACCATACCGCCCATGGGCCCCGCAAGGTACACTCACTGGCAGTCGTGCCGTATAACCAGCCGCAAGGGGCGCTGTGGCGCAGCTGCAGCCTCAAGCTGCTGCATAGCTATCATCGCTTCATCAATTACACTCCTAACTTGATCAGGCGATAATCCATTACCGATTAGTCGAAGCAGGATAGTCCCGAACTGCCGAAGTTTTGCGTCCAAGTATAACTGCATGGACGTGGAAGCAGTCGCATCATTCAAGGTGACAGAAAAAATGACGCACGAACAAACTCACATCAAAAGAAGTCCGATAAGGACGCAGTTCAGCAGGAAACGGAATAGGGGTGTCCATTCTGGTTATCTCTGCCCTTGGCCCTGGGCCCCCAAAGGGGCCTTTAGCAAGTGCAAGCCAAAAATGGCCGGACTGGTTCGTATATGGACTGTGGTATTACAAAAAGGACAGACCGGCGCTCGGAACCGAGTCAGAAGTGTTTAAAAAAGTAGACGCAACTACCAAGCCAAACTCATGCACAGTCAGAAACTGCAAATCACAACACAAAAAGGGCTAAGGGACAAAATAGGCCCTGTTCGGGTCAGATAGAGCAGTTCAGTGAAGCTGTACGGTAGTTCGGTTTCGTACCAGAGCGCCAGGCCCAAACGAAGGAAAACATGGAAATAGGATTGCCAAAGTCAACTTAATATCGTGTCCAGTTTATTGCTGTGTTGGGTGTTCTTCTATAACAGTGTTTTGGCTTTCGGAGGTTCAGACAGCAATGCCTCTGGTCGTTCCTAGTGTGCTTAGATCTATGTAGGGGATAAACCCTTATTCTTTGCAGTTGAGCTGCAATGGACGCGTCCCAAATAGAGAAGGAGGCACTTGAGAAGGCAAAGAAGGTAAACGCCTCATGTTCTCTGCTATGTTGAATCTATTGCTAACTCTGCTGGTATTGTACATTGTCTTTTGCTTGTATGCCTATCCTTCGTCAATTCAAGGAACGCTTGCAAAAGCGGGCCAATACAATTGCCAGCCTTTTGCGTAAATTTATGGTTGAATGGAATTCTGCCTATATGAAGGAACTTGAGGCAGCACGAGCAGGTGCGTGCCCCGTGTGAGCTCGACTGCCCTCTCGTTTATATACTCACGAATCCGTAAAAAACCCTTACGTTTACGAACCTGGAGTGCCATGCGAACATCTTTGTTGCTTGGGTGTAGTTTTAACGTGGCTATTCAGGAGGGTCCGAAGCCGAATGTGCCCAAGGGGCCCATGTCATCTGTATCTTGCGGGCGTAGAAGCCCATATCGTGAACACTGGCGATGATACTGTTCCATTAACACCCCATCTTCTTCCCGCGGCATCCCGACTTACCGCCCGCCCGCGGTTGTTACATTACGCCTTCAGCTGCTGCCGCGAAAGCGGCCATGAGGGGGAAAAGACGACGGAAGGTCAAGGTTGCAAAGCCAGAACCCAACACAAAGGACGCAAAGAAAAAGTCGAGGAAACCAAAGACAAGGATGGTGGGTGGTGGTGCAGACGGCAATCGGTAGGGGTGCCAACGCAGGCAGCAGCGTATGGTAGCGATTGGACCTGTACGCAGCAGCGTATGAGGATCAGGCGATGTTCCTAGGAAGGTGTTTTGCTTCATCTTGCTTGCAAGTTGATTCCCGTCCTTAGCCTGGTACCCACGTGCCCCTCCCTCAGTTTACCTCCTCAAATCCCACCCAATGGCGGCAAAGACCATTATTGACACCAGAGCACCATACCCCAGCAACCCGCTCCTCCTTGTGGTTGCGAATAACGACAGTTGCTTCCACCGTTGGTCATTCTCGCCTATAATCTACCCTCACTTCTTTTCCTTACAGGCTGAGGTATGGTTCCTGCTATTCAGCTCCATCGATGAGCTGATCAACAAACAGAAGCGCATAGTTCTAGAGGACCTGTACCGGGGCACGGAGCTGCTTTCCCCTCCGGAGCTCGTGCAGCTGCGTAACATTCTACACACCGCAAACAAAAAGGCGAGTATGTATTCATGGCGGCCGCATGAACACACGCCCAACCTATGCTCGATTATCCCCACTTTTGTCGAACAATTAATTAGACTCCTAAACCGCACCAACTCGCAATGCCTGACCCAGATCAGGAAAACACTAATATGTGAGCCGTAACCGGTGAAACATAATCCCACACAAGGCCCACAATCTTGCACGCTGTACATAGAAACTCCCCCAGCATGGCGCAACGTTCGTTCCACGTCACACATTGATCACCAACCTTGTCTGGCCTTAGGTCCTCCCTGCGGATATGAACGTCAACCAGATCAACATCAAGCAGACGCTGTGGGCGGCTGCCGCGGCTCATGAGTATTCGGCGGTGGACCGCACGCTGCTGTATCCGGTGCCTGCGCTGGCGGTGATGCGGGCAAAGGGGTTAGGCGCTAAGCAGCTGCAGGAGCTGGGTAAGCGCAGAGGACGGAATTGGTGGTGGGCGCACAGGCCGGAAAGACGACCGGGCGCCTTGAACGACCCCGGGACATGGAGATATGGGTTTGCCTGTTCGCCCAAAGTGCAGGACAAGCCGTGCTCGTATGAAAGGTTCTGCGTAAGATGTGGCCTCGGATTCAGCTAACGAAGTATATGTCGCCCACGTAACATGCTGGGCTGTAAGCAACTCAGGAAAGCACGTTTCCATCCCTTTCTAGCGGTTTTTTTAACTAGAATCTCTGGATGTTGCCGCTTGTAGGGTACCACGAACGTGAGCTCCTGCGGCAGGGCTTTAAGGCCAGTGATGTGAGCGAGGTGGCGCCCCATGAGCCCGCTCGCCTGCGAGCAGCCGGCCTCAGCGTTAGTGACCTGGTGGCGGGCTTCGGTGGCCTGATGCGCCTGCCGCCTGACCTGCAGGGCTTCCGGGGTGTCCAGAAGCTGAAGGCGGCTGGTTACTCAGCAGCTGACATGGTGGCGGGTGGTCTGGACAACGCTTGGGACCTGGCGAGAGCAGGTGAATGTGTGGCCAGTTTTACAGTACTGTACGGGTTTCTAGCACCATGACCACTGGCAGCCTTTGCCATGGCCTCCCTCCGCGTTTCAGCTTACATTTTCACGCACTTTGTTACCAACTGCCAAAGTCTCGCACCCGCCCTTTTGTCGCCCGCCATGCAGGCTTTACTGCTGCGGAGGTTTACTCGGCAGGTGTACCCGCAGAGGCTCTGCGGCCTGCCGGCTTCGGGTTACCAGAGCTGCGGCCGCCGGGCTTCCTTGGGCCTTCGGTTTCGGTGCTTCAGGAAACGGATCCGCGAATACTGCCCCCTGCACTCGAGGGCACGGGGGGGGGCATCTGGCCGCGGCTGCTGCAGCCGCAGGCTGCGCCGTCCAAAGATCACAGTAAGCGGGCAGGGACGCTTTCGGGAATGACGTGCAATTTGGGTTACTGGGCAAGGCGTGGGGTTGTTTGGTGGGGCTTGTGCGCGCGCGTGTGTGTTTTCTCCTATAGGTGCGGGAATGTGAGGGTGATCGGGTATGAGTAGATGAGGAGGGAAAAACATGCCCGCAGGTGAAATTGCGACGAGTTATGTGTGCAAGCGCTCAGCTAAGCAGGGGTGGCCCTGTCCCATTTTGCCCCTTCGGTTTATGACTCTTACGGCCGTGTCCAGTATTTATCTAACGACGCAATGCCCATGCCGCGCCTTCCGTGCTTTCGGCGCCTTCTTTTGACCTTACGCTTTCGCGCCCTTTTTACGCTCGTTTGGGACCACGCCACATTATCATTTCTCTCCACCGATGCATCCGTTCCAACCAACGGCCACACCTACCCATTCATCCGTTTCAACCAACGGCCACACCTACCCATGCATCCGTTCCAACCAACGGCCGCACCTACCCATTCATCCGTTCCAACCAACGGTCACACCTACCCATTCATCCGTTCCAACCAACGGCCACACCTACCCATTCATCCGTTTCAACCAACGGCCACACCTACCCATTCATCCGTTCCAACCAACGGCCACACCTACCCATTTATCCGTTCCAACCAACGGCCACACCTACCCATCCATCCGTTCCAACCAACGGCCACACCTACCCATTCATCCGTTCCAACCAACGGCCACACCTACGCAAGCCTTCCAACATATTTCCACTGCTGCCTTCGCAGCTAAAGGCGCCAACGCCTTCAGGTTCGGCTACCGCAGCCGGCCTGGCACCGCCGCCCCGACGGTCCCCTTGGTCCCCTCGCCCACTGCAACAAGTACCGGGCTCGTGGCCAATCGGCCGGCGGACCCGGTGCGTCAGGTGGCATGGCCCGATGCCCCGCCTATGGGAATCAGCAGCGGCAGTGTTGTGTCGGTCACTGCAGGCGCGCCGCCATTGGCGTCGACCATATCCCGCGTCGGCTCTATGGGAGCGAGCACTCTAAGCGTTGGGAGCTAAGGCAGCGGCAGCAGCAGAAAGTTGCCCCTGCGTGACACGCATAATTGAGGCGCCCAGGGGGCGTGACCACCTGCCGCTAGCAGCCTGAAGCCTTTCGCGTCCCCCGTGTTGACTTTGGCATATGACGGTGGTTGCCTTGCTCCTCTTGGCATTTTGTCTTTATACCTCGGCGTTCTGCCTGGTGCACTGGATTTCCTCCGCGCAGCAGTGCACAGTGGCAAGAGGTTGGACACGCAGGGAACACAGGCGAGGACTAGGCCGGAGCTGCTGACCCAGCTGTCTCTGCCAGAAATGCCTTGAAAATCCAGGGTGCCTACTTTAGTTTTTAACAACGACATGTGTGGCTTTTGCAATTAGCTCTCTTTGCCTGTCAGTGCGGTTACAGCTGGGCACGGCAAAGGATCGCAGGGTATGTGCATCATTAGTAGGATGTTAACACATTAGGTTAGCTAGGGGCAAAGCTGAGATATGGATTGGCAGTTTTGTAGTATACATGCAGGTGATATGGCTACAGGGATGGGACAGGAGAGGCACAGCAGGGAGGCTACACGTAGGTGTAACTGATACAGACAGAGTTGCGAAGTTGTATGGCTATGTCAGCGGTTGACATCGTGCAGTTAGGTTGAGGGGATTTAAGTATGTGTGTTTTTTACTATGCAAGGGCGCATATGACATACATAATTGCAAAGTTGCTGTTAGCAGGTCGCGTGATGCCGTGTACTCTTTTGCCTTAAACAATAAAACACACGTCTTGAACTCAACACACTTTGGGTACGACGTCTTTGCTGGCGGGCGAAGCGCTAAATATGCTGGTGGTATCCAAATCGGTGGCGTGCTTTCAGTTTTTTTTGGTCTTGTGAGCTGGACTATGACGAGGTTCTGTTGGTATTGTGGACAAACCTAGCTGACAAATCTATGCGAGAGATAACGACAACAATTAGTGCGAAGAGGGTGTTTTGCAGTGCGCGAGTCCTGGGAACGCAGGGGAACAGCGTCATGTAGAGATGGGGCAATATGGTACAATTTGCAACCTGGATTGTTTTGCGCGCGAATCTTGAACCCGTCAGATAGATAATAATGATGTCTTAGGCCGTTTGGAACCCAAATGTGTCTGGTGCAAAAGACATCAGGCAATGGCCAAAGAGGATGGTTCTGGAAGGAAGAGACGGGGTAGACGGAGGTGGCCGGTACGGGCCAGTGCCCTTCCATGAAGTTTTATCCTTTCTCCTTCTTGCAGACATATGAGATGCGGTCATACCATCCAACCCGTCTGGATGTCCGTATCCACGTGAGCACGAAAGGAAAATTCAATTCTTTAGTGCTCTGTCAAATGCACGAGGTCAATCGATCCCCAAGAGTCGCTGAATATCTGATTCCTACTTGCAAGATGTAACAGAAGCTCACCTGCTCAAACAAAGGAACATCACCGCAGCAGGAAGTCCTATCCTCAGCTCATCCAGCTTACGGTACCTCGGCGCAATGAATGCAGCAATCATAACAGCTGCCAGCAAAAAGCTCACGCTTTGGCAAGCCGCTCTGAACCAACCGCACTAATGCGCAGTACAACTGATGTCGCGGCGCTCCCCGAAAACTAATCATCATCTACACCACCATTGCCAACGGACCCTCACCCTATTTTACCCCTCGCAACTGCGTTTCGTGATGTCCGATGCATCAACTCTCCGTGTTCATCACCAAATCCCGTTGCGTCAGCAGCGCCGCATCCAGCCAAACACGCCTCCCACCCACAAGTCCGCAGAGGGAGCTCCTAGACAGGGTGCACAGCGCCGCCAGCGCATAGCTTCCGCCACCCTTGCTGCATCTCGCCCTCGCCTACACCTGCAGCGGCAGGCGTCCGCAAACAGCATGCACGATAGAATCACGGCATTCGGGCTCTTCCTGAGTAACGTTACACCTTTTAAACTCCCTAGAAGGCCAAAGCGCAGCGAACATCAGGTCCAACACGAAGAAGAACTCGACCTAACTTGAATACCATGAAGTATGCCAGGTATTGTCTTCCACGCGCCATGGCAAATAAGTATGAAATCAAGTACGCTGACACCCGTCGCCATTCTGCCTTCACCGTCTGTATGGTGCCAAAATACGAAATCCTAATACGTTAAACGAACACGGCACACAGCAAGACATTAAATAATCGAGCCAGGCAGGCAGGCAAGGGAGGCATACGAGGCCGCTGCTTAAACCCCTACCGAAAGCCCCACCTGCCGAAACAGATCGGCGCCACTGTGAGCACCGGCACGATACCAACCATTTTGCATTAGCCCTTCAGTCTGAAACGTCCACATAGACGCGAACTGTACACGCCTACAATCACGCCCACGGCCACGTCAGTGCCCCGTCAAAAAACCATGCGGTAAATTCCCCTTATGGATCCATGCACGGCAGCACTCTGGGTCACGCGCTCCTGCCCCAGCGCCCGCAAGACACCTCTCTTTGACATGTGCACGCCCGACGGCCAGACCGACGGCCCTACCCTCACTGATACTTCTTTTCCGCATCCGACACCGCCGAACTCGTACCCTTCAGCCCCTTCCCGTCGCCCTGCAGCTGCTCCGCCGCCGTTGGTTTGCCAAGGTAGGCCCTCAGGACATCCGCCAGGACACGGCGGCGCTTCTCGATGAGGCCGGGGTTCTTCTCGCCTAGGTTGTAGTACTTTAGGTAGCCGTCCCAGGGCACGATGCGCAGGTTCGCATACTTGGCAATCATGGCCTGCACACGGCCTGCAAACTCCTGCGGCGTCTCGTCTGCGGGCCAGGTAACGAGGTGGAGGTCGGGCAGCGGAGTGTAAAGGAGGCATCAGGCTGATAAAATGGCTCTGCCCCCACTACACAACAAACAACTCGCCATTGCAGACAACTCCGCCAAGTACCCACAGATACGCCACCCCGCGCTTCCCAGACCCCAGCCATCTCCGCCGCCCGCCCTAAGTAGTCCGCCCAGCACTACCACCCGTTCATGCTAGCCAGCCCCTTCATGTGGTCAACTAGACCCGGCTCCCAGAGCCACCAACGAACACTGAGTTCAACGCTCTCCTACCCACCGGGCTGTATGCTCTGCGGCTCCAGAAAGTAAACATCACACACGAGTGCCCAACTGGTCATGAGGCGAAAAAGGTGCTTGCCGAAAGCCTCGCGGCGGCTGTTCCAAAAGGCGTCCACAAAAATTTTGTTGTACTTGATTGCGATCGGGCACACCTGTGCAGCAGAAGCAAAGCATGGGACAGGGCCAGAACAGGGCTCAGCGCGGGAAAGGGCTTGGCACGGGCCTGCGGGTCCCTTGGCCGCGGCTGCAATATGTGTTGCATGGAGCGGTGCAATGAGCCACGCACATGGAGCAGGGGCAGTCAAGCGAGTCAAAGCTATCTCATTAAAGGCCGTGCAAAAGATCTGGCTTTGGGTAAGGTGTAGGAGCCAGATTGGCAGGTGGTCTGTGCACCAACAGCCCAGCGATCAGACTCAATGCTGCGTCGCAGGTTGGGCACCAACCATATTGCCCGTGCAGCGGTGGTGCGTCGGCCTCCCATGCATTATTGTTGCAGTGGTGCTGCAGTAGCGAGTCAGGACGTTGCATTGTCCCATCCGTGTGCGGCAGCGCGAGGCGCTCCGGCCGCAATCGCTGTGACGGCACTCATCTGCTTTCCTTAGTAGTGGAGGACATTCACCCACCCAACCCAGTCCACAACCCAAACCCTCACCCACCGTGGCCCCGATATCAAACGCGCCGCGCTTAAACATGACCGTGTATTCGTTGTTTACGCAAGTGCCCTCCGGGAAGATGAGCAGAGGGATGGCGTCTTCCTTGTTGACGTGATCCTTCATGCGTGCAGCCACCACCGCGCGGTCATTTACCTCCGTCCTGTCGGTGCGGCGGGGAACGAGGCATGTCATGGAGGAAGTTCAAGCCCCGCGCATCCTGCTCTCCTCCGTCTTAAGAGACCGCATCACCACATAAGCTTCCTTATTCACGTATAACCATCTCACCTGTTGAACCACAAACAGCCCAACGATGACAGAATGCGTTTTTGCAGGAAAGCAATCCAGCCGTGGTGCAGCTGCATGATGACGGCGAAGGGGCTGTAGCTGCACAACACCACGTAGTCGATCATGGAGGTATGGTTGGACACCCATATGCGGTTTTTGCCTGGGGTGGGTTTCGGGCCATGGTACCTGCATGGCACACCGCGGAGGGGAGAAGTAGTGCGGTTGTGGTGCGGTTGGAGTGGGCAGGGATTTAGGTACCCGTTTAAGCAAACGGTCGCATACCAGGGAGCCCGCGCAGGTGGACTACTGGCCGATCCAAGCCTAGGGCCTTAACCCATGTATCAACGTCTTCATCGCCTCCTCTTGCCGGAGATGTAGCCTCATCACACCTCCAGCAGGAGAGCTCCGCGTTGGTCCCATCACCGGCAAGTGCCCTTCCAACAACCATCACGCTGCCTTGCTGATGTACACCCTCACTCATCACCGGCAAGAATTTTTCATGCGCGCAGCAGACCCGGTGCCAATTCATCCTTTCATCCATCCGCCCACCCAGCTAGCCACCTATCCCGCCAACACCCGCCACCCGCCGCCATTGGCACTACTGCCTGCCAACTCACCGGATCACGCCATGCCAAGCCGCCACCCACGCGCAGCACATCCACTGCACAAGTTTCCGCTGCAGTGCCATTTTCCGCTTGCCGGGCATTGCGATGAGATCCACCAGCAGAAACATTCCGATCAGGGAGTTGAAGCCGATGAAAAGCAGCACAAAGCGAATGGGGAACAACACCAGATACCTGCAGAAGTAAGGAGGAATCAAGGCCCAATCCAATAAGAAAATTCGCAGGACTTCCGTGTGGAACGGCAGCGGCACGTGAAGGCGCAGAAGCAGCAGGAACCGGCAAACTGCAAGAAGGCGTGTGCGGACAGGGGACACGTAAGCAGCAGGGGAAACAGCCCGGGAAATGCTGAAGAGCGGACTAACTCGGCTGGGTTAGGACTGGATTGGGTGGGTGGACAGCGGGTAGGAAAACATCCGGACCTGGCCATAATCCTGATTTTGCGGAGGCGGATTGGGGAAAGGGAGTTGGAGTGCCTGATTTATTGCCACCGAGGCGTTGCACAGGTTTAGGGCGTTGAGTGTGGACGATTGGGAACCTGAAAGCAGGAAAACCAGCGATGCCGGGAGGAACGCTGTAATGATGTGCATGAGCATCCACACGATACGGGACAAAATGCTGCTAGGCAGCTGGGAGCGAGGAGCTGATACAACTGTCCCGTGCTCACCACTGACGTCCACCAGCACCAGCAGGCAACAGTTCTTGATATTTTGTGATGTGGTGGATTAGGCTGTGGCTTGTCGTCAGACACGCACCGTGTCCATGCTTCTTGCAACGGATAAGTGGCTAAGTGCAGTTTGCCAAACCCCACTGCTCCGTTTACTAGTCCCCATCCACGTTGTTGTTTCGCATACCCTCCCGCAGTGTACGTAATACCCATATGCCACCGTGCCTTAGGGTCCAGGTGGCAAGGCCCAAACCATCCGCACGGCCTAACCTTACCTGATCACCACGCCCACGACCCAGATGGGGAAAAGGTAAAGGTTCCAGTTCCACGGCTCTGGCCGCGTGCTGGTAAAGCACTTATTAAATGAGTCATCAACCATGGCAGAAACACCGTCAGTGAGAACATTGCTTATGTTGAGGACGTCCAACAGCAGCGAGGTTTTTGAAAGGCGTTTATCCTCTGCTTCAGCGTAAAGCTGATCGATTTCAGCATCGCCCTTTGTCGGCCCTTCCCTGCGTGAGAAGCACGAGATTAAGGCCTGCGGCTTGGGCATCAAACATGTAAGGGCCATCCAGGGGCTAATTACCGTGTTACAAGAGCATGCTCCTGGTCCTTATCGTCAGCCACAATGCCGCGCAAGCCTGGCAGGCTGCATTCAATTCTCCCTTTCAAGTGCTCCCCCATATCTATAGAACAAGAAAGCTACGGTTGTATATCTTGTAAGCAGCTGGTCCCGGGTCAAAGCCCGGACCAGGGTGTAGGCTAGCTATTATGTAAACCGATGGACGGGGCGTTATTCTTCGTCTTTCGGCAGTTGACGCCACGCAATCGCGAAAGAAGGATAAACGCAATAGGATTATGCACCTGAAAGTCTATACACTAAATTGTGTATCTTCAGCTTTCAAGCGCTGCCATCATGCGCGTTGGCAAAGACGTACACAGTGCGTGAGCTTCCAACGGACAGTGAAATCAAATCTCAAATTCCCATTACTTTCTGCATGCATCCGTTTCGTGTTGAGATTTTCAGATGTGATGTGCTGCCTGTTCGGAAACGAGCTTGAGATGGATTCGTTAGTCGCCCCTTCTTGGCGTGTCTGCAGTTTTGAGACATAGAATCAGGCCCGCAGGCATGGCTGAAGACCAACCAGCGCAGCAGGCGCAAAGCTACCAGCTTGCTTCGCTACCCACAACCGCAAACCAGCCGGACACAACTGACGAGGCACAAACAGTGAAGGTCAATGGACAGCGACAGGCGGCGACAGGGGATAAGCAGCTTGAGGGGTTGCCCCTCCTGCAAGAACAGGTCCCAAGTGATTGCAAGACCGTGACCCTGAATATTGTGCCGGATAGGACGAACCCCGAGGAGAACGGCGATTCGCATAAGCCTGGTGTCCATAAGACCGTGAAATTCAGCGACAAGGTCGAGTACTTTGATGGACAGGACTCTCGCAGTGACTCAGATGATGAAGCCGTCCACCTGCGGCGAGTCATCGCCAGCAGTATCGTTGGCAACACGCTGGTAAGGATCGACCCGTACCATATATACAGCGGAATTGGAAGGGTGGGAAAGGGTGGATGGATGGACACACCATAATTTACGTGTCCATCGGACAACCACCCGGCGGGTGACTGAGAAATGGAGGCCGCCCAAACAGGACAGCAGCTGTGCCTTCTGCAGGTAACCCCGTGACCTCCTGCCTGGTATAACTGCCTTGCTCGGGTAGCCGTTGTTTCGTCGTTGCCTGCATTCCGTTGCATCGGCCGATCTTGGCTGCACAGACAAGCGCGGCCACCTGCCAGCCTAGGCCAGCCACCAAGAGGCATCAGGCTGCCATCTCAGCGCTGCGACCATGATCCTTGTGGGAGATTTGGGTGGATTGCAGACACTTCAAGGATGACGGGGTTGGGCCAAAAGTGCGTGGGCCCCCGGCAGGCGGATTTGAGGTACTTATAATGTACGCGTGCGTCCCTCAGACCATGGCCAAGGGGGTAGACATCCCTTCTCATACGACCTGCCGTTTGAGGGTTTACGGCTGGGTGTTGCTGCATGAAGGCAGGAGCACGGCACACCCAAAGCACAGGCACACAACAATGGCAGACCGACTGTGTGCTGCAACCGCACGCATGGTTTGCACCAGGAATTGGCATACAGCTTGGCAGCCGTGACAAGTTCGCTATTGCGGCTGCTGCTGCTTTAGCACGAATGGCAGTTGCGTGCAACCAGCCGACAGACCGTTATCTTGGGCAGATGGCAACGGTCGCAGCCGCCTACATACCCCATTGGGAATCCTCGCGTCGACTTTAGAAGCTGCCATTGTGCGGTGGGGCATTCGCTGGAGGCCTTGAACCCGACAAGTCTCGGTTCGAGCCGCGACCCGCGCGCACGATGTCGGGGAGCTTGCGGCTGGGAGGGGAGGGATAGGGCGAGGCGATGGTATGCGTTGCGACGCAACTTTTTACTGGAAATTTCTCGGGACCAGCTGCACCCGCCTCCTAAACCTCATGTGAATAGCTGCGAGTGAATGTTGCCCTCACCCAGGAATGGTACGACTTCCTGATTTACACCTTCCTGGGCGGCGTGATTACCAAGCTGTTCTTCCCCAAGAATAATATGTATGCACAGGTAGGTTCTGGACACACGCTCGTCCGGTTGCCACATAGTATGCTCCTGGAGAGCAGGGCATGGGGCTAACAATCTACAAGCATACCTCGCGGGCACACGCAGCTCAGTTCATTAAAACACGCGAACGTGCAGTACACGCTCTTTGCAATATCCCGTTGTTTGCTCACCACTTTCCAAGTTCAATCCTGTGGTTGCCAATTGGGTTTGTGGCAACGAAACGAGGCAAGGAATGGGAGTTCCCTTGTAGTCCTAAAGCATCAGGATTTCGGAGTGCGAATTCTTCGATGGGTAAAAGAATCCTGCGCGTGACGTCCTGCCCTCGTGTGACTCTCTGCTGCGTCCCCGGAATAGACCTTTTCAACCTCCCCGTCCAGTCCACCATCGGAAACAGCCCCTACAAGAGGCGACATGCCCTGCGGCTTACGCATCCCGCACAGCACGCACCCCGTCCACAGCGAAGGCGTGACCCTTGGGAAACCTCTTACCCTGCCGCAGATGATTGCTTTTTACGGCGTCTTCGCGGCGGGCTTCGCCACTCGGCCGCTGGGCGCCCTAGTGTTCGGCATCATCAGTGATCGCTACAGCCGCAAGACGGCCCTCATGTTGAGTATCATTATCATGTCCATTCCCACCGCGCTGGTGGGCTGCCTGCCCACATACCACCAGGTGCGTGGACGGGTAGTGGATTAGGGTGGTGGTTGCCTTTGTGGTCTGGTAGTAGCGGGCCTATGGCCTATGTTGACTACATAGGAGACACGGCAAGCAGGGGGAAACGATTCCCTTGGGAATGAGGACGGGCACGTGTGGTGGTGGTCCCATGGCCGGCGGCATAAGAGGAAGCGGCTACCGGGATGGGCACCAACGGAAGAGTCGCCTGCTTGCCCGCCTGCACAGCAAGGTCGTGTGCGTTCTGGCGTGCTGTTGCCCGGGCTCGCACTCTCGTGTTCCCTTTTATCCTGTGTTTCGGACACCGTAGCGCTTAAGGCTTGTCCCTTGACTTGCCCACGCCTGCTTCTCTTCACGCCTGCAGGCGGGCCTGGCCGCTCCGGTGCTGCTGGTGGTTATGCGGGTGCTGCAGGGCTTCGCAGTGGGTGGGGAGTTTACGTCCACTATGGTGTTTCTCGTGGAGCACGCACCACCTCACAGCCGGGGGCTACACGGCAGCTGGGCCTTTGCAAGCGTCATGGTGGGCGAGGGGGGGGGCTGGAATTGTCTCTTGCGCTTCTCCTACGCCAGGGCGTAGCTGGAGGGCTTTAGTGTTTACATCGAAATATTTTATTAAATTTACGATATCGGCATTCCGGCCCTCGTCGTGATGCGCTGCTTTCGTTTCCCGACGAAAGCGGACACGCTCAGCCACTTATCACCTAGTCGCGACACTCACCTGCGCTTGCGAGTAACTGTCCTTATGTCTCTCTATCGCCGCAAGCACAAGCTCGCGCATGGCTCAACCCCACGTGGGCCACGCCGCTCGGTGTCGATTGGCCGCAGGTGGGTGTCATCGTGGGTAGCTTGGTGGCGATGGTGTTTAACTTGGCCCTGAGTGAGCAGGCGCTCATGTCCTGGGGCTGGAGGGTGCCCTTCCTGCTCAGTATCATAGGCAGCGGCGTGGGCGTGTACATACGCAGGTGCGGCTCTGGAGGGGGGACTTGGGCTTTGCGAGCCTCCTGGTCCTCGGATGGACGGGAAAGGGAGTGGTAACTCCTGGTTGGTCGGGACGGGACGCAGCGACGGAAGGGCGAGCGGGCGGGGAGATGTGTAAACCCCTCTATGCATATGCCATCACGCCACATCCTCCATGCCCTGCGCTCTGCCCTTGCACCTCTGCAGGCACCTGCGCGACCCTGTTTCTGAGGAGAAAGAGGAGCTGCATCACCACGGGGGCAGCTCCCGGCGGGGGCCCCTTCGACGAGTGGCCAGCGGCATCTTGGAAGTGGTGTTGCTGGATTTCATGAACGCGCTGGGCTTTTACCTCATCGTCATCTTCTTACCGCTGTATATGCAGGTGCCGTAAATGTCCCGTACGAACGCACGTAACGATGGGGTTGCGTTTTTTGTGGTTGTGGCCTGAAAAGCCCCGGCGTGAGGCGCAGAGGAGGGAAATCAAAAGCCACTGCTATACGCAGCTTATGCCGTTCTTGGCTTGGCCGATCTCGCGCATGGACAACCGAATTGCCCGGGCCTGTACCTTTCGCAGCCACTACTGCGTCCTGCCGTACGTTGTCTATCTTCCAAACCTCCGAACCATCTTTCCCACCTAGGTGCATTCGTGCCGCTGAATTGGGCGGCATTGGATGCATGCGAGCATTGAATGCGAGGGCAAAGTCTCCGACAGGATCCTCGTTCCCTGGACAATAAGACCGCAGCCTAACACACGCAGCCTTCCCACCCTCAACTCTCACCCTGGCGCCCTACCCGCGCCACCGGACCCAACTGGCTTCCCTGTTCTTTTGCGTATTTAACGAGCCATGCACCCACCGCCCCCGACAATTATGAGCAGAACTTTGCGCACCTTTCACGCGGCGCGGCGCTGTCCGTCCATACCGCCAACATGGTCCTATATTTGGGCCTCATTCCCCTGGGCGGCTGGCTGTCGGACAAGTACGGCCGCATGCGGGTCATCTTAGTGCCGGCGCTGCTCATGGCGCCGGCGGCCTACCCGCTGTGGTGCCTGTTCAAGACGGGCAATGTGGGAGCGGCGTGGTTTGCTCAGGCGGTGCTGGTAGTCCTCATGGCCACCTTTACAGGGGCACTGCCCGCCACCTTCGTGGCGCTGTTCCCCGCGGAGTACAGGTATGGAGGTAGGGACTTGGCCTAGCCACCCCTGGGCTGCACATTTGCTTGCCTTTGAGGGTGGATTGTGAAGTCGGTTCCGATGTTATGCATGTGCGGCAATCCTTTCGAAACAAGTTCTCCCTGGCTGGGCTGTCTTCATGAAGACGCGTGCATCATCATTGTCAACGCAGCGCAACCCACGTTTCCAGACCCGTCCTAGCCAGCCAACCTCGCAACTCTCGCTAGACTGAATTCTGGTCCGACCCAACCTCACTTATGCCCCATCTCTCCTCCTTCCAAGGTGCACGGGCCTGTCCATCGGTCACAACATCAGCATGGCGGCCTTTGGCGGCACCGCCCCCATGATGGCCACAGGGCTGCTTCAGGGCACTAGGGACATAGCCTCGCCCTCGGCGCTACTCACCATCTCCGCTGCGCTCACGGCAGGAGGGGCCCTTTTGTTGCGGAGATGGAGAATCTGGTAGTGGAGCGGAGCCGGAACATACACCATCAGCCGGAGCCAGTTAGTGTGCTGACTGGTGCCGTGGCCGTGACGCGGTGCTAGCCCCTAACCGGCCGGGGGTTAACCACCAGCGGCCTAGCTGCCTACTTGTGAAAGAGGAGCAACGCACGGGACGGGATACTGTGACTGTGGGGGATCAAGAACGAGCATGGCGGGTAGGAGGGGGGCCTTTCGTTCATCGTGGGATGGATGGAAGGAAGGACGTGAGCGGAACGTGACTAGCTTATATGCAGGAGGCGTGCTATACTGCATCAAGGATGGCGCAGCACAGAATGGTGATGCTCTGTAGCCGCGGCGTGACGTGGCGTGAAGGGTTGATTTCGTACAGTTTGCTTTGGTACGGAACAACCATCGGTGGCGGCGGAGGAGAGGAGGAGGAGGAAGGGGCGCCTTACTCAAGCGTCACCGTGTGGGGTTGGTGGGATCCGCTTGAATCCATATGGCCCCTCTCGTGAGCAGTGCCGCAGCTTTGCAGTGGAGGCTACTGGATACGGTACTGTCGTTGTCGCTGTCGCGGATTATTTGCAGCAGCAGGTGCGGCAGCGCATGATAGGCGAAGGCCGTACCAGCACGCATACGAATCGGTGCTTGCAGTGACCCAGGAAAGCTCTGAATGGACTGGGTGCACGTGTGGAGGGGTTTGCTGGGGTGGTGGTGATGTAATGGAAGTGCCGATTGGGCTGCAGGCTGAAACTTGCTACATCGCTCGGAGGATGGAGCTCCCCCGCCGTTTGCTTGCTTTCGGTGGCTTGCTTAGTTTGCGGCGTTGCGACTATGCACGGCTGCTTTATCCTCGGCGTATGAAGTGAAGATGTTCTGGGGATTCTCGCAGCTAGGTACAGGCGGTGGGAATCTCCCGGCGGGCAGTCCATGCCCTTTGTCCGAACAGTGTTGGACGTGTATTTAAGGGAGAAAGGGTTGCGATCCTTGGACCAGTGCGGCTTGCTGCTGCCGTGAAGCACTTTGCCGTGAAGCATTTTGTGCATATCGTAGGAGTGGGAAAGGGAAGGGAGTGCGAATAGATAAGTGAAGATCAGGTTGGGAGGGAGGGGTGGCGGTTGGGCGGCGTGTGAGTGCCTCGGCTTTCGGGAATGGTATGGGACAACTCGGGTGCAGCGCATGGGCTTGGCCTTCAGCACGGTCTGCAGTGTGATCCACAGCGCGTGGTATGCAGCTCGCCATTACGACTTGCGGCGAATGTTAGTTTAGCACATATAACTATGGAGGGATGGCCAAGCTTTGGGCTGCGTTAGCCAAGACCCAGATATGAGAAGAGAGAGTATGTGCTCTTGTATCAGAGGATTGTACAAGGATGCTCAGAGATAGGTCGCCCTAGTTTTGGGTGGATGCCTAATCTAGTGTCGGCTGGCGTAAGGTTTTAAATGGCATGGCCAAAGGCCAGGAAAAAAACCGGACATATATCATTTAATTAATTGTGTGATGACCAACATTAATTCTGCCTCAAGTTTGTTACGAGATGCCCTTGGGATTGCGACTCGGCCGGCGCGGACCGGTACTCCGATTGTCACAACTTATGAATACCTAAGTTGTAAAATGTTACATGTCATTATTTCTCCTTGCGAACCTGTTTCTTTCAGGTCAAAGGCGCATGGACCTCTCGACTTATTTGGGCCGTACAGGCTCGCCAAGCTTGAAGCATCAAGCTTGTGCACCTGTCGCAAATCAAGCACATGTTTCATCGGTATGGCGCCTATGGAATTGCGGTTGGGAAAAATGTTGTCACAAATTGACTCTGAACGTGCCGATGGCTTCCTGAACGTCAGGTTGGTTAGCCGGAACGAACCCTATCGTACGCATAAAGGCTTTGCAGCTTTTGTTCTCAGTTAGAAAATTGGTCTTATGTTACTACTCTTCTTAGGACTATTAGCGCGGCTAGTGTTTTATCTTATACTAGTTTCTTAAATTGCAATTGCAAAAGATTACTTACTTGTAGTTACTTTGCGAGGCCAGTTGCAGGTGAATTTGCAAATCAAGTAAGGTTAACATGTTACCAAGTATCTTTTCTGCGTGCCCTTGCCGTCGGTCAGCCGCCATGCGAACCTGTTCTGCGTTCTTGACAGGAGCACCGAACGTTATTAAGATACAATGGCCAAAACTCAGGTATGGATCAAGCATTTGGCGTTGCAAAGTATTGTTCGGTGCTGTATCGGGGCACCTAACCCCCGCTTCTCGACGCCCGCAGCAGCCGGCCGGCAAGGCCAGGGGGAAAGCTGCCCCAGCACCGAAGAAGGCTCTCAAAGGCGACCGCGGCTTTACTGACGAAAACGCAAAATGGCTGAAATTGAAACGGAAACAGCCGGAGCCTGAGGCGGATGATTCTGACGCCGAGGACGAGCTAGACAGCGCTGGTAAGCAGCAGCCCAGGGATTGCCCGGCGTTGTGGGTGCGGCTGGCTTTTTATACCGTCTAGCGGCGCTCCGCCGCCAACATCGTCGCACCACCTCCTCGCCAGCCGCACGGCCAGTCTCAATTTAGGGGGTTTTGCACATGTACTATTTGGCACACGTGAACGAATCCGCGCTGTAATCCCTGCCTAACGCATCTGCCTGCCATGCGCTTTGGTCATTGCCGAACCAATGATGCCCTTGGTCGGGCGCACACGGCGGCGAACCCCTACACCAGATGAGGACCTTGGTATCATGGACGATGAATTTGGTGGCGGCCGCAGCGATGACGGAGGTGAGCGCTGAGTAGAAGTACTGCCTCCGGTGTTCCGGTCCAGGGGTGTGGAACGGTGGATGGGGAAACTCTGGTCCGGTATCTCCAGTGCAAGTTGGTCCGCTTCCTGGGCTCACAGCGATGGTGGAAAGGTGGAAGGCTAATGATTGCCCGGGCAGATAATCATGTGAGGCTCCTTGATGCGGGAGGAGGGAGAGGGAATCGAAGTACATCCGCGGATGGGCGGCGCTGGGGGTCACTTTACCGCGGCTCTCTTTGGGCTGGTCGGAAGGGGAGGCCACGGCGGTAATCCAGGCGTGGAAATTGCTGAAACTGGCGGGTTGTGGCCCGAGCGTGCACCGAGCAGAAACCTTATGCACGTGTGGTGTGTAAGGGTTTGCAGCGCAGCGCGGGGCGCTAATTACGCGCCCGTCCGTCTCTGTGCGCTGATCGTCCTCATCGCCAACAACTGCTACCGGCGCACGTCCGAGCGGACACACCACTGGCCATCGGCTCATTCTTGGAGGGCCATTCGGGTTTTACTCGGTTGGCTTACGCTAGGTAACGGCCAGGTTCATGCGTCATGGCCCTATGGTTGGAGAGGAGGAGGTGTAGGTCGGAGTGGAGAGGTGATGGAGGAGGTGGACACCGACAGCGCGATGGGACCGGGCGGCCGTACTGATTGATAACTGTGCGCTGCCGGGGGGCCCATTTCCCTGTGGCGCGTATAAACGATTCGATTGGATTTGCGCATTTCACGTCTGCATTTTCACGCCGAGCCGGTGGTCGAAATGCGGCGCCGTATATGGCCTGTCTGGCTCTGCTAAGCTCCTGCCGTCTGCGCGGCTGCTTGGCGCTGCGCTTCCAATCACACCCGCACACCTCCTCCTCGTCTTCTTGACGTCTTATAGGCAGCGAAGGGCAGGACGACGAGGGCGAGGACAGCGAGGACGACGATGATGATGATGATCATGATCCGCTCCAGGGAAAGGAATTCGTGGACGACGGCGACAGCGACGATGATGACGACGAGGGGGAGGGGGGTGAAGACGCGGAAGGTGGGGACGGGGCCCCGCACAGCCCGGGAAGGAGGGAGGGAGAGAGGGAGTTCAAGGTAGCACAGAGGCACCAGGGCCACGGCAGCGCCAGCCCCCGAGGACCTTGCATCTATGGGATGGGCTTAGGACCACACACGGCGACATCACCAGAGAGGGAATAGGACTGGGCTGATGAGGGCAGGGGAACCCGGTTTTGCGACATCGGCGGGGTCAGCGGGCCGTGCCAGTTGAGCGAGTTGGCCCCTATATTGTCGTCGGATTGTGGGACGTGGATGAATAATGTGTTCACGCAATTCATTCATGCATGCATGCCGTACTGTACCGTACCGTACGGCTTCTCCCGCTCAACTGCGTCTCCTTGGTCTTCCTTTAAAGCCTCCGGTCCAACTCCGCCAACAGATGATGACGAGGATGATGATATGGACGGGCCAGGCGGACCTGACTCGGGCGACATGGGGGATCTGCTGGGTGAGGACGAGGAGGAGGATGAAGGGGAAGGCGAGTCGGAGGACGACGACGACGACGACGACGATGATGATGATGATGATGATGATGAAGAGATGACGGAGGCGGAGAAGCAGTCCCTGGCGCTAGACAAGTTTAGGTGCGTCCAAGGGGCGGTTACGCGCGCTCCGGAACCTGAGGAGGCGGGGTAGTTGTGTAAGATTTGAGGGATCGGTGCTGGAAAAAGGACGGTGATTTTTCGCTTGGACAACATGTGTAGGTGAGATGTGTGCACGGGTGGTGTGTGTGTGTGTTTATTCTGACCTCAGGCGCAAGCAGGCTACGCTGGCTGCTCGGGAGGCTCGTGACATGGCAGCTGAGGCGGACATCGACACCAACATGGAGGAGGGCGCCACGTTCACATTGCCCAGTGGGCAGCAGGTAGACGTGTGGGGAAGGGGAAAGGGGAAAGAGCGGGACCGCACAGACCAAGAGCTGGAGGTTTAGGGGTGGTGGTGGCGGTGAGGAGGAGGAGGAGGAGGAGGAGGAGACGAGAGTTTCAAAAGCCTCATGCGGGTTGTCGCACCCTCTCCCTTCCACGTGCGAAAAAGGACGTAGCCTCGGGCGACGGCAAGTACCGCCCTGATGCCATTTTCCTCGGCTCGTTCCCACCCGGTCGCTCGTCGCCCCTCTCACTTCTGTCCTCCCCTGAAGCTGCTTCCTCCCGCCACCATTCCCCGACCGGGCCCTGACCTCACCCAACCTGGATGTTCGGATCGCTGCAGCTTTACATCCCTTCCATTCATCTTACCCCCCCTCCCCCGTGCCCTCCTATCTGGGCGTCGCAAGTTGGCCCTTGACTTGATCTCCTCCCCTCCCCGGCGCCCCCCACCCCACCCCACCCCACCCCTGGTTCGCAGGGTGGAGGCTGAGAAGCTTGCGCCCCCCGACCTGGCTCTGGTGGCTCGCCGCATGAAGGCCACCGTGGCAGTGCTGGAGACTTTCAGCTCCCGGCGGGAGCCGGGTCGCAGTCGGGCGGACTACCTAGCGCAACTGAAGCGGGATCTGGGCACCTACTACGGGTATAACGACTTCATGATTGACATGTACCTCAATATGTTCAGGTAAAGGAGGATTACGACGGGAGGGAGGGTTCGACAGCGTCTGGGAAAGCAATTGGGGCCCACGGCAGCTAGGAGCCGGCGGATCTGGGGACTGGTGTGGGCCATTTACGCGACGGGTTAGCGTCCGCTTCCTCTTCCGCATCTCCGCCCCTCTTCCGCTTGGCTGTCTAACCGTAAGGCGTCCACCCGTCGACCATGCATCCTCTCCTATGAATGTGCAACTGATCCGTAAAATGCATCCCCTCTTCTCCATCCCCTTTTTGTCGTCCCTCTTCCCGCGCTTCAGTGTGGCCGAGGCTCTGGAGCTGATGGAGGCCAATGAGGTGCCCCGACCCATCACCCTCCGCACCAACACCCTCAGAACCCGGAGGAGGGAGCTGGCGGCCGCCCTCATCCAGAGGGGGGTGTCACTGGACCCCATAGGGCCCTGGTCTAAGGTGGGGCTGGTGGTGTACGAGTCCAAGGTGCCCATTGGCGCCACGCCCGAGTACATGGCGGGTCATTACATGCTGCAGGTGAGGAGAAGGGGGGAGGGAAGGGGGGAGGGAGGGTTGGCTGAGGGCCGCGGAGGGAGAGCGGCACAAGAGGTGAGAGGCAGGGGAAGGAAAGGGATACGTGCTCTTCCTCACCCGCGCTCTCTCTCATGGCCAGCAGCAGAATGATCGGCTCTTCCGGGTGCCCTTCCGGCCAGCTGACCTTTCTTAACAGGTCGCTCATCCCTATCCCTCTCCCGCATTTCCTGTTCCCCCTCCCTTTCCCCAACCCGCGCGCATGTGTACGTGTATGTACATGTGCCTTGCAGGGCGCCTCCTCCTTCATGCCCGTCATGGCTCTGGCCCCCCAGCCGGAGGAGACCGTCGTGGACATGGCAGCTGCTCCCGGTGGCAAAACCACCTATATCGCCGCCCTCATGCGCAATACGGGCACCATCTTCGCCAATGAGATCTCCAAGGACCGCCTCAAGTCCATCACCGGCAACCTGACGCGCCTGGGCGTCACCAACACCATTGTCTGCAACTACGACGGCCGAGAGCTGCCCGGGGTGTTGGGGGAGAGGTCGGTGGACCGGGTGCTGCTGGATGCGCCTTGCTCGGGGACTGGGGTGGTGTCCAAGGACCCGACGGTCAAGGTGGGTTTATGGGGCTGGGGACCATAGCGGACTGGGAGGCGGGGTGGCGGACGGTGCCGCAGGCGGCGGGGGCCCCATTGTAGCTTTGTGTAGTTGTGGATTGCTGGGAGGGCTGGAAGTATGAGACCTGGTGTTTGGAGTGGTATACAGGTGCAGGGAGTGAGGCGAGGTGGAGGTGAACTGCGCAGTCAGATCAGCCAAGAATCCACCTGGGATGGGGAGGGAAAGCTGACTGTTGGAGTTCAATGACATGATGTGCGATATGTGGACTGATTGACGCGGGCGCTGTGAGCACGCTTATTGGTCAATGCGGCTGGGCGGGTGCCGTAGCCTGCATCAATACAACAAACGCCCTTAGGGGCCCTTTTTTGTTGACTTGTGTTGGCCTCCTAGGTTGATAATGTACACACCATCGTTTTGCGTTCACCTGTGCCCCCCTCTCTCCGAAGGTCCTTGCTTCCATTGCGTCCCCTTCTGCTCTGAAGCACACCTGTCCAACTAGGGCTTTCCCAGCTCGTGCCATCTAGACGATGGCAGCCATCACCTGTATGTGTTTTGCATCGTGTTCATGTACGTGTATTCCTGTCCTCCTTTCCCTTTCCGACCGCTATCCACAGACCTCCAAGTCCCAGCAGGACATTTGGCGGTGCGGCCACCTCCAGAAGGAGCTGCTGCTGGCAGCCATTGACATGGTGGACGCCAACAGCCCCACCGGCGGCTACATTGTCTACTCGACCTGCTCTGTGTGTGTTGAGGAAGACGAGGTCATCATCAACTATGCGCTACGCAAACGGAACGTCAAGGTAGGGGGCCCCGGGGGAACGCTTGGAGGAGGACGTGTAAATGCCAGCCTGAGCCTCAGAACCCAATCTCGGCACGCAACTCCGTGGCCTTGGGATTCTTCTTGGCTTGACAACCGTCTGCTAGTACTAACACTGCTCATTTCGCGTGAGAAAAGCCATCAGAGCGCCCTTGTCCCGCATTTACCGCTCTGCGGATACCACCTCTATCGATGAATAACCTTGGGCCCCTGCTCCTTTTGCCTTTCCCCCATCATGTCCATTTATCCTTTCCCTTCAGTGTAATTCCCTTCACCCGGTCCTTGCATGTCAATGGTAGATGTTCCCCTGCTTGCCGTCCCGGCTCTTCCACGCTCTTTCCCGGCTGGGTCATTCAGTGTATCCCGAAACCTCCTTCCCTGCGAATGTAAGAACTCTTACTGCCTTCCCCCCCTTCTGCTAATACTGCCGCCGCCAGGTAGTGCCCACGGGCCTGGAGTTTGGGCGCGAAGGGTTCGTTCGCTATCGGGACTTCCGCTTCCACCCCTCGCTCAAGCACGCCAGGCGCTTCTATCCACACGCGCATAACCTGGACGGTGAGCATGATCAATGGACCCCTGTATTGCCAGTCGCTCGTTTTCCGACACGGGCGCACATGCATTCCGATGGGGTTTGGATTACGAGAGAATGTGCAGGCCAAGCGGGTGGGCAGGCAGTTGTGGTGGCTGGAGGACAGAAGGGATTGTTACCAGAGCACGCAAGGGACGGCGTTATATACATAGGGAGGAGCGGACATGTCACTGCTGCGGCAATGATACCCTATGTTAGGTGACAGGAGCCCCTGTCATGGGGATTTGAGCCAGCCAGAAGCCGCGCGCCAGTCCGCTCTGCTACTGCGTGCAGGACACAGACAGATTTCTTGAACCCCAGCGAGCATTCCCCCACGCATAACGGCAACGTCGTGGTTTCCTTCCCTTTTGGTTCTTGTTTTTTCCTTCGTTTCCTGTCAGGCTTCTTCGTCTGCAAGCTTAAGAAGCTTTCCAACGAACCCAAGAAGGCAACTGGGGATGGGGACGAGGAAGAGGAAAATGAGGAGGAGGAGGCGGCAGTGGCCGACGGGGCAGCCGATAACGACGACCCCGACGTGGCGTCAGGCAGAAAGGGTGGCAAGAAGGGCGGTCAGCAAGAGCCTAAGCCCGTGATCATCCCCGTCAGCAGGCCTAAGGTACGGCTAGTGGGGGGGCGCGCTGCCACAACTGCCTGGTCGCCAATGCATGATCCAGCCTTGGGTGGCGCAGCCTCTGGATGCATAAATGCCGCGCCACACGACCACGGACCAGACAGTCGAAAGCTAACCCGCTCCGCCGCGCAGACCTGGTAGTTTTCGCCATCTCCTCCCTGCTTTGGTCCTAAATAATATACGCGCCTTCCCTCTCCCACACGCAGTTGCACCCCAAGGGTGCTCAGCGTACGCCGTCCAAGAAGGTTCTGGACGAGCAGCCGGCCGAGGATGACCCCGACATGGCAGCAAACATGGCACAGCTTAAGGAGGCCCTTGCCAAGAAGGCGACTAAGGCCAAGGGCGATGGCGCGAATGGAGCGGCTCCGGCAAAGGCCAAAAGTGCCAAGGAAGGGAAGGGCGGCGGCAAGGCGAGGGGGGCGGACGTGGCTGCCGACGATGAGTCCGAAGGGGCCCAGCAGGAGGAGAAGGAGCGGCTTGCAGTGGGAGTCAGCGCACGCGCGGGGACCAGCGGTCGTGGACAGGTGACAGGGTTCAAGGGACAAGCTACGGCTGCAGCAGCGGCCGGAGCCACCATTGCGGTGGAGGCACCCGAGCACTAGGGGTTCGCATCGACTGCGGACCAGGACATGTGGAAGGTTGTTGCTGCTGCAGTCACATACAGATTTTTGCTCGGAAAGGGATCGATAGGCTTCCGCTGCATTGTGAACCTTGTTAATAAGACCACAGTGATAGAAACAGTCATGACACTCTCCTCTCCTGCTCTCTGTCCTTGTGCTATACAGGTTTTGCAGGAGAAGCAGCGAGCCAAGGCGGCCCAGCAGACAGCAGCTGCGGAGGATGGCGGTAAGGCTGGGGGCCTGACGCAGGCAGCAGGAGGCGTGGAGAAAGGGAAAACGGGAAGCGGCAAAGCGTTACCTGTGGGCGGAACACATGCAACCACGGCCGCACCCAAGAGCACGACCGAGGCCAACGGCCGGGTGCCAACCTCGGCCAAGAAGCAGCAACAGGAAGGCAAGCCAGCTGAGCGGCAGCAGCAGCGGAGGCAGCAGCAGCAAGAGCGGGTCAAGGCAGACGGAGGGACGAAGCGGCCAAGCACACCGGCTGACGGGAAGGCCAAGGCAGGGAGTCGAGCCGCACATATGCCCAAGAAGCAGAGGAAATGACCTAAGAGACTGAGGCTTGGTTGCAGATCCTGTCTGAGAAAGGGGCGACCGGGCCTGAACTTGATTTGCTAGATGTCTTGAAGGGATACACGTCCCCGCACGGCATGCGAGAATATGATGTCATGTATGCGTGGAAGGAGAGGTGCTCATGAGGTTTGCATCTGGCGGTACCGGCGGCTGATGCGCGCTGCATTAGGCACACTGCATACTCGCTTTTGTTTGTTAAATTCTCAGTCCTCAATGTCCTTCTCGTCGTGTGTCATAAAAAGTTTATGATGCATGCGTAAGCAAGGGTAATGCTGATAGGTGGAGTCTGAGCGGACTTAGGTGGAAACGGTGCTTACTAGCAGGCAAGCTGGCACGCAGCACAGCACCTTGCGAACTCAGCAAATGCTGCCAGCGCCGCAGTGTTGCAGCGTTCAATGCACGCCAGTGTACAGTGAGCCGATGGGATCGTGTAATTGATTGCAGTCGGACCGTTAATTAGTGACATCCTCTTTTGGCAGCGTTATAGTCACGCCAACCAGTTGCTGTGGGACCAGACAAGCTGCGGTTTGGCTTAATGATCCCTATGCCACCATGTATTCCCCAAACTTTGCAAATATGTGCTGTGAAGCGTCTGCTTTAAAGCTAGTCACCACATCTATCAGTCCAGGCTAATTTCTATGCATAAAAGTATTGCGCAAACGATTTTCTTGGTTGGTTCTAGGTGCCCTGGCCGTCACCTGGGTCATCCGCCACCAAGGTCCCACCCACTGGCCGTCACACGTGCTGCAGATGCACAAACATCCCTTTGTTCTGGCCGACGTCACCACCAGACTAACAGATTCCATGCACACAAAAATCTTATACGCGAAACGGCAAGTTCCGCAACGTGGTGCTGGTAATGCCTGTATAGTGCAGGCCGTTCGCCGTGAGAATCCAAACCTCAAGTGCTCCACACCACACATGCGAAATGACGAGCATGCCACATGCAGTAACTTTGGCTTCCACCAGCGCTTGAAGCTGGTCGTTATAAGCCGGATGAACCCCAGACATCACAGCATGGTAACCAAGGCAAGACCCAGGTGATAGCCATTGAGAGATGTCGGAGAGGGTTGTTGGTCCGTTCCCGGATCGCCCGCCAGTAAGACTCCGTTGTCGTCGGCCTTCCAAATGTAGCTGTGTCACTCCTTGGAGCCATTACTCCTCGGCTGGGTCGGCTTCCAAGGCGCTTAAGTCGCTTCGAAGCCCTACAGTCATCTCGCTCTGCTCATCCGCGCTCAACAGGCGACGGATAGCTTCGCTCTTGCGCTTGTTGTGCTTCAGCTGGACCTAAGTACCCACAGAAGCAAACACAAAGGAGTTCGTGTCTGCTGTCACATGCGATCCATGCATCCAGTAAAATCTCCTATATTGTGGTATCCGATGGGTCTGGATAGCTCTTTATTTAAATTGCAAAAGGATCCTCTCCACTGGGACACTGCGGTGCACTGATAACAGAAGGGCAGGGTGGTTGCTGGCCTCTACGGCTCCCAAACGCGTTCCAAGTCCACTGCAACGGCCCTGTTACCCACGACCCGCACCTCCGACATTTTCTCTAGCAGCTTGGACTGCCACTGTAGCTTGCGGCGGCTCTCCGCAAGCTCCGCGACCTCCGTCCGTGCGCGGGCGGCCGCCTCCAGCGCCTTGGACCGCTCCTCCTCCAGCAGCCGCATCTGGCCAGACGGACAAAAGCGAACCGAGCATTAGTTCTGACATTCGACATTTTCTTGCTGCGCGCTGCGTAAGCTCGTTACCTGTATTCTTATAGCTTGTGTAGAATGCCCTGGAACAATCCGACCCCACTCAGTCCCGTTCCCAGAGTACCCATGTACACAAACACATTTGGAAGGTTACTCCTGCCTTCCATGTGCGGCCCAAAGAAGAGTTCCATGCCGTATACAAACCTACAGCTTCCGTGCTATCCGTGTATAAGCCAAAATGCACCCACGGGTTAATTCCCAGCATGGCGAATCCGACGGCGATGAGGTTATTAGCGAACGGCAGGGGCCCCCTGAGATGTACGCAGCGCATGCCCACAGGCACCTTATCTTCCATTACTGCAGAGGTAATTTCCGCCCTCTGCACCAGTTCGTTTACAGCCTCCAGTCGCTGAAGGGCCGCCATGAGCAGTCCTTTTAAGTCGTCGCGCTCCGCGGTCAGCTCAGCAATGACCAGGGTTGTCTCTTCCTGCGTTCTGCGGAACGTGCAGGAAAGGGGGGGAAACCAAATGAGAGGGAATCATCAATCTATTTGATGTAAGCTATCAATTAGTATCCCTCTCGGGCTGTGCCTCAAAACATTTGCTGTATTTTTAAGGGAGCCGGACAGGGAGTTGGCGAGCGTCGCAAAGCCTTAGATACGGACAGACGTCTGGTTTGGAAGTCATAAGCTGCATCTCGGAAGACCATGCAAGCGAATGTTTGGCGGCACAGCTGTAAGTACCGTGATAAAGAGTTGAGTTTGTGTGAGTGTTTCCTGGCAAGAGCAAACCGGGGCTTATGCCTGAGCTGTAAGAGGTTGCGTTGTGTGAGTACATTCTTACCGACACTTTCATAAACAGCGTGAGGCCTAGCATCCGTAGCTCCTTTTACCGGGCCACAAAGGTTTTGTGCCCGCTTCAAGTGTACCCGCACAATACTTCATATGCTTCTTCACCATAGCAGTGGTCAAGCCTCAACTTCGGCTTTAAGCCTGCTTGTCGACCCTATCAGTGAATTAATATGTAGGCGGTGCTGTCCCTTAAAGCTTGCTGATCCTCTGACTGCCACCCGAGCAGCCATCCGAGCGCGATTTGAACAACGAAACAAAATCCAGTTAGCTGCACCCCGCTCGGTATGTCGCCCAACCGCACGCACGTCGCACTGACCTCAGCAGTGAATTGTCCAGCTCGCGTACACGTTCCGTCGCGGTCTCAATATGGCTGTCGCGGCTTTTGAGTGCTGTTTTAAGCGCCTTGATATCCAGCGCCTGGTGCTCCAGCACACGCTGCTGCCGCTTGGCCTCCAGCTCCAGCTTGTTGGCGCGCTTTCGCTCCTCGATGGCGTCTCGCCGCAACCGAGCCTAAGGCGTTGCAGCGACAATAGCGACAGTTGCGGGTTAACTGGCGGCAGCTACCAGAGTGGAGATAAGCGGCCTTATCAATTAGCGGGAGTCCTGCGTTGCAGTTTGGACGGCATGCTTGATTCACCATGCTCGGACGGTTTACGTAGCGGCTCATGGGAAGATCAGTGCTTCAAGTGCATGTTCGGGCCCCAGTATGGTTGGTGCTTGAGATAGGCAGGAGTAGGACCTGTGCGACAGGTAGGCTTGGACTGTCGCTGCCCGTGTTGCTCGCCAGGGCTCGCTGTCACGGCACGCCGCACCTTTTCGTGTGCCCAGGCCGCCTCCGCTTCCCGAAATTGCGCAAGGACGGTCGACAGTGGCGTGGTGGGTGGGATGCTTCGCATGTGGTCGGCGTTGCGAACTGCAGCGCTGAGGCCTCTGCCACCTCCGGCAGCAAGTGCCGATGGTCGAGTTTTTGTGCCAGCCTTGGGCTTCTTGACATTGACTCTGTGTTCATAGCAAGGAATAGCGTGCGACAGCACCAAGCTTGACTACCCATACATACCCAAGTCGTTACAGCCCCTCGCGCAAACCCATCCCAAGCGGTTACAGCCCCTCGCGTAAACTAGCAGCATGAGCAACAAGTATGCGGGGTAGTAATAGCGCAAACTCCGGCAACCCACAGCCCCCGTGCCGAAAGTGCGCACCGTTCGCGCTTGGGGCTACGCGTCGGCTCCCCAGCTGCTGCTAAGGCTTCCAAGGCTGTAAGGTCCTCCTGGAGTGCCTGCTTGATAGCTGTGCCCTGCGCTTCGGCGCTGCTCATCGCCCGCTCCACGCGGTTTATCCGCTCGAACAAGTCCGACATTCCCTTGCGGCCCCTGCAATATGTATGAAACATTTTCTATGCTCTATACTCTGCACTGGTCAAGCACGTATCCTCCATGTACCTGTCGACAGCTGCTGGCTCCACCAATCGCGCATCTTCAGGCTGCAAATTTGCATAAGCCTTGAATCATGGCAGGAAATTTAATTGTCATAACCTTCATCTAGGGTTCCACCTGTTTCTCCGGGCTCCGAGCGGCCGTCACCGTGGTTACATGTGGACCCTGGGAACCCGCTCCACCGCCTCGGACATCGACCCCAAGCCGCGTTAACCGCGCCTTCAGCTGGTTTAGGTCAAGGGCTGGCGCTGCCATACCCTTTATGTGCCAGCGCTGTGTACAAAAAGTGGCACGTCACAGAGTTTGACCTGACAGCTGACTTCTGCTTAGGAGCTGGAGTACACAGAAAATATACGCATTGTTCACAAGTCAACTTGAAAGCTATCTTGTATATAGTGGTAATGACAACGGCGGGCTATTTGCAAAAAGGAGTTACAAGCTGCACCACAAGTTAATGATGCGATGCCCAATGAATAGATGCGATAACATGATCTGGTCATCTTTAATACTATATAGTCTGTTACAAGTGGTTTCACCGTAATGTTACAATCAGGCCAAGTTCTGTCCGGCGACTCACAGGGGTTCTATCACTGCAATTCATAAAGCGCGAATAGCATTTGAAAGAATCTAACGCATGAAAAGCTCACGTGCAATAAGCAAAACGCACAACTGCGTTGGCTGACACCAACCGTCTGGTGAACTTCCACGACCAGGCGTATCGTCTGAATGTCACGCATATCCCCCGTCCCTTTTGCACCTAGCCAAGGAAAGAATGTAGTTGGTCACCAAATAATGTGGCAGGCCTCAATCTCAGGTCCCGCCCGTAACCCACAAGTCTGCTAGCTGCAAACACATACCCCTCACGTTAATCACCGGGGCAATCACAAAATTGGTGGGACTGCCTCCCTTATGCAGAGAGATCATTGACAGCCGCCCCGAGAGGCCATGCAGCTTCGATATGCTGGCCGTTATAAAGGACTTGCTTAACCAGCGTCACCGACGTTCCGAGATCCACTTTGAAGCCCTGCAGATAAGGGAAAGTCTTTGTCATCTGTGTCGTTAGGCATGTAGCGGTTTGACGGCAAGTGGCGTGACATTGTCACGTTACCGGTCCGCAAGAAACGCAGGACGTAGAACGCGAATGTGCGTGTACTGCGTCTGTCCACCTTACCTTTGTGAGCATGACATCACAATAGGTAAGGTCCAAGCACAAGAAATTGGCTGCGTCGCCCTGCACTTTCGGAAACGTCTTGGTGATTGCGTCGGTACTGAGGCTACACACCTCTGCCGCCTTAGCCCTGAACTCCTGCACGAAGTATGATACAAGGAGCAATTTTGGATCAGCATGTCGATGAACTCTTCATGGCATCCATGCCCACATGGTGAGCTTCCCTTTGCTTAGCTAATATCCCACACACGGCCAACAACGTACACCACCTGTTAAACCACGGACACGACACGCAAAACAAAATCCTCATCCCAACTTGCCCTTGGCGATGTGGGCCACATGATGGCGTCCTGCTCCTTGATAATGCCTGTCTCGAAGGCTCTGTCCCAGAAGTAAGACGAGACGTAATACTGGCGGCCCTTGCTCAGGCCGTTGCCCCTCCATGCACCGTTGAACGAGCACTGAATCTGCATCACAGAACCACAGGGCTTGGCAACATTAGGAAGCCCAATCCATACTACGCCTTGCAGTACCGTGCCAGTTGGCAATTGAGTGCGGATACCGAGGAAACAACACCGCGTAATGCATTACCGCCAATCCCTCAAACCACAACGACTCACAGCGTCACAGAGTAAAGCTTTTAACCAGCATGCGAGGAAACACGACGTCCGGTGCGCCTGGAACGCCACCAGCTCGCAACCCTCACCTGCTCCGCGCCACAAGTTAAGTTCGCCTGCAAAGCCACTTCGCCCAGGTATGAGCACTTGCCCGCATCTCCCTTGCCACCGCGGGGCGCATATGAATACTCCTTGCCGGCGTAGGAGTACGCGCCAGACGCCCCCGAAGCAAAGCATTCGCTGGCCCCTGCCGCGTTGTCCGACGATTGCGACGCTTCAATGAGCTTGGCGCGACCGGCCATAAGGCCATAACCCAGGTAAGAGTGAACATACACGTTGAAGGTCTTGCCGCCACCGTGAAGCTGCACCACGTAGTCCCTGCAAATGTATTGCGAGCAAAGTTGTCGCCTTAGAGACCGCATAACGCCATAATGGTTCCAAGAATGCTTCACAAGAACTCTAAGTAGCTCAGCGCTTTCCCGACACACAGGTCATGTCACCAACTCGAATGCCATACACCAAGGGTGAACGTCGGCAGCCAGGGCGGACCACACGTAAACGCATCGGAGCACGGACGGAGGATACCGCTGCGTATTTAAGAGGGTCTCCTTTCCCGTTGGCCCGCGCGCATTTTCCTACTTTGGAGCTGCTTGTGCGTCCGTCTCCTCCAGAGCAAAAGCCTCCTGTATGGAGCCGCCTCCCATGTCAATGGCAGCAACTGTGGTGCTCACGGTTCCCGACAAACGCCCAAGCAGGTAGTTCAGCGTGAGCCATGCAAAAGCGCCCTCGTCCTTGCCTGCAGATAGGAAACCGACCTCAGATTCGGCTGAAGGCTTTAAGTGACGGCTGCGAGGCCATACACACGTGAGTCTGTAACAGGTTTCGACCGCAACGAAGGTAGGCTTGCCAGGATTCACAAGCATCCATGCCAACCGCACAGACTGTCCTAAAACGGTTCATCGCCGATTCCATGGAACGGAATCCCCAAAGCCGCTGCGGCCAAACAGCGCTTCTGCGTTCTGCGTTCTGCCATACGCAACTCCAGTCTCCAGTACAACAAACACCGCTCCCACGCACCATCCATAATAGACACCCCGCCAGGTGCGAGCTTGAAAGGCTGCTTCTTCAGTAGATCCTCAACTGCTTGCAGGATCCGTTCTGCCTTGTCCCCAGGAAGCAGTCGCAAGCCAGCAGTGGCCTTGAGGGAGATAGGTGTAGACCCCTGAGAAGCATAAGAAACTGCGTTACTGGCACGCTCGCAGCTGCCGGTGAGTTCTACAACAGCCGGATCTACGGATCCCGTGGGGTTAAGGCCCCGTCGTAAAGGCCCCGCCCAGCAGTGCAGACTTCGCAAACAGCGAGTCCTTCACAGTACCTCCAGCCGTTCTGGACTTAGGTTCCGTACAAAAAACGTACATATAGAATCACAATGCCCCTAGAGAATCCTAGTCTATGCGGCGAGGCAGTCGTTGTCCGTTTTACGTGCGCATCCTAGGAGGGCTTTAGGGGCCCCGACAGTGGGTGCCTTCAAAGCACCATGGCAGGATTCCACTCTACAGCATAACTTCAACTGAGATGCTTTGGTATCTGGGTCAGACGCTTGGCGGTACATGGCGCAACACATCATTGCCAGCCGCAACTCACTTGGACACCTGCCGGTACTGTTTTCAAAGCAGTATCCAAAAGCGGTTGGAGTGACGCAGCCGCCTTAGCAGGGTCATCCGCGTAGGAACTGAGACCCGGCTTGAGCTGCTCAAAAGTATCACTGATAAGCTTGAGTTGCCCATCCTGTTGCTCGAATTTAAAAACGTGGATGCGGCTCCCCGTGCTTCCAGCGTCAAAAACGATGGCGTACTTTGTAACCACAGCCGGACCGGTGTGGCGAAGCTCTTTCAGCGTGTGAACGCGCTCCACGTGCAACGGCGATGAGCGAGGCACCAGAAGGATGACCGTCAAGATCAGTGCCACCTGCATACGCAACGAAAAGACTTTAAGCGTCACCTCAAATGCTGATGACACGCACATTTGGGTTTTATGCCACCAGCTTTGCAGGGACCGGGCAGTGAAAGCAACAAACAAGCAAATATTCGACATGAGAAGCCATTAGGCGCGCTGGGGCGTACAGATGACGCAGCTGCCACATGCCTAGCGTTATGGCACCTGAGCTGGTCATCTATGCTTTTGCGGCCCCTGGCCCCTGCTGCCCATAGCGGCAATTGTATGCTTACAGACTGGCCATCGTACATCCTTTTCAATTATCAATTTCATGGCCTACAGCAGATATTATAGGAACACCAGAATAAAAAGCAGCACGTACTAGTATTCCTTCATTAAATGGCCATAGATCCTCCCTCCCCTTGCCATAATTATCACATCCGGTTTAGATGGTTGAATGAAGCAGCGTCACAAGGTTAAGGTTTGTTAATGTACCTCCTTTTATAACCCCGTGGAACCCCCTGGACATATGACCACCTATGCACGGCCTGCGTAATCACGTGTGCCTGTGTCTCCTTCCTTTCGCCTTCTACACCCTTTATCCCCACGACACTTAGAAGTGAGTGCCTGGATGTGAGTATCTAATGGGTAACTGTGAACCGGCTTTGTTGGTATGTGCATTGACAAGCACGTCAACCGCAAATGCCGTGGGTAGCGGGAAGGGTAGGACTGGGAGACTAATCCAGGGTATAATACGTCAAGAGCCATGACCCATATCTTACCGGAACTGAAACCACCAGCAGCACACCCCGGTACCTGCGGAATACATCGTCGGCACGGTGTTCCCTTACAGGAGTCAATCGCCCCCCAAGCAGTCCTGAGGCGTAAGCATCACCTCGAGAGGCTGTATGATATTTTTTTATCGACTGACCGCCATAACATGTCTCTGACATTTTCTGGCTTCTTCATTATTGCGTCGTCGTGCTCCCCAAGCCGCTCAGGATCAGCAATCGGCGCGGGTCCTTGACCGAGCGAGTGTTCAGCGGCTTGAACTATTCTTCCTGTCGTGAAAATTTTACCAAGGTTGATTGGGCGCAAAGCACCCAAGGGTGCAGCGAGCGCCTGTTGCGCTCTAAACTATATATTGAAAGGAAATGATCAGCGAAGCCGATTTGCTGTATAATGACATGTAATATGTTATAGTAATATATGTAGTTCTGTCCAGGTTTATGATGGTATCCTGGTACATGTCCTTGACCCAGTTGCAACTAACTTGACAACGACTTCGGGATGAGGTACAATAAACCGCCATGCTCTACAGCTGATCGATACTTCCTCCAAAACCGCGTTGTTTTCTGCGTATACTTTACATTCACGCAGCAACGTTTTTGCCTTCCGAAACATCCACAGCTTTGTCAATCCAAACACAAGCAAAGAAACAGTGATATTTTGTAATATATTCAATGGCTTGGGTAACCGCGTCTTCGCAACGATTTGTCGCACCTACGCAAGGAGGTGGGCCAAAATCATCATTGCACAGCGCAGAGTGTAGGGGCCGCCAAGCAGCCGAAATGCCTGTGTATGAACGTACATGCCATGTTAAACCTATGCGGTTGTCGGAACGCCCTGTAATTTGAGGTTGCAGCTAGTCCGCTGAAATGGGACCCGTTTCGTGACCGTTGGTAGGGCATCGCCACACGCCAATAGTTCCTTACATCAAGCCGGCAGCAGTGTGGACAAGGCCAACACCCGATCGTGATGCGGACTTCGTGAAGCCGTCGTACATACCCCAACCTGTGCAGCCCAGCGTTACACCCAGCCGCGAAGACAGGCCTATCTACGCACCCATCACCCCGGAGTTTCGCCCAGCCGAGCTTCCGGTACGTTTGTCGCGGACCCTGGGCATGGCGTATAGCGTTGCACGTAATTGAATGTCATACAGATTATGGCGATAGCAGTGACGTGTGGGGGGCCACAACTGGCACGGGTGGCTTCAGGTCTCCACTGCATGGCAACTTCCGCTTGCGTTGTGAGCTCCACGGATCGTATCAATTGCATCTACGGACCGACACAGATGTGTGGTGTACGCCTCCAGGAAACTCCAAAAGAGCTCCCTAGCGCGCCCAAGCTTCCAGAGCGAAGGCCTGACGACATTCCGGCTGGCAATCCTAAGGAGAAGCCCTCGGAAGGTGCACCTGAAAAGCGGGAGGCGCCGCCTTCGAAGGATCGCGAGTCGGCACCCAAGAAATAGGGCTTCGGCATGCCGTGGCGTCGTGGCGGGCGTGACATGGGATGTGCAATATCGTGCTGGCGCTAACGACGCTGAGTTTAAGTTATGTGTCATCCGACAGTGCCCCGCTTATGCTGGTTTCTGTAAGACATGTTTTTGATACTCTTAGAGATGGGTGATCGACTGGCGGTACCTTACTCCTTCGCCCGCTTAGAGCATCACTTGCGTAAAAGTTCCCTTCTGCAAACTCAAGTGCTTTGCATTTGCAACGTGGGCATGCGTTATAAGGCCGAAACGTGTTCTTGATGAGACGCGGTGATGTCGTGGTGACGCTTCATGCCGGCCGCTACGGGAAGCTGTAAACGATGTCCTAAGTTGCAGGTGACCATGAAGCAACGAATAACCTTCGATACATAGTAAGCTCCTCGAAAGACACTTACGCCGCCCTTCGTGGAAAAATGGAAATCTGTGAAATCTGACGCCATAATATGCTCCATTGAGCTATGAACCAGCGCCCACCTCCCGCCTTTGGGCGCGGCGGGGAGGCCGAATATGAGTATATTCCGCTGTGGGACGCACTTCAGGGTTTTACCCATTGACAAATGTACTATCAAAGATTATCAATGAATTGAAATCGTGTTCTCTGGTTCGGTCCTAAACTTTGTAAGGTCCATAGGGAAGTACAATGGCGATCGATCTCGACTCGCAAGCACCAAACGCACGCACGCAAGCAATAGGATAAATCACTGAAATAGGACCCGTTCCAAGAACTACACAATGATTATGCCCAATTAAGAGGAAGCTGAGCATGCAATGAGTATCAATCTCAATATATTTGGAACCAAACGCAGAAAGTATTAAATTTGATGCTACCGTCAAAAACTTGTTTCGCCAAAAAAATATTGATGACAAGTTAAATAATTGGCCTGAAGGCGATGCTTCGGTTATGGGAAATTTGTAAGGGTGTATTTCCAGTGCGGATTAAGGCCAGGGATTAAGCCTCTGTCCTCCATCGATACTTGCTCAAACGGCTAAGTTGTTGGCAAACTTACCTCGCCTTTTCAACCTTTGGTTCCCTTATGGAACAAAACTATGTGGTAAGCTCGTACCAAGGACTTCCGTGCGCTAATCCCTGGCCTTAATCCGCACTGGAAATGCACCCTAAGCTTCCATGTTCGACGGAGAATTGGCATAGTTTCAAGATCATGGACACAGCAATATATAGGACAAACCCCACAAAAATCCATTTTTTTGTTAGCGATAAGCGTGCTAGGCTTATTAGGGAGCACGGTGTACGCAGAAGTACCACCGCTGCAAACAAACATAGAACCTTGTACTCATATACTGCAGGTAGAGAAGTGTAAGGAGTTAATCGTTCATAACAGGAAGTATATCTGCAACATTAATGCACAAATCGTCCACAAGGGCACTAGGGATGTAATTGACATAAAAGATAGAAGGGAGAGGACAGGAAGGAATGCGAGTAGGAAGAGAACGTGAGGGAGAGGACAAAGGCGTTTGAAAAAAGGGACACGAAGAGCGGAGGGACAAATGGGAGGAAAGGGACAAAAGGAGAGTGAGGCGGAAGTGGAGGAACGTTCCCGCATTCAGGGAAGGAAAAAGATCGAAAAGATAGAAACAACAGAGGGTATGGAAGGAGAGAACAAAGGACGAGAGCACAATCCATCAATCAGCTTTGTTCCTTGTAAGCTTTCCACAGGTAATCGCACCTCATTCGACTCACCGTACTTATACAATTTATCGAAACTCCAATGCTGCAGCACCCTCAAGCGCACCCACTACAGACTAAGACAATTCCTCTTTTGGGCAAGCCGAAAAACGCGTGGCGTGTGGTTTTGAGGTGTCAGATCATTCGGCTTAGGTTGCCTAATTTGTCCGCCTGTCGTCTTCTTAACAGCCACTTTATTTGTGACAAGGGCGGCCAGGAAAAGTTGTCATACACCACGAAAATCGTTGTTCCATCTCTCACAACAGAAAATCTTTTTAGGAATTCTGATGGAAGGAAATGGCCGTGTGTCACCCGTCGGTTTCTCTGCATATCCGGACGGTAGAAACACACAACACTGCGTTTCACACAACGCTGAATTTGATGGACTCCAGTTTTTTCATTGACATTGGAACACACCCGTCCTTCCCAGTTCTCAACGAGAGAAGGAAATGGAGGAAAGGATGCCGCAGCACACAGCAGAGGCCTGTTCTTTCTCCATGTTATTATACTGATGCAAATGAATTTATATAGCTACACGTACTATAAATGTTTAGGTCAACGGTGTGTGTGTTTCAGTGGGCTAATAAAGAGTGGATGGTTACGGACCGTTTACAGAAGCGTACAGAACAGCCGAAACAGAAAAATATGTTCCAAATGGTTTGGGCCTGGAAATGTCTTGACAAGAAATTTGTGCTGTGTCGAAGCCCGTGCGTCGACGAAGCGGCGCCGTGGCTAGCAGTCATTGTGATCTATTCAAACATGTTTTTGCTCTCTGTCGACCTGTGCTTTTGTAAATAAATGGTTGACTGGCGGCCATACATCCAGACCGCCTGTAGGCCCAATTTACCTTACCTAATTGCGAACCTGCCGCGAACCCTAGAAGTACGGCGGCAGCGCCGTGCTATCAGGAGTTTTCGGAAGATTACGAAAGAGTCTACCGGCCTATATAAACCTACTTAAGACGTGCAAGGCTTCGGCACCTTGGCCAAGCTTTCATTTCAGTTACTTGTTGCTCATCTGTTGCTTCTAAGGCTCCTGCTGGATACCAGCCATGCACAGGCCACTCCACAATTGTTGCTTTGCGGCGACCTACCTGGCAGCCCTGATCCTAACCCTTTTCACTGCCAATGCCCCTCGAACTGTTGCGTTCTCTTTCGGCGGTGCAAACAGTTACTACCTCTACACCTTCCGCACCGCTGACCAGATTCAAGTACTGGACGCAATGCAGGCCGCAGGCTTTCGCACGCTGCGCATTTCTATTGCTGCGCAGGGTGAAAATCAGACGGGCTCCAATAACTACGGTGTCCCGGATGTCGAGCACCCCGTCGGCATGTACGATGACAGAATCCTCACCATGATCGATGACCTGATAACACGCGCCTTCCAGCGGGGCATCAAGCTCATCATCACGCTGCATGACCGCTACAGCCTCGGCTGCTGGGGAAACAACGCTTACGTAGACAAGTACAACATTCCAACCACGAACGCTTGCGGCTACGGTGGCGTTGAGGACAATGACCTAAACGCCTTTTACAACAACGCCAATGCTGCCGCCGACATGGACCGCCGCTTCACGCACATCATCTCACATCGCCACCCCGGCTTCAGCAACCGCCCCTGGAGCGCCATCCCTGAGGCCATCCTCGGCTTCGACATCCAGAACGAGGGACAGGCCCACCAGCGAAATGGTAACATCCCCAACCCCAATTGGATCTGTGAGCGTGCCAAGAAACTCAAACCGCAGCTGTCGTCGGGGATGCTGGTGCTGACTGGCGCTGGTGCCGACGTGTGGGACTCGGTACTGTCGCAGCACTTCGCATGCTCGTCCATCGACGTGGTATGTGTGCACAGCTACATGGCCGACGACTGGAGCAGCAAGCTGCCGCCCGTTATCCAGGCCGCCAAGCAGGACGGCAAGCGCATTATCGTGGAAGGATTCGGTGCCACAGGTTGGGGCAGTAAGGCGGCGGGCCTACAGAAGCAGATCGACGTGTTCCAGAACTTAGGTGTCCCATGGATGGTGTGGCAGGTGAGCTGATTGTGTGAAATGCTTGTTTGGTGGTGAGGTATATGTCGAATGGACAGGGAGGAGGAGGGAAAGTGGGGCCCCGCTTGGTCGATGGTGGTGAGCCCCAGGCTAGCCGTTTGCCCTTTCCCTGAACATCCAGGTTGTTAAGCCCAACAACTACGATAATTACGAGGTCTTCACGGACGATACTGACTCCTGGAGCGTGCTCAGCAGTGCTGCCCGCGCAGCGCCAGGTCTTGGGGGCGCATTTGTATGGCCAGAGTTCACCGGAGGCTCCACCAAGCATCCCCCGCCACCCAAGGCCGCGGGTAAGCGCCCACCGCCACCCAAGGTCGCCAGTAAGCGCCCACCGCCACCCAAGGTCACGAGTAAGCCCCCACCGCCAACTAACAATAAATGCGCCAAGTGCAATATCCCGCTGTGCCGGGGCGGTTGCAAATGTGACAACAACTGTGATTGCCGGCCCGGGCTCGGTGGTGAGTGAAACGGTTGGCGGTGCAGTTGTTTGTCTGGGAATTAGGGCTTGGGGCAAGCGGGAAGGGAAATTGCATTCCTCAATTGCGCAGTAAGGCCACCTGTCTATTACTACGGTCTGCAACAGCACGCAAGAAAGACACATAGAGGAGTGCTTATGCCCACCACGCACACATCCTCCCACACAAGCACTTATGTTTTCTGCATGCATGCTGGCTTCCGTTTGTCTTCCTAACTGCCTTGGATTTGCTGCCCGTTAGCACCCTTAACAACCACGCATGCACTGTTGTATGCAGGTGCAACTTGCGACAAATGTAACCTGCCCCAGGACCAGGGTGGCTGTAAGTGTGACAACATGTGCAGCTGCAAGTCTGGGACATGCTGGTTTTAGAAGGAAGGGGTCTGCGATCATGCGCCATTCACATCTCCCCAACACATGCTAAGGTTTTCATTCCTCGTTTTGCACATCGTAAGCTAATGCAGTTTCGTTTATGTTGCTGGGCTCCGGAGGCAAACAGAGCACGAAGAGGCAAGTACCATGTCCCCAGGGGGCAGCGGTTTTGCCGCTGTTGTGGTACTAATAGCCGAATCGAGGGTGAAAAACACGTGTTATTGGAATGCCCAGCCTATAATGATATTCGTGCTGAAGAGGGATTCGATCATCAACAGAGCATGTTTGAGGCCATGAAATGGGAACCAGTACGTCTGGTGAGGATGTTGGAACGTATGTGGGCTCACCGAAACTCAGTTACCCCCTTTGGACGCTAGTCTGGGCTGATGTGCGGTGTTTCCTGTTCTCCGTGGCTTATAGGCGTTGTAGTATTGCCCTTGGGCATTCGGCTCGTATGGGTAGTTTTACAGGTATGGGGTCACGCACCCCCAACCATGTAACACACACACACACACATCTCCCCTCTGTCGATACTGGACTGTCGCTGGCGTGTGCTGCGACGCATCCACCATATTTTACCTCACTCCCAGCTGCCTGACAGGTCACCTCTTGCCTGTCTTGCCACGCGCAGCTGAACCTGGGCATTTCCGCCAAGCAGGGCTCGTTCTAAAGCGGCTTGTGATGTCACGGCCATCTGCCTGCTAAATGAAAGCGTGTGCAGCTTTCACTAATCCTAAGCCCTTTGGTCATTTGCCATATATATAGATCAAGGCGAACTGATGAACTTGTTTTGAGTCCTACATGATCGAACTTAGCAATACAGCGGATGTACGGCGACTGAGTCTGCACGCGTGTCACGAAGCTCGGTCCCTTATAGGGATCCCTGTAAGGTATTGCGTCGTATACTACCCGAGGAGTTAGAAGTCCACAGATTGGTGGTAGTGAAGAATACCGTTTTGAACTGAGTTAGACGCTAGCGCCATTTGAATTGAGTTGGACACTAGCGCCACAAGGCCCTGCCATCAGTTAAGAGAAGACTCGATTCGGACGAGCGGCCAATGGGTCTAACGTCCTTACAACGCCAACTTCCTTTGCGTATATCAATCCTTTGCATTTCGATTGGCTTACCCGTTTGTCCTGAGTTATCAGTCTGTTCGTGTTTTGCTTGCCTTGTGCACACCGCAGCGCATGGCTGTATGAGGCTGTTCGGTTGATAGCAGAACGGCTTTAAGAACTACCGCTGAATTTGTGGGCTCCGCCAGCGAACTTTCCCGAATTTCACTCCTATTATGAATCTCACGTTAGTCTCAAGCGACCGAAACATACTAAATTTCAAGCATGGACCTGGAGAGGCTGTCGAGCACGGGCGGAAGGATTTATGCCAGGCTGTTACATAAAAACTCCGCTTCTAAAGGAGCAGGGGAATTGCAATTAGTAGTGCCTTAGTGCCTCATATAAAAGCCTACTTCTTGCCCTTCTTTCCACCCTTGCCGGCTGGAGCCTCAGGAGCAGCAGCAGCGGGTGCAGCGGCCGGCTTGGGTTTCGGGGCACCCGCCGGAGCTCCACCCTCGTAGACGAAGGTGTTGGCACACTTGCCGCAGTACACACGGTCGAAGTGGGTTGCCATGAAAGTGCCGGGGCCGCAGTTCGGGCACTGCTTCCGCAGACGCTGCACCTTGCCCGAGTCGTCCACCTACAGCCACAGAGTACGGGTGCAGGACCGTCCAGGCAACACCAAGCATTAATCCACTAATCTTCACACAGCGATTTGCGGGGATCAAACCCAACGTGCACGAGCTCCACGTCACTAAGTGTCGTCAACGACTATGACTTAGTCACAAAACCCAGCAAAACGTACCTTGTAGAACTTCAGCACCCGGAGCTTAATCTTCTTGTGCTTGTGCTTCTGCTTCTTCGGCTTGGTGTACGTCTTCTTCTTGCGCTTCTTGGCACCACCCAAGAGGCGCAGCAGGCACATCAGCGTGCTGTCGTCGCTGACACCAGCCTCAGCCAGCACCTGGCTGTCCTCCAGCTGGACGCCATTCAACAGGATGCGCTGCTCAGCTGCCTCCAGGCCTGTGGATCACACGAGGTATTCCCGCCTGTTGCTGCTAGACGGCAGTCCAATGCTGCCTCTCTTTTTTGCAATGAAGGAGAGACCGCGAAAGGAATTCCAGAAAAGTCTTGAAGGAACGCCCGCGAATGCATAAAACCAAGACTTGTCTCGCGGCTTACCCTGAATGGCCTCCACAGCAGCCTTTACATCGGCGACGGTCTGTGCCGGACTCACCTCAAGGAGGTGAGTCCGGTCTGCATGCAAACAAAAGAAGGATAAAGCATTAAGTTATATGCACAAAGTTAAGACCCCCAAAGGAAAATAAGCCCAGCGCTGTGACTGCTCACCGGTCCGGACAAAAATCTGCATTCTACGGCACTCGGCAGTGATATCAGTGCCTTCCTTGCACCGTAAGAGGAAGGAGCATGAGGCAGCAGCGGCTCAAAGTCCTCGCGCCGCCTTGCACAGCCGTACACGCCGTACTATATTCTTGTAAATCCTTTAGTTAAACTTAATTTGGGATATGCCGAGATAGTTATTGTGATATGAGTTTCATCTGACAGTGAGCGAATCAAGTTTCGCTCATTTAGAGCGACTTTTTTGTGTATGCAACCAGATCCTTTTACACGTATAGACCATAGCGTTGCATCATACTTTGTAATAAGAGCTTCACTGTCATAGCTGCGGAAGTTGAGCTCCAATTGTTTTGCCCGCACAGCAACCATCCACGCAGCGATGCATACGCAACGGGACGGCGTCCTTGCACCTTAACTCACCGAACCAGAACACATCCACGTCTTATTTCGAATACAGAACGGCACTATATTGTCGAAGGATTGCAAATAGTCCTTGCATATCCTGTAGGTTCCGTTAGGTTGACCCGTGGGACCAAGCAGGCTTTTGGAGCGGTAACAAAGCTATGCCAAACGCCAAGCACATTATGAAAGGGCCGCAGCATTATTGCCAGCTCCAGGGATTTGCTGCACTGTACCGGAATACGGCCGTCCTAAGTTGTGTCCAAAGAGCATATGCAAGCTGGAAATAGTTCCATCCAGACTGCGCAAGCCTGCATGAGGTTCGCTGTCCGAATCTGTATCTGGGAATGCTACTACTGCTACAACTCATTTCATTTTACCATTGTAAGACTGGGTCTCATAAGAACGAGCTAGGGTTTCCGAAAGAAGCTTGTTATCATGCCGGCCGCTCATGCACACAAGGAAACAGGCCCCAGTGGGGTCTACCGAACAGGTGATTGCACAGGACGACGTTTCGCCACGTTGTGCATTGTTCGGAACTACGAAATGCTCCTTTGCGATACCAAAAGCCAATCCAGCCACTGTGCTTCACCATCGCAGACTTGCCGCGCGCCTATCAGGCAGTCGACAAGCAGTCACCTGCTGGTTCGGAAGGTCTGGCCATACCAACCATGACAGTGCTGCAACAGCATTGCGGCTTTTGGGACAGGTTAAGGTCACGGGGATGCTCCGTGGGAAGGCCTCTTTCACTGCCATTAGAACCAGAGATTAGTCGGAGAGTCAGTCAGCGGGAAGGGCCGCTTCGTCGCTATGAACTGTGCATATAGCCAGCAGTCAGCAACATTCCGGGCAACGAGATTGAAGCTAGAAAATTAAGGCAGCCGAACACAGCATACGAACCCCATTCTTGTAGGGCCGGAAGGCCGCACATGCGGGCCTCTGCTGTACACGTATTCTGCCGCTGCTGCTGTCACCGTGCTCCCGCTTGTAGCCCCAATCCTGCCACTGTGCTTCACTGCGCAGGGATAACGATGGCCGTATCTACCCGCTCGACACATACAGAGGTGCGAAAACCGCGCAACGGTATTACATTTCCCTCGCGAACCTAGGGCAAGCTGCGGCATCCCACAGGGAACAAACGCGACTATTCAGCTGCCAGAACAGATAGATTAAGGCCATCGGCTTGTGCCCACACGGCTGACAGCGCCTGCGAACGGGATGTCCTATGCTCGAAAATGCTTGGCTGCTGTCGGTCGTCGCGCCTCTTGGGCTCGTATCTTTGGGCGTTATCGACCTCACCACGTTAGCCCCCACCTGCAGGCTGTCGAGAGCTGGGCATGTCAGTGCTGCTGAGCTTGGGATTCACATGGCTGCTGCACTTCACGCTGCTGGTGCCGTACATGACGCAAGTACGGCAGAACCTTAGTGCAAGGCTAAGTTTAACCTGACGTGCTAGAAAGACGGGAGCAGCTGCAGCTTCCCTGCGCTCGCGAACGCGGCCCCTGGAGTGCCATTGCCGCCAGACCTTAGCTTTACTCACCCGCGTCCGCAGGATAGCTGGATCTTGCATCCTTACCTTTGCATCTACCTGAAGAACATCCACCGCATCAAACACGCCAGCGACTCGGGAGTCTTTGACGAGGAGGGCCGCATGTATCCCGGGGTGCGTGTTTCGCGACATATCCTGTGCTGTACGTATCCTTTATCACTTGCTTTGTCTGAAGTGCGAGGTAGGATGGTGCTTATAGGCGATCTGGTAGCCCTTGAGCCCTCGTATTAGGGCGGTTTGCAGGTACGGGGAACGCGCCCACGACCATGTAACACACACATATCCTGTGCGCTTGCTGAGGTTTGCGGCGTCCGCCGGCCAGGGGCTCGGGTCAGGGGGTAACCGCTTTGCAATAGACGTAGCTGCGGTTGCAGGCTCGGCGTCTTGCAGCTTGGGCAGAGACACCCTAGGGCGCACTAGCTTCACGAAAGGAGGGAACATGACGCTCTTGAGCGTTGTGAAGTTTTGTTGTGTTGCAGCAGTCCATTGGTACTTTCAAACACATGCAGCATCCGTCTCGCACCAAATGGTTACGCGATACAGCTACGTACCTGGAGCTGCGCGCCTGTCTGCCTGCACAGCGCCGACTTCTCGCGCTGCGTTGTGCAGAAGCTGGAGCAAATCTGGAGCATTCTGGGCGCAGAGGAGCTCCGCAGCTACGGCGACGTCAAGCGGCTTGTGTGGGCCAATAAGGACGTCGGCGATCCCATTGGCTGGTGGGTCATGGAACACGCTGGAAGGGAAATGGGGCAGGTCGCGCTTGGGGCATAGCCCGGAAGAGTCGCTGGTGCTTCTAGAGCTCTCCTTCATAGCGTCGGGTGAGGGCTACGGACGCACCTGGACGTGTGAGAAGACGATATAGTGCCCACAAAACATACGTGTTCTGCCTCATTCAAAGCCATACCACTAATTGGGAAACGAGCCTTCTTTCTTCCCCTTTGGTGACCTTTATTGAATTACTCCTCTGACGGTGATGGACACACCGAATGCACTAGTTTGCCATATCTGTCCCAGGCTCTGTGCTCTGCCGGTCTTGTCTGGTTGCATACACTCCCTGCCTAACTGTATTGGGTTTTGCAGGAGCATTGCTAACTTTTTAAGCACCACTGTCACTGAATGAAGCGTTACAGTCTTGTCGAAGCGGCGTTCACGAACCCTGATAACCGGTTCTGGACTTCACAAATGCCGGAAATGCAGGATGGCCTCCACTATTTCCTGGTCCCTGCTGTGGTGGGTAGCACGCGACGAAAGCGGCGTGGTGAGTCGCGAAGCGCTGCGCTCATGTTATGATGGAACCCTCTTCTATCACATTGCTGAGAAGCGTCGTGCCCGGGCGCTGTCGTCCAAGTACGAATGAGGAAATGTCGCCGCGCAACGATCGTACTGTTGCGTACATGTACGACAGCCACACAGGGGCACACGCATACGAGGAAGCGCTTGGGCTTCGGGTCTGTCAGAGCGTTGGCCGTCCTGTTGGATCCTGTCGATTGAGTGTTCTCAATGAAGTTATGTCACCATTGCAATCTGGTAGTTAACCTGTATGGTCGCATAGTCGCATGGTCGTATAGTCGCAATTTTTCCGGTACGGGTATGTTACGGGATGTAACTTTGTCGCGTGTTGCAGTCTCTGGTGCTTGGTGCATCGGAGCTTTGCACCGTAGCATGGATTCGCGCCATTGTGATGTTCAGGCCTGCCGTCGTGTGATAGGCCAACCTTGTAACAGCGGTTTTGGCCGTTTGGAATCGTACGGCAGGAGGTATTTTATAATTCGTACTGGTTTTAAATGTGACCAGCAACCACCTCTTATTTATACCACTTGCAAAACTGCGAGTCCCGTGCAAAAACGTTGTGGGCAAAACACATACACAATACTGTGTACCATACCGCAGAGCCAGCAACCCTCCCGGCATCGCCTGCCTCTGCCTCACACCCAAACTCCAACCGGCTAAGCTTCATCCCACAGCTGTACCGTACGGCTCGCCAGCCTACGTGACGGGCCAAGGCCGCTGCCAGACACACACATCCTCACTCTCACTTCAGCAAAATAAAACCCCACGTGCATCTTCACGATGCAAACACCCATTCATACTTGGCCAACACTCATCCCATCCAAGCTTGGCCAGCGACATCTTACGCTGACACACCGGTGTAACGCAACAGGATGCCATTATTGCCCAGCACAAAGCCCAGCTGAGAGTTAAAGAACTTGATGGCGTACAGGTTACCCGCCAAATCATCAGTGGAGCGGTCGCGCTTCCACGACTTGCCGCCGTCCTCTGAGCGGTACAGGCTGCCGCTGCCACCACAGGCGAAGGCAACCTTATCGTCCCGGAAACTGCATGCAGAGGCGAAGGGCGAAAGATTCAAATAACGTACATGTGGCGCAATTATGCAGAGCATCCCACAGTTCGGCTGGCAGGCAGTCCAACTCTGCATCAAGCCCTGCAATATTAACATTACCCCACGCCCACACAGCGATGGATGCATGCACGGCACAGATCGCGAAAAACACTAGACGCTGCGATGCGGCTGGGGCGACGATGCAGGACGATGCGGACCCCTACGACGGGCGCAGAGTCCCAGGCATAATTGCGGGCCATCAACGCGCAACCAACCCAGTCAACCTACCCGACATCAAGGATTCCGAAGCCGCGCGAGTTGATTGCAACATTCTCAAACGACTCAGTGCTGAGTCCTGGCTCGTTGGCGAGCAGCACATCCCCGCCACGCGTTGTGACCCACACCTCGCCCGAGGGTGTGAAGCCCATGTTCTGCAGGCGGCGCGGCGCGGGCCGATTGTGCGGCATCCAGAAGCTCTGGCCCGGCGACCAGGTCATGTAGAAGTTGCCGCGCGAGGACACCGCCACGTAGTCGCCCGTGTTGCTGCGCGCCAAGTTCGAGAAGGAGCCCTCGTAGTAAGAAGCGCCGCTGATGCCTGCAAGGGCACGTTGTGGATAGCAGTGGTACGGTACAGCATAGGTTCACGGCAGTCCGTACAACAAGGCAGACAGCGGGAATAGACGTTTCAGTCATAGGGGAAGCGTGAGATCGAGAGCCTCACAGCACCATCAAAACGCCCAACATGTCCATGCAGTACACGATTCCTCTGCTACACCCATCAAGGTGTCAAAGCGTTCCCAGCAACGGGAAAGCATCCCAAAGAAAGTCAAACGGCAATCCCAGCCGCTGTAACGGCCAATCTGTCTCCAAAACTCGTTGATAACATCAAGCCCCGCGTGCTACACTGCCATTAAAGCTTTGATCGTCCAAACAGGAATCCTGTCACTCGTCTCCAAGCTGCAGCAACTGCAGCGCCCGGCCTGGGACCCGCTTATGTACCCGGGACGCGTACTCTCCCGCCAGCGAAATATCAATCCCACTCAGCAAGCAGGCCTTTGCCAGCTCCCGGCGCCAGGCCAATTTTCTTCCCGAGACAGAGGAAGCTCGCTCGCTACTTGCTTCGTGGGGCTAAGTGGGGTGATTTTATGACCTACGCATTTTATCACCTTTCGTCCATAGCGCCCTGACATTTAGAGCACCAGAGGCGTCGTAGAATGCCAGGGCAAAAATAACCCCAATGCGTGACAGAGGAATTCGCGAACAACCCCGTTGGGCAGCCAACAAACACAGCACAGCAGCTAACTAACCGAAGGTATCCTAAGGGCATTGCCACGTACGCTTGGTCAGGCTTTCACCCATTCCCTCACGCCCTCCCCCACACACCACTGGACACTGTGCGGTTCAGCGTGGCATCCACAGTCTCCTGCACAGCCGCTGTCCAAGTGTAGGCAGTGTTGTCAGTCACGTAGATGGCGCCCTGCAGCGGGAGGGGCCATCGCCGAGACTTTAGCTCTTGCATCCTATCCTAGAAAGGTTGGAAATGTAATATATTGCAGATGACTGCTCCCCTGAGATGTGTCAACCAATGCCAACATCGAATAAACCCCGTAGCCCTGCGTAAGGGTCCACGCCAGGTGAATGAACCACGCAGGCAGGCAATAGCCACACCCAACGGGGCATTGGCCGTGATGCTAGCATACAACTTAATGCCAATGTTTAATGGTTACCCAATATCCCGTCATTGGCCTCTACCCTGCCTCCATGCCAGGTTGCTTCGAACGGCAAACCTCCAGATGTAACAGCGCCCAGTAATTGGCTATCTAGTGGTTGACTGCAAATGCTATTCCTAGTGCTCGCCAAGGACTGTTACCAGTTTACGCTCCCCACATGTCCGACAGGATCTGTTAAGGGTGTGCTGGTCGCTTAACGCTTTCAAGGTCAATCCGGGGTAAATCCTCCCAGCTGAAAGGAGGCAACTCCTGTTGCAGTCTGCGGTCAGTATCTGCGACATCTAGCCCTGACAAACCTGTACCTCCAGCCCCCTCGCTACGCACCTGGTCGGTGATCATCTCGGCCTGACCCGCCTTGCCTGGCAGGGCGGTGACGCGCAACGGAGTACCTAGTCGAGGGAGAATCATACGGCGCACGAGACGGTTCAGTCCAACGCAGGCGTGGTGTGCTGAAAGCAATTGCGTTGGGGCCAAGCCAGAGGGTGCGCATGATATGTCTCCCCAGATCCGGGACGTGCATTATATGCAACATGAATAAGGAAAAGAAGAAAAGCCAAGGCGTATCTGTGTATGATGCGACAGGAGCCCGTGCGTGCAGCCCAGTATGGAGAGCCGGGGATGACTCACCCGGCAGCTTAGCGCTCAGAGGAATGCGCTCCCAGTTCGCACCGCCATCCGTGGTGTGCAGCAGGATGGCAGGCTTGCCCACGATCCAGCCCTCGCCAGAGGGGGAAAAAGAAATGGAGTTGAAGCGGTAGTTGAACCCCTCGTCACGGGCGGCATCGATCGACCGGGGCTTCCAGGTCTTTCCCCCGTCAAAGGTCTCCAGCAGCGTTTGTCGGGTACCCAAGAGGAAACCTGCACGCGTGACACACTTCAAGCACGGGACATGCATCCAGCCCTGCGAATACACTTACCGTGCTTGTCATCTGTAAAGCCAACGTCAAGAAGCACAACACCCTTATCCAAAGGCAGTTCAACCTGCGATGGAATTCATGCAGGCATTGGATACTGTTCACGATCGGCGAAACATACAAATCTTCACTTACACTCTCCCACTCGCTGGACAGCAGCTGATTTGCATAAGCAGGAGACGAGCCGCCAATCGGAAGCATTAACGACGTTGCTGCTGCCAGGCCAGCGCCCAGCACCACACGGCGCGTCAAAGCATCGGTGCTCTGAGACTCGGCGCGCACCACCACAGCACTCCGGCAACGAGATATGCGAGCAGGCGCGAAGGCTGCAAAACGACGAAACGAAAATGAGACGAAGTCCACTCTACATCCTTAGGTGGGGGCTTGCTCACCCTTAACGCGAGAGCTAACAGAGGCCGGAGCAACCTGCCGACAATGAGCAGCGAGTGCCATGTTTACAATTCTGAAACGAAACCAATCTAGTAAACTACCTATGAATACAAAGCGGCTTGGCGATAATATTTTTTGGGCCTGTCCGGCACTTGATTGCGGTGTGTGGCCACACATAAAGTGACCAGACACCACTACATCTGGACCGCAAAAGGAACTTTATGTACAATCCATCAACACACTACATAAGCGCGAGATTTCCTCAGGAAAGTCTTTATACAAGGAACCATACCTACCTAGCGCTCTTTGATATTTCTGCCATATAACCTGCCTCATCCTGCACCTCATTCCCATGAAAGACGAGCACTACACGGAGACGAAAACGATCTAATTATCACTGTGAGAATGCGCAATGTAGACAACTACCCGCTGAACCGGATACATGTCCCCGACGTGTCCGCCTATACAAGCGGCGTGCTATCTATGTCCGCCCTGTTAAATCCCATCATCGCCTTCGGGTTCACGTGCACGAAGACACGGCTGCCGATTAGCAAATTATAGTCATTCTCGTCCTGGTCTCGCGTTAATTGCAACTCGCATTCCTGCAAGAAGGCGGAAACGCATATTCATTACGTGCGGGAAGCATTGACGCGAAGGGGACTCTTAACGCGCCATGGAGTCTGAATGACAAGTTTGTGGCACTTCAAGACACTGCTTGACACTGATTCCCGCCGTGGCGAGTGTCCAAAAGCATCAGCGAGGCTGCTGCGCCCCGCCCCGCCCCATGACATAGGGCCCCCTTACCACGTCGTCATCAAAACGCAGAAGGTACTTAATTGTCCACCCGAGGTTGGCCTTCTCCACAACCGTGGCAGCAACCGTCACCGGGCTGTCCTCTGAGGGCGGGCTCTTGAAAAGCTTGATATCGTGTGGTCGAAACATGACCATACTCTTGGGCGTGCTGAACCGCATACGCTTCGCGAGCTGCGGCAGTAGCAGCACAGCAGCAGCAGGAAAGACAGTCACGAAAGCCATATTCAAGCACATACCATAGTGCGACGTTTTGACTCGTTCAGGAAAGCTCAGCCCATGTGGAAAGCCCGCAATTCCCTCTTGTATCCAATGCTAGCGAGCCGCCCAGAGCTTTCGAACCCCATTCCCGGCCTAGAGAACCTCAATCCCTGGCCCAGGTCTATATCCCCGTAGCCCCTACCCATGAGCCCGGCCTTGTTGCGTTGCTGCGGGGACTCGCCTCGTTAGGCCAACTGGTAATTGTTCCCCAAAAAGACTCCCAGCACCCACCAGAGACGTGGCCGGCACCACGTTCGTCTCTCCCACGAACTTCATAATGAAGGGCGTGCGCGGGTGTTTGATGATGTCCGTGGGCTTGCCCTGCTGCTCTACTAGCCCCCGGTTAAATACCACCACCTTGTCCGCCAGGTCAAACGCCTCCTCCTGGTCGTGTGTCACAATGATCGTAGTGACGCCCACGCTGCGGACGATTTCCCGCAGCCCTGCGCGCAGCTGCTTGCGCACAACGGCATCCAGCGCACCAAAGGGCTCATCCAGGAGCAGTAGCCGCGGGTTGGATGCCAGGGCTCGTGCCATAGCCACTCGCTGGCGCTGACCGCCAGATAGCTGGCGGGGGTACCGGTCGCCCAGGCCCTGCAGCTGAACCAGCGCCAGCAAGTCCTGCACCCGCTGGTCATGGTCGATATTGAGCTTGCGGACTTCTAACCCGAATTTGATGTTTTCAGCAACGGTTTTGTGGTTGAAAAGCGCGTAGCTCTGGAACACAAAGCCAATCTGGCGGTCCTGCACGGACAGGTTGGTGGCATCCACATCGTCGAAAAATATGCTGCCACCGGTGGGTTGCTCAAGGCCAGCAACGAGGCGCAGCAGCGTAGTCTTGCCGCTGCCAGAGGGCCCAAGCAACGCGACGATTGAGCTGGGCTCGATGTCCACGTCTACACCATCCACGGCACGGAAGAGCCCTTTTGCGGTGTTAAAATGCTTGACCATGTTGCGTACCTGCGGCAAGAAAGTAACACAAGGGACAGGCGCTGGCCGCCGGCTTGTGCATGGCATTCCGAACTGGTGCTGTACTCAAACGGTTTAAGGAGACCTTAAGGGGAAGATACGCCCTGGCGTGTCGGGGGTGGAGGCTGACTTGGCCGGCCCCATCCAACCTGCTGGGTTTTATGAACATGTATCGAGGGGTGTTTGGCTGCCCTAAGGTAAGCAATCTGTACCCATTCATGCGCCGCCGCCACCGCGCCGGCGTAAGCACTGAGGAAAGTTGACGCCGCACCCGTCGTACCCGCACGTAAAGGCCCGTTGGTCGCGTTGGTGGATCCGTTATAATCCCCTCATAAGCAGGCCCTGTATCGTCTATCGATTCAGTCGCTAGGCTCGTTGGCAATGTGTCCTGCAGCAGCATAAAGCGGGAGCGCCGTTGCCGACACGGTGTCGTGAATTGGAGTCCATCCGACGCATCGAGCGGCGTTACCTCTGACGGCAAGGGTGGGGAATCACGGATGGTGTCGCGCTCCACGCTGGCCGCGCGGCAGGCAACTGGCGACGGAGGTTGCCTGCGATGCAGGCCACGCAGGCCGTCAGAGAGTCCGGAGCCGGTCGCCATAGGTTTCCTCGCAATCCACGACCCAGAACGAATGCATTACCTTTGTGCTCCATGAATAGCTCCTAATAAGCCCTGCTGCTGGTAGCGTACATTCGTTGGCGTCTGCAAACGCGGCAATCATTTTGCCCCTAAAAACGTTTTCATACAACAGAAGAATGACCATCGATCACCCACCAATTGTGGGATCGCAGACGCTGGCAAAGGCCTCAGCGCTGTTCGCCCACTTGTCGTAAATTGAGATAACATCTTCCAGTAGACCAAATCATGCAAAGATGTCCTGGAAATTCAGGCGTCTTTCCGACAAGGGTACTGTTTTTTTCTAGCAATCGTACGACACATCCGGGAATTGGCTGAGAACACTTTTCAGACTGTACATGTTGCCTTACATCAAAATTTTCTACACGTGTAAAATTACAATACGAATCTCTGTAGTCCCTTCCTTAGGCCACCTATAAAAATGGCGCTGTGACGACGCTTCCAATGGCCGAAGCATGCGTTTTGTTGACTCACAGGACTTGTAGATACTTGGTAAGAGCATCTTGTCAGCAAGGACAACCAAGATGGCATTTGAACTGGGGAACCTGGAGGGCTGGGCCTCAAACGCAACCCGACGCAACCCGACGACTTGGGTTGCGTTTGAAACGACCACGCAGAACAAGGTTATCAAGCCAAAGAGGCAAGCCTAATTTCAGCTATTATGTCTAAGTTTGCCAAGTGGTTTGTTTGACTTTTACCTAGTCATGTCTGAAACAGGCGTAAGGGCGCAAGAGGACGGGCAAGCGCAGCTGAGATGTCAGCCTTGGTGGAAACTGGGGGAAAGAATGTCCGCCGGGAACAAAATCTCCGGCCTGAGCAGGTAGTGCCTTGCTCCCTCCAGCTTCCCGGGGCCCAGGAACGCAGCTACCCGGACCCCTTGCATGGAACGTTGCACGGGGTAGCATGGCCATGCCGCTTTGACTTCGTGTGCACGAATACTTGCTATCGGCATAGTTTAGCAGCGGGGTCTCTGCGGGGTGCGGTAGTGGGCCCGGGTGTACTGCCTCACGGTGGGGGCACCTCACGCTTCTAATCCCAGTCGTGTGCTGGTTGCAGGTTGAGGCGCTGCGCCTCAAGCGCGAGCCAAAGGATCTGACAGTAACATGTATAGGGCAGGAGGATGGCGAGGGCAACGTGGAATATAAGTACCGCATTAAGGATCCGCACCCGGTCCGATTACAACAGCTGGTACGTGCTCTCTGGGCATCAAACGCTCACATGGTTGGTCCTTGTGCTGTACAGCGATAGGCTGCTATGTCTCGGTAAGGGCCAGCCGAAGGCTGTCTGAGATAGTAGATAACATGTAAAAACACTTCAGGAAGGTTATTTTGGTATATACTCAACGAAGAAACATGTCGTCGAACTAATTGAAATACTTAGACTGATATGCCGTAGCAGTGCGCCTGCTATTTGAGATCCACGTTAGTCAGGTATGATTCGCCAACTTCAGCCTGGTCAACTGCTGCCATCGCATCCCTCTTAGTCTGATCCACCAACCTGTTAAGACCAGCAAAGCGCCAGCACCCCGGGTCCAATTACAACTGTCTCCATCTTATGACATGTAAGTTTCGATAACTGTCCAACCCTCCCCCTCTCGAGCGAGACTCTCTCTTGCTCCGTGCAACCCCTAATGCATCATACCAATTTTCCATGTATGGATTAACAGTCAGTGGGACCCGAACCGAAGATCCTTCGGCAGCGCTCAGCGCCATTGGGACTCATAACCTGTTAAGACCCGCAAAGCTCCGGATCCCCTTTGGTCACCATTCTCTGGTATATGTATGTTTCGGTCCATTTCCAACACAATCCGACAGAAAGCCTGCATGTGCGGCACTCCAAGAGTCTTCAACGGATCGGAACCTGCAAAACTTGCAGATGCTCTGCTCACCTGTGATCCCCCCATAAGCTCTATTTGTTTCTCGCGGCCAACAACAAAAAAGAAAACGCATTACTTTCAAACGATGCATATTAGCAGGGATAACAAATCGCCTGCTCCAGCTGCTTTCTCAATCGGGAACCCCATCCAGTGCTTGTATGTAGCCATTTCAATGCCTGGTTGCTTTCCATCCGATCGGAAATCGTGTGGTACTGCAGAGCCACATGACGACATCAACTGGTGACGAAGCTCAGAAAGGATTAGCCCCGCCGGAATGGGTTTTCCGGTGCGGCATTGTTGTCATCGGTCATAGCCCCAGGGGTAATCAAGTCCACATCTCAAAACGTAAGATCCTCAAAAAACGGAACAGCTTGGGCGTCCAATCATCTCCCCCCTCAACACCAGTATGACTTCCTGGCGTAGAGTTGCGTGAGCAAGAGACCTCGGCTGGGTCACTACCTTGTTCCAAAAAATTGATAGCAAGCTTGGAACAAAAGTAATGTAGGTGACATTGCGCAAATTCAGCAAACGGCAGCCTGTATGGGGACCGTGCAGCTCCTACTATTCTTGCCATAGGGTCAATCAGACAGCTCTCGAAAAGATCCGCTGCAGGGATGTTAAGGTGACGGCACTTCGTGGTTCTTGACAGACGTCACAGCCATAGATAGGAGCAAATGGGATGAACTTGCACTTCGAATCACCTGAAAGTCTGCCAGGCACACGCTTTCCACCTCCTTGGAGTGGGCAAAACCATGAGTTCGCACTTCCTAACGTTGGGCATCAGCCCAAAAACGGAACTGAGATCCCTAACAACATCGAGCAGAGCCTGCATGCGTTACAAGGATGTACCCAGCAGGCTGTGGTCATCAGCGTAAAGCAATAGTAATTCCTCTTTGCCGTCGATGTAGGGAGCGTCAAAACTCCACCGCCCGTTCCGTGCGTCCCTCTCATCTACCGTGTCCGCAGTCATTTCGATAAACAACCCGTACAGCTCATTGCTCAGGGGCCATCCCGGCTTAACAACTTTCCTGGACTCGAAATGTTTCCCTGTCTCCCCTTCGCTGCGATGACCACCTCCTAGATTTTGAAAATGGCATCCTCTAACCTCAACCAAAACAACTTTGGTGCGTGGNAGTCCAAGAACGTTGTTCTGCCACGCACCAAAGTTGTTTTGGTTGAGGTTAGAGGATGCCATTTTCAAAATGATGTCCTTGACTCTCACTGTCGTACTATGGGCCCTTGGTTGCGTCGCCCGCAGATTACCCAGATGAAGTACCGCTTGTCAGAGGGCAATGGGGAGTGCTTCTATTACATCGGTAGGTAGCAGTCTACCGTCGCCGGTCCCAGCTGTTGCGGGGCATGGTTAAGGATGTGCTCGTACGTTGGATACTGTGTCTTTACATATTGCGTTTTGTGCAACTTCGCGGGCGTAAGCACAGGGTGCTTACACTTGAGGCGAGCCGAAACAGAGGGTGCTACCACCGCATGCGCTGGGCAATACCCAATCTGTGTACCGCTAAAAATAAACATATAATAGGATCAGCCTGAGAGCGGGCCACGGAAACTGCCCTATGCACTCAGGCCCTCTGCCAGGATGGCCGCGTGATATGGTTGCATTATGCGCCCTGCTGCTGTCGCGAAGGAACTTGCCAGATGGACATGCTCTCCTTTCGCAGTCGCTTGCTGGGGTAGACCATGGAAGGCCACAAGACCATGGGTAGCTGTAAAACCCGCGTACACAATGCCAGACTGCAAATGGTGAACGATGCTGCTCAAACTTGCATCATCCCCCGCCCTCTGGACAGGCATTGAGGATAATGGATACCCCAAGGGCCTGGAGCCCGCTGACTTGGAGGCCTCCATTTCGACGCTGCAGCGCATGGCATCCTCCCTGGACGCCTTCGTCACGCTGGTGCACTACCTGCCTGCTGCCTGGGGCCGCCGGGCTGCGTTGTTGCGTGTTGCCACCAGCACGGCCCAGGAAGCTTGCCACACCGACCTGCGCATCGCAGTGGCGGGCAGCGTAGATGCGGGCAAGTCGACGCTGGTGGCGGTACTGACTCACGGGTCCAACGGCCGGCCAATGCTGGACAACGGCCGTGGCCTCGCACGGATGAACGTGTTCCGGCACAAGCACGAGATGCAGAGCGGCCGCACGTCCAGCATTTGTCACCAGTTGCTGGGGTACGACAAAGACGGCCATGTCATCAATTACGCGACGCCGGCTGCAACGGGTTAGTCCGGCAAGGCCAGCACCACCGGCAGCGGGCCGTAGGGCGATGGACCGTAGAAGGATGGCACGGTCCGTGTGTATGGGCCTAGGTGTTTTCCTGAAGCACAAAGTGCCGATTGCTGCAGAGCAATGCTGCACAGGCTGCGTAGCCCTGCACTTGGGCAGCCGTTGCATTAGTCGCAGGGTGCACTTTCCAACAAGCGGAATTGATTCCCCTCTTGGTTTTAAGCCTCCTTCGCATCTTGATTCAGTACCTGTACGCTGCCGGGCAGTCTCCTTTTGCCCCCTGGTTAGGCTTCAACCTGTGCAGGAGTTCGGCGTACCACTTACTCTCCACCCTGTCCTTACTGTATGTCCTCCAACTACCCCTCCGGTCCGCAAACAGCCTCAGCGCTGTCCCCCGCTGAGATCACCAGCTGTGCGGCCAAGGTGCTGACCTTCCTGGACATGGGCGGACACGAAAAGTATCTCAAGACGGCTCTGTACGGCATGACTGCCCTGCTGCCCGATTTCGGTTTGCTGTGTGTGTGCGGAGTGGCGGGGCTCGGGCGGATCGCCAGGGAGCACCTGGCGGTAGCGGTCGCGCTGGAGGTACCCGTGGCGATTATTATCACTAAGGTGTGTTCATCAGCATATCCTACTGTTTTAGGGAGATGAGACGGGCACTGTACAGCCTGACCTCGAGGACAGTCTGGCCAGCAGCTGCTATTCTTACCTTTGGTGTGTTGCGTGATTTGCCTTGCCTGTTCCCCTTCAACTTGCATGTGCGATACGCTTTGCCCGGGATGTAATATGCTGTGCTGTGATGCCAGGTGGAGCTAGTAAATGCGGAGCGCTTCGCGGCTGTGGTGGCTGAGGTGCGGCAACTTGTGGCACTCATCATGCGACACGAGAGCGGCATGGGGACAGTACAGCAGCAGCAGAACCCTACCGCTGCGGACCCCACCGCTGACGAGCGACGCGTTGAGGTGTGATGCGTACTCTTTTGGCAACACGCAGGAAGTTCTGTCCGGCCGCGCGCTGAGGGACGATGACAGGGGAAAAAGGCCATGCGGCTTTCGGACCAGGGTGCTTGTCCAGGTGTAGCGTCCGGCGCCCGGACAGCTGCTGCAGGTGTAGCTCCTACACGTGTACTCCTATCCTGGCAACGCGGGTACACTTCGTCACATGTAATTCGTGTGTGGAGTGGAATGTGAACGCAGTGCACCTACCTTGACGTCGGTCGTCACTAAGCATGGTACTTTTGACCCTCCCATCCCCTGCAGGCCGCCTCTCCGCTGGTTACCACTGAGTCAGAGGCCCTGGCCAGTGCACGCGTGCTGTGCCAGCTGCGTGCAGACTCTCTGGCCTCATCCGCAGCGCGTGGCGTTCTGCGTGTGCATATGCCCATCTTCGCCGTGTCCGCGGTGTCCGGCTCGGGCCTGCCCGTTCTCCACACTTTCCTCAACGCGTTGCAGCCTGCCGCACCACACAAGGGCGGGTGCAGCACGCCGCTGACTAACGCCAGCAGTGGCGGCCCTCTCCTGTCGTCAACCGCTTCGGGCGCCTCCGTTAGCATAGGCGCGGATAGCAGCTATGATGGCACCAGCAGCTGCGGCGGCACGTCAGCGGGTGACAGCCCGCGCGCAGGCGCCGCTAGCGGTAATGGCCCTGTCACCTTCAATAGTTTAGATGGGCCTGCGGTGGCGGCTGCTGCTGCTGCAGCTGCTGCAGCCGCTGGGCCACAGCAGCAGCTCCTGTACGCCCCCGCCACCGCTGCCACAGCGGCGATGACACCGGCGGCCGCAGTGGCTGCGGAGGCGCAGGCGGTGCATTTCCAGGTGGACGGCACATTTGAGGTGGAGGGCGTGGGCTCGGTGGTGTCGGGTACGCTGGTCAGTGGCATGGTACGTCTGGGCCAGGAGCTGCTGCTGGGACCCACCGCCACTGGCGACTTCACCCGTGTGGTTGTGCGGCAGTTGCAACGCTCGCACGTTCAAGTCAAGCAGGTGCGTGCGGGGCAGACGTGCACCATCGCCATTAGCCCAGCTGTGGCGCCGCCGCCAGCGGCAGCTGTAGCAGATGCCGCCACCACGACAGCAAGCAGCACAGCCGCCGCTGCGTGTAGAACGCTGCTCGACAGTGAGATGCTACCGTTGGGAAGCTCGCCCGGGGTAGGACGAATGGCGGCGGCCGCGGGCGCCAACGGCGGTCGCAGGACATCAGAGACAGGCTTCGAGGACGCTCTGGCAGCTGCGCAGACAGCCCTGGATTTGTGCCTTGGGGGCGACAGTGACGGCCTTGCGGCCGATGGCGGTGCCGATGACGACTTGTTCGGATTTGATGCGTCCGACGGTCCTACGTCGCCGCCTTCACGCAGGGTCAAGGTCACCTCTCCCCAGCCCTTTCTCGGCAGCGACGCCTCAGAGCAGCTCTTCCTTGGATCCTCTTACGCCGGAAAGAGCATCCCCTTGTCCATGTCCGTGTGCCAGCTGCATTCCACAACAAGCTTCTGCGTCAAGGGCGGCAGGGACGGTGGCGGCGCTGCTCCCGGCTCCGCAGCAGCAGCAGCGATGGGCGGCTGTGCGGCCGCTGGCCTGAGCATGGCCCCCAGCAGCGCTCTGTCCACGTCAGCGCCGGCCGCTCGCACATTGTCAATGGGCTCGGCGCCTAGTCCTTTCAGCGGAGTGGCGCCCAGGAGTAAGGGGGCGGTGCTGCTGGAGCCTGCACTGCAGCCGAGGACCAGCTGGACCTTCGAGGTGAGGTGTGGAGGGGCCCCAGACGGGTCATTCCTGGGTTGGGGCCGTCGAGATACAGGGGTAATGGGATACGGTAAGGAGATCCAGGGGCCGGTGCGCCGGGTTACGAGGCAAGTTACGGAGCTCAATGCGCCCGGAGCAGGTGGACAGTATGGCTATCCTGCGTTGCGGGAGTCGGGCTGGACGCCGCAATTTTGCGTGGCGGTTCAGCAGTAACAATACATCAGTTAGCTTGCAGATGTGTGAGGCGATCTTCGCGCATGGACACAAGCTTGCTTGCCGGTTCTCAGCCAATTGCTGTTTGGATTAGCGCTCCTGCGCGTTATCTCTGTCGTCCCACCTTCTGCATCTCACAGGCAGTTTTGATTCTGCTAGGCGGCCACTGGCCCCCGCGCGGCCTAGTGTCCGGCCGCTGGCCGCCAGCAGGTGACGAAGTGGATGCGGCCATGGGCGTGCTGCAGCTGCAGCTGGATCCTAGGCATGCAGACACAGCCTCCGCGTCGGCATCGGAGCTGCAGCGCAGCAGCAGCAGTAGCGACCCGCCGACGTCTGGGCAGTCAGGCAGCATGACACCGGCCAGCGGCGGGGCCGGCGATGGCGGCGACGTTACGGCTGGCGAGAAGGTTGGCGTCAGCAGCAGCAGCAGGCGCGCCAGTGGCGGAGGCACCGGCCTGCGTATCGGGGCGTTGTCGGACGAAGGCGGCGGCATCAGGAGAGTCCATGGAGTTGGAGTGCCGGCGCATGAAACGAACACGGGAAATGCGGCGGCTATGGCTGCGAATGGGGTAAAGATGCGGCCATTCGCAGGCCCCGGTCCGACAGGACGCCGGGGTTCAGCGAGTGGAGGCAAGACACTCGGCCTGAGAAGAAGGCAGCGCTCGTTTGTGACAGTCGTGCACTGCGGCAGTGTACGACAGCCCGCATACGTGCTGATGATGCAGGTGAGTGGGGGAAGCGGAAGAGAGGGTTTTGACGCCTCGAGCATTCTGAAGCTTGTGGCGTGGTTGATTTGAGTCAACAGTAAAGGAACCCGCCACTGTGGTAGCGAGTGCCTGCGTCCCCTGTGACCCTGTGCTGGTGCAGGAGCTGATGGAGGATGGCCTGGCAGACGACAACCGCACAAATGATTCGTCGCCATACTGCTGTCCGGAGCTGCGCATCTCCGCCAGTACCCGCGCCGCTGCCGCCCTGCTGCACAGCGCAGCAGCAGCACCCGCCGCCCAGCTCCATTCCCATACTGCAGTATCAGCGGCCGACGGGCCTGCCTCAGAGGTGACCCTACCCTCAACCCCGCAGCAGCCTTCGGACCATGACATGGGCTGCCTAGTGCGGGTGGCGTTCCGATGGCAGCACCGGCCGGAGTGGCTGCGCGAGGGCGCCAAGCTACTGGTTCGGGACCGTGGTGATGGCCGGGTGGCGGGCGCGGGCTTTGTCCGCAAAATACTTTTTTGAGCGGCATGTCCACAGCAGAGACGGTGAAACCGGAACTGGGAGTCCCTGGGGTAATTGAACTGCGGTATAGGTGAACGTGAAAGCGGATAAGGTGGTACGGGCTGTCGGTAGATATTGCAGGCAGGAAAGGTGTTGTGCGGCGCGAGTAGAGGGGTGCTGTTTTTTTCCTGATTATGCTGAAAAACTGAAGAGCTTGTGCGTGAAGGCTTCTGTGGCAAATCATGAAAAGTTAATGCTAAGGGGGTTGGTTAAGGCTTGGGATTTTCATATCTTGCATCAATTGCTATATTTGACACGGCATGGGCAACGTTGGATTGATCTTGTTGGATCGCTTCGGGCAATTGAGCTAGTTGCTGACGGACCCTTGCCGCGTCCAGCTGGAGGCGAGGTCGTCATGCATGGGCGTGATCGGCATGAGCAGGGCCAAGCAGATTTTATTTATGGTAAGACGGGTTTCGCAAATCGATGACGCCCTTGTCGCTGGTGTTTGAGATCTGTTACTGGCGTTGGCGATCGTTACACGCCGTGCATGTGCGTGGGGTGTGCTGGCAGCGGGATTCCCCGTGCAAAGAAGAGTAGCGGCGGCCAACATGCCAAGATGGGTCACTCCATGCAAATGCTGACTTCGCAGGGCCTCGTGGAAGCATGTTTGGCCATTGTTGCGAGAAGGGACCTGAAATAGCATGGAACATGGCGTTGGCCGTTGTTCCATCCCAGGACAAGTGGCATAGCGAATTAACACGGACAGTTGACATGGGCTTATAAATGGCAGTGTATTTGCTGTGCCTTATGTATCGTATAGTCGATTAACTACTTACAAATGTGCTACAACCCTGGCGCCTAACCAGGGTTGACGCCAGGCCGGCGATGGACGGCCACCGATTGGGAAACTGGCCAGCGCATTGGGCTCTTTTGGACTGGGGGATGGATTTATGGATGGGGGCACATTCGGCAAACTCATAGCCGTGGTGCCGTACCCTGTGATGCAGTACACAGGTGCCACGGGCTCTTATGCCATTGTGTACTTGCCGGCATAGGTTGTATTGAGGTGTCATCCTGGATCCTGGGACGGCGAACATAAGCATTGGTAGTGCAGGCGGCATCGACGCGACAATTGCACGTCTTGAAGCACCACACTTTAGTGGGTGCGAACTGTTTTGCGAGCATAATACGACGTATGGCCTGTGCGAGCCATATGAGTCTCATAAGTATCGGGCACAGAGTCAAGGTGGTGGTTGTCATGTTGCGTACTGAAGTGAGGTGCTAGCGGTTCACAATGCACCAGTTGGCCGTCCACGGCTGAAGGAAACGGACTGAGCCCAATACTATTCCTTTCAATGTGTCTTTGTTTGTCGATCGAGACGACAGGTATCAACATGGCTGCCTATGGAATCGCAGGTGTCTTTGTTTTGTTTTCGTAGCTGGGGGACAGCCGAGCGGATTGTCGGCAGTCATATCGGTGCCGACGAATTAATAAATTTTGGGGTGTTTTAATATCCCGCACACCGGTCTGTGAGCAGGGCACACGTTGACGCGGGAAATTTGTGACGCGGTTCCGACTTTTAAGAAATACTAGAAGGGCTATTTGTTCAGATGGGGGATTGATTGCATGGTTAACCACCCCAGCTACAAATTCACCATAAGCCGTCATTACACACCAGTCACGTCGCTTAGCTGCATCAGCATTAGCTATTAAATGCAATTCACGAGGCCGCGCGGCCGCCATCTGATGATGGTCATCATCGTAAGAATCACTGCCTGGACCTAAACCAACCCCTTGCCAAGGCAAAAGATCCTTGTGAACCTGGAGAAACACTTTTTTCTCTGAGCCTGCGGGCCCAGCCTGGAACAGCCTGCCAACACCGAGATCGACTCCCCATCCAGTGGAATGCCGCGTCACTACCTCCAAAAACGCTCCACCCCGTATCGCATTGGCTTAACATGAAATAATTCGTACGCCTACTGTCCAACCAACCGGCCTTATTCGTGTTCGCCAGCCTTCTCTTCGTGGTTTCCATCCACAAGGCCAGATACGCTTCCCTAGGCCGCTGGATGTCCTCCTTTGCAGCAACCACTCATGCCCAGGAGCCGCAGGCCCGAAGCCGTCATAAATGCCAGCGCGAACCTTGCGAGCCCTACGCGCAAATGACAATAGCTCCTCGACCCCAACCAGCGAGCAGAAGCCGTCCTTCACGCGTCTTCCGTCGGGGCGCCCCCATCCGCTGCTGACTTCTGCCCCTTGCCGCTGAGCGTGCTCTCCTTTGAGCGACTGTCCCGCTCCTCCACCATGAGCGTCCTCACATCCTCCAGCTTGAACATGCCGTGCACAACATTGTCGCGAGTGCGCACGTTCACAGTCTGCTCTGCCTTCTCCGCCTCACCCACCACCAGAATATAGTTGTATTGGGCCAGCTGAGCCTCGCGGACCTGCACAAAAAAAACCGCCACGTGTTTAGTCCAGGTTACAGCCCCGGCTGTCCCAGCTTCCCATCACAGCCCACAAGCCCGGAGACCCAGAATAACAGCCTCCGCCGACATAGGAGAACACAGACAGCACCGGCCGGACCGCCACCGGGATCCGCGCACCTTCTTCTGCATTTTGCGGTCGCTGGCATCCACGTCGACGTGCAGCCCAGCGGCCCGTAACTCTCGGCGCACATCAAAGGCGTACTGGGAACTGTTCTCGCTGATGGGCACCACCATCACCTTCGAGGCACAGGCGCGAAGGGTGAGCAGCGGCGGCACTCCATTCTTGTGACCGACTCTAAACTCGGGTTAGGTAGCCCCCCATACTCTCCTCCATCATCCAGCTCACGGAAAAACGCCCCATACGCGCAACAGCCTGCACTGCCCATATGACAATTTTTACACCTGAGCAACCATGTCCTGTCCTCGATCGCCCCTCCCAAGCCCCCACACACGTACCTGGCGTGGGTTAAGCCAGAAAGGCCATTTGCCCGCGAAGTGCTCCGTGAGAATGGCGAACATACGCTCCACGCTTCCCAGTACAGCGCGGTGCACGATGACTGGCCGCTCCAGGGTGCCGCTCTCGGAGGCGTACTCCAGGCCGAACCTGATGCAGACAGTGGCGGGGCGAGACGGGGAAGGTGGTTGTTGCAAGTGGCAAAAAACGTGGCCCGGGGGAATCACGGGGTCCGGAGAGCAGGTCCACGGAGCGATGCGGAGCACGCGACTCGTCATTGCATGCGGTGCGTGGGAACCAGATTGCAGTTGCATGCCATGGTTCGCTAATGCGTGGTGCCCACTTTGACGCGTTTCCCCCCCACTCTGCTGCACGTTTCGGGGCAGTATCCGCAACCCTGCCTATCCCTCTTTCCCTCTCCAACCCCTCATCCCCTTTCGCTGGCCACACTTACCGGATAGGCAGCTGGAAGTCGAGCTGCACAGTAGCGCACTGGAACTTGCGGCGCAGCGCATCGTACACCGTGATGTCGATCTTCGGTCCATAGAAGGCCCCATCGCCCGGGTTGAGCACCCACTCCCTGCAAGAATCAGGGGTTGTGAAGGACGAAGGCGCCCCCTCAATCCAGGGTCCAGAGTGCAGGTAAAAAAATTGTCAAAGTAACATTTGCCGACGAGTGTAACTGCGAGGGTTGCTGGTGCGGGTTGCAGAGGACGAAAAACAGGTCACATGTGTCATCCAGCAAGTCCTCCAGGTGTGAATGATACAATGCATTGACGTTCTCGTCTGGACTTGAGCGCCTCCGAGTTCACCACAGGTGCAAAAAGGTACAAAACATGAGAGCACACACCACACACACAGCACACCGCCAGCCACGCAGACACCCCTGCGGGCGCACCGCCCCAGGGCCTCTGTTCGCCGCGCACCTGCCCGTGGAGTTGAGTGCCTCTGTGAGGGCGGTCTCCGCGCGGTTCCACAGCTCGATGTCGCCCAGGTACCCCTCCGGGCGGGTGGACAGGGCCATGGTGTAGTCCAGACCAAACACGTCGTACACCTCACCCAGCAGCTTGAGGAAGCCCTGCACCTCACTCATGACCTGTGTTGTCGCGGGTGGTAACAGTTTGGCAAATGGAAAGCATGTGGGCCAAGGTAGAGAGTTGGGAGCTGGGGATAGTCTTTGCCAATAGCAGCAGTCAAGGAAAGCCCGGTTAGCGACAAAGCAAAGGACGACCATCCTTCCAGTAAACCTCTACCGGCCAAATAGAAGCGCACACACACACGCTCATGGTATGGTAAAGTATGGTATCGTGCCATTTTTGTCCGGTCACCTACACCGACTTTGATAACACACAGCATGACACGGGCCCCATCCGCAGCCACCCGCCTGGTCTGGCCTGCAGAAGATGTGCGCGTCGTCTTGCTGGAAGCGGCGTACTCGCGTGAGGCCCTGCAGCGCTCCACTGAACTCGTTGCGGTGCAGCACGCCAAAGTCCGCCAGCCGTAGGGGCAGCTCACGGTAGGAACGGGTGCGGTTGGCGAACATGAGGCAGTGGCCTGTGGATAGGCGGGAAGGGCGGAAGGGCTCCAAGTCGAGCACACAAATAACGCTGGCAAGTGCGACCACATGAACCCAACTCATTAGACGTTTCAAGCAGGGTACGAAGGGGAGCAAGGGGCACCAAGCCACGGGAAGACTTCAGGGTGGCACGAGAACACCAGGACGGTAGAAGCTGCAGCTCGGCACGGAACAAATTGAGGAGCAACTTCACACCACGCAACCGCAAAACTGCAGGGCCATGAAACACCCCCTCACGGATGGCGCGACACCTCCCCCACATGCCCCAATACACCAGTCCAGAACCCTTCCTTGCCGCATTTAATCCGACGCCACAAGGGCAAGTTATCGCATCCGGCCTTTGCAGCAATTGAGGACACCAAAGGTGAGGAGTTCTGGGGAGGATGAGGACACCCGAGCGGATCGCGCGATGGCGACACATAGCGTTGAATCATTGTATGTAACAACGCCACACATATCGTTGGCGTTGTTACATACGACGAACACGCGTAGGGCCTGGACAGGAGCCGCGCACCAGAGCTGCCCATGGGCGTACGGATGCACGGATGTACCTGGGCAGTTCATGGGCTTGAGACCGTACTCCGCCTTCTCAATCTCAAACGCAAACATGTTTTCCCGGTAGTGGTCTGCGTGACCGGAGGTCCTCCACAGGTCGAAATTGTAAATATTAGGCGTGATGACCTCCTCGTACTCGTACTTCCAATATTTCTCGCTGCATCGTGCGGAGGGGTGATCGCGGGCATGGAACCGGCAGCATGTCTGCATGCATTCTTCCCAATGTCATATCGCACCAAACCTCTGTCATTGAGGCAGTGAACTTGGGAAATGTGAAAAAAGTATAAATGGTCATAAGAGCCCCAGGCAAGGACCTAGCTAAACCCTACAACGCCGACAACTGATTGACAACTAAAAATGTCCCAGCAAGCACATTTAGGCACCAAGGAAACATGTTCACCAACGGACCCACATACAGGACAACGGCCCGTTGTTTTCCCAAGCCCAAAGCTAGGTGCGAAACGGGAGCTCCAGCCTTAAGCCTCGAGCGCGTTACTCCCGCGCCGCCTCCCCAGCCGGCCAGAATGTGTCTCACCGGATGAAGCTCATCAGCGTGTTGTAAATACGCGCGCCGTGCGGCAGGAAGAAGCAGCTGCCAGGCGACAGAGGGTGGAAGAAGAACAGCTCCTGCTGCACACCCAGCACGCGGTGATCGCGTTTTTTCGCCTGTGACAGACATGGAGCGGCGATGAAGGCGGCAGTCATATGAGCAAGTCAAGCAGCGGCGGATGGCGGGTGAGGAATGGGAAGGCATCGTGAGTAGGATGCAAAAGCAGGTCGTTGAGTTGCGTTGTGGATCCTGCCACATCAGTCTGGTCTGGAGACTCTACGGTTTAAGGTTCTGGTTCGATGCCTGCGAAACCCCCGAGATTGTTTGGAGCTGAGATTATGGCTTTCTGCTGAGATGTGGACTGGAGTTCACAGTCCATGGACCGAGATTCGCACAATGCTGGACTGGTGGCGTGATCGCCGAACCCTCTGTCTCTACGGATGCTCGGGTGACATGGTGAGGAGGGACTTTAGGAGGCAGAATCAACCGCCTTGGACTCCCAGTTCGTATGGCGCAGTGCAGTGTGGTAATGATGTATAGTGCTGTATGATGTCCAATCCTATATCAGTATCCTAATTTGTGCAATCGGCCCAGAAGCCTTTCCCTTTCTGAAACAATCAAAATCAGCCCCCACCTCCTCAATACGGTGTTGGTATTCCTTTAGTAGCTTAGGCTCCGGAAACGTGATGCCGTACACGCGCTGCAGCGGCTCCCGCTTGACGTCACCGCGCCAGAAGGCTCGCGACATGGACGTCACGGCGGCGGCCTTGAGGTAGGACGTCGAGGGCAGGTGAGGCCCCGAGCACAGGTCCACCATGGGCCCCACCCGGTAGACGGTGATAGTGGCGTCCGCAGGGAGGCCCTGGATAATTTCTATCTGCGTAACAGAACATCATCAGGTCATCAGGACAGCGCGTTACGTTACTATAAGTTTTTTTGTCGCGGCGGTATCGAGGACTGCCGCTACTGCATAAGCTGCAGCTAGTAGCTGCATAAGTATCAGCAGCTTAACGAGAGGTGAGCCCAGCGCCAGGTGAGGCTGGGCATGGCGCACACGAACACAGGATGCCGTGAAGCTGCGGGCGCCGGCACTACTTGGGGGCGAGGACAGGTGCTAGCAGGAACACCACCCGGTGGCGCGGTGGTGGATACGGTGAGCTGAGGGAGGGACTGGCTCCACTTCCTCACTTGGACAGGGAATCCAACCCACCGCCTGTAACAGGAAGGCCTCCTACAGCCCGCGCACCTTGAATTTGTTCTCCTGGAACATGGACAGCGCCTCGTCGCGGGACACCACCACGCGCTGGAACTTCTGGCTCTCCTTGACCGCCTGCACGGGGGCACATTATCATCACCACCACAACAGAAGGCAAGGCAGGGTAACGCAAACAGCAGTCAGCAGCGCAAACACCAGCTTGCAGGGTGACCCCTCCATTGTAAAAACAAGCCCTCCATGCCTTCGATTCCGCACATGGCATGGGCGGATAGGTCATCAGGCGATCTGAGAGGCTGGAACAAGAACGAAATGCCAGCTGCCCGTCCGCCCTGCTATACACTCAGCTGCCCAGCTTGAACGTAATCGACATGCATTTTCTGTCCGCTGATAATGCCTGTTGCACCCTTTCAGGTTGTGGCGTTTGCCTTGCCCATTAGTCCTCGGCATGGAAAGTAGCCCTAGCTAATTTCAGTGGCTTTTTATAACGACCCTCATTAGACTGGTGGTCAAAACTTAAATCCTGGACCCGACATGCCAGATTATGAGGCTGTTATGGACACCCATGGAAGCCGACTGGTAGATGCTAAGGCATGTGGCACGCTCCAACCGACGCCGAATCCGACTCCCTGTCCGTTGCGGAAAAAGACAAATCGCCTGCAGATTCGGCACTGCCTGCCATTGTCAGCGGTCGCAGCAGATCGCCATGTTGCGTCTGGGCCTACACCAGTAGGTACACGTCACTTTTCAAGCGCGACCCTCTCCACCTCTCCGCATGTCCGTGGCGGCTGTATTATGAGTTCAGGCCACCTCCTTTCTCTCCAAGATACGATGTGCAGTTGCCCAGAGAGCGCTAGTGTCCAAGCGCCAGCCCCGAGCAGCGGATATACAAACCCGTGCCCACTGACCCCCTCCCGCCAACGCTCCCAAATCCTCGCGACCCGGGTGGCCAGACCTTCATTTGCGGTTCAGGAACTAGTCGACCCTGAAGCCGCATCGCATAAACATGCACACGCATACAAAAGCACCCACAGTGCACAAGGGACGCTACTTCCGCTTCATGTCGGAACCCCAACACCACCCCACCCCATCGCATGGTAAATTGGCAACCTTCCTCGCACCCACCGCCTCATAGCGCTTCTCAATCCGCGACTTGTCCCCTTCTGCGAGAGTACGGTTGCCCATGTAACAGTCGTAGTAGAAGCCCTCATCCAGTGCAGGGCCGATTGTCAGGTCCACCCCAAACTCCAGCTCCAAGACCTGACCCAGCACGTGCGCGGAGCTGTGCCAGAAGGCCTGGGTACAGGGACATTGCCGGCACGTTCAAAAGGAGGGTAAAGGATAGCCTTATTTAATGGTGACGCATTGGAGGACCATGCAAACCATCAGAAGGATCCGCCACCACACGGCCCGACGCGCAGTACGGTGGGTCGAGAACACGTCAGGAGGTTACAGCGCACGGCAAGGGCCATAATGCATGCCCTGGAGGCCCCGTCGTACCACGAATACATGTGGTGAGACTGAGGGATTGGAGCACAGGTCCTATACACCCGGGAAGCCGCCACCTGCCCAAGCGGGTCTGGGACGACCCAGCAATCGGGAGGTTTCTTCAGTAACAATTGCCAGGCCCACTGGATTGCAAGGGTTACTCACGTCGCGTCCCTCAGCGTCGTCGAAGCTGAAGAGCTTGAGCGCGCAGTCGCCCTCTAGAGGGCGAAGCAGGTCCCATGGCTGGCCATCAACTTCCGCAACAACGACTTTTTTTGCCAAGCTAGCAGAAATTTCCTTAGCAATATCCATTGGCGTGGCGACTCCCTTAACAGCGGACCGCTCCTTGCCATCGGGCATAATCACTTTAATTTGCGCGTTGGCGGCCTTAGCAGCCTCTAACTTGGCCACTTCACGCGCATAGAACTGCTCGAACACTTCAACGCGCTTCTTGTAATATGGCATCTTCTCCGCAACAGGCGATTGTCCCACACTGAGCGCAGCCATGTCGGCAGCAGCACCTTCAGCCATTACGGCTGAAGAATTTAAAAGCCTGCTAAAGTTACGTTGAAAAAGAATTGTAACTTGCGAGTTGCCTGTCACAAGTGGCCTCCCGAAACAGCCCCGAAACTGTCGCAATTGAATCTGACGGTTGATTGCCAAGAAAGATAACTTTGCAAACATGGGCACCATTAATATGTTTGTATTCAATGTGTTACGGCCTCATGCACCGTGCAGCTAGTCTAGCGGCTGGCGGTGCACGGCCAGGGGTGCGGACTCGCTCGTGCGGAGGTCGGTCGATCATGGTTTCATCTATTAGCCAGATGGTTGATCTAAGCACGCTAGATAAGGTGGAGCGATTGGGAGCCAGCAGCGATAAACCCACCGAGGCTGTCCGTCGAAGTTTGGATGTCATCGCCGAGGCATTTGTTTCCCAGCCCTGCACCGCATTGTACTTGGCGGACCCGGCATCACGCGGGCTCAGCTTCTGGCGGACCATGGCCGAGGAGATATTGCTGTCGCAGCCTGCGGACAACAGGCCGCTTTACGTGCTGATGAGCGGTGAAACCCAACCCTTTGCTGCTGCGCTTGCATACACATGGCGCCCAGGCCAGCCCTTCAGCATACCCCGGACTGATGCCATGGTCCGCCCCGAGTTGGAAGCGGATTGGGAAGCGTGTGGCGACCTCTGGTAAGTGGGCCTCCGTAAATGTTAAGAGGTCAATTGGACCTCACGTCAATGGTTTTCCTTATTCCGAGCCATTGAGCAACCCTGCCGCTATGGGGCTCACCTGGGTGTCTCCGGACGCCTCAACATTGGTGCCTTAATTGGTTTCCCTCTCGGAGCCTTCCTTTGTGCCTTCCTTCCTGGCCTTTAACCCCGCAACCAAGGCGCCGCTACAGTCTATTCATGGCATCCCGCTTTCATCATCGCAGGTACAAGCTCCTCATGGACACATACAATAAATATGGCGCGTTCATAAACATCGACTTTATCGGCGTGGTTCCTGGACGCGTTGGCGGAGGCCTGGGTCGCCGCCTGTTGGACGCCATCTTACACGATGCCGACATGAACCGCCGGGCAGCCTTCCTGGCCGCATGTGGCAGGCGCAACGAGGAGTGGTACACGCGCCATGGGTTCCAGCGTCTTCATTATTACTACAGCGCCGTGTCTGGATTGCCGGGACACTGTGAGCTGACTTTTATGGTGCGGCCACCGATGGTGGCGGCAACTGCAACGGCAGCGGATTGCGTCACGGCAGCAAGTGCGGCTTCACCATAGCGGCAACCGCCATGAAAGCCCTCCGCCAGGGCGGGCGCTGCTGTTGATGGCTAGGGATGGGGCTGCCTGCTGGCTTGGGAAGAAAGCTCAAGGAATGCATGGTCCTTGCCCGTGGTTGAAAGGGCAGGTCGCTCGGATGGTTGAGGCCGGACATAGCTGCCTCGGCATCTGCCTGTTCTATTAGAGATGCAGCTGCTGGTACAGCTGCGGCTATTGCTCCATCTGCAGCTGCTGTAACCAGCACACCGGCACTCGGGCACATGCCTACGACACATCCACCAGGGGTCTCTGGCAGCTTTCCCCAGCCGCCGTCCAAATTGACCATTGGAGCCCACACCCCGCGGGGTGCTGCAGCCGGGCGGGACACGTCCAGGTGCGGCTAGGACCGCCCTCTCCCTCCAAGCCCTCCGCTACATCGAACAGAACCGTCGTACCTGGGCTGTTCTGCTGATGACACAACAATGTATGTCATCTGCAGCTGCTGGTACATCTGCAGCTGTTGCTTCATGAGGTCGAATGTTGGCAGGCAGGCAGGCTCCTTGGAATGCAGCTGCCTGTCCAGATCAGAGGGCGGAGGGATGAGCTTGAGCCGCTGGGAGGAGAGCGTTGTGCCAGTTGTGGTCTGGCAGCTTGCCGGGACTTGGGAAGGCCATGAGGGATATAATGGCGCCGAGCATGGTAGTAGCTGCGATATAGCAACAAACCAGCTTCCAGTAATCAGGTGTTGTTAGCAGTCAGCAACGAACGGCGACACGGACTTGACTGCCGATTCTGGATTGATACCTTTCAGTGTAGTACACGGTGCAGTACGACCGTACGAGTCGGAAGGGTGACCTCGTTTTTCTGGGTGACGTAGTTTCATTGTGTGCGAATGAAAGAATGTGTTCGGTTGAATTATTATTTCGTGGCATTGCTCGTTGACTTGTCGAGGAAGGTTGTGTGTTGTCTCGGGGCGTGTAGGAGTAGCAAGTATTTGAGAGGTTTGCGCTGCTGAGTCGGTCGGTAGGTGGGAGGTCTTTAGGGTCGTTCCCTGGAGTAGCCATGGATGGCACAGGAAGTGCACATCCACCTGACAGCTGATGTGAGGTTAAGAAGGAACCGTATCAGTGCGAAATCGGGTACTGAGCTGCGTACAATTGAGAGGGAGTGTTGCGACGAGTCTTCCGCCCGTGCTTGCTTCCTCACGGCAGAGAGCAAGATCCCCCAGTAACTGATTGCCTCCTGCATGCACATAATGCATGTAGGGGGCAGCCGTGCCTCTTCGTCTTGTGCTTGGTCCTCGTGCGTAACGCGTGATGCACGCATCGGTAAGGTTGCATGGTTGGGGAGAAGTGAAATGATTGAGAGATATCTACCCCGGGTTGTACACAAGGCTGAGAGCAAATTGGAATTTTTTTTGCGAGTTAATTGGTTTGTTGATGGTGTGCCTCAATCAATACATCCTTGTGTCGGTACGGGTACAGTCATTTCGGGCGTCACTTCGTTCTATCTATCTATCACGTCTGTCCGGTCTGCGCAGTCTGCAGCGTGGTCGTGCGGCAAGGATGGGCCTTGGGGCTTTTTGGTCAGGTTGAAGGTGGTGACATGACACAGAACTTCCAACCGCAGAACTTGTTTTTCGTCGGCGACTCGACCCTTTTGCGGTCAGCCACTTTCGTCTTGCCTGTTAGCATTTTTGTGAGGTTGAAATTTCCACTCCACTTATACAGTGGCGATGACTGTATCTTGAGATGTGCGTGCAACAGCTCTCACTTCTCTGGCGATGGGCGGGAGATGACGCTGTTATTAGATTTTTCCTTTCAGCATGTCACATATACTATCTGGTCTGGCCGACACTACTGTCTCATACAGTTTATGGTCCTAGGTTCGATTCCTGGGGAGACCCCCGACAGTGTCGGGATCGTGAGATTAAGGCTAGCTGTTGAGATGTTGTAGCAGCTGACCGCTGAAAAGGTCTCTCGAGTTGCTGGCGGTCGCGCTCTGCGCGTATTTATAGCACCGTACTGTGTACCGGCTGCTACAGATGTGGAGTTGAGATCACAGTTGATGGATCGAGTTTCGCACGCTGGATTGGTGGCGCTTGCTGAACCCTCTGTCTCTGCGGATGTTCGGGTGAATGAATGGGGAGGGATCCAAGAAGGCTGGATCCGCCGCCTTGGACTTCCAGTTCGTATGGCGTAGTACAGTGTGGTATTGGTGGATGGTGCTGTATGATATGATAAATCGTAGAAATGACAATGTGTTCAATCTTGGAAGCCTCCCACTCTGTAGCAATTCAACATATACTACATGGATTATTATTAATTTGTGTTCTCCTTGTCGTACGACCGTTGCAGGGAGCAACGCTGCCATGCGCAATACCGTACGAAATGTGGGCCGGCTACGGCGGATTTGGTCGCGCGTAAAAGTTGTTCTCGGGCCAGTTTGGGCCGCCGTTAGGAATGTGCCCAACGTGCAGCTAAGGAATCCGCAGCGCCGCGGCGCCGGGGCACAGGAGTGCGTGTGGAGGGACGGCACCAGAGAGGGGTTCGGGGGGAACAGGCCCCGGAAATAAATTGTGGTTACCTATGAAAACCCTCACATACAGTAATCACTTGGCCACTAATGAATTACCCAAGGGGGCAAAAACTTTAATAAAAGCGGTCGGAACCCGTCCATTGTACAGTACTGCACCGCGGGCATCCCGTACAGCGGGTGAGGACCCATCGCGGCCCCTTTCAGGCCCATCATAACCGACTGTCGCCCCATCCTAGAGCACACCACCCCTATTACCACCACCACCACCATGACCACCATCACCGCAATATAACCAGCAGAAGAGCCGCTACCCTGAAAGGGGGGCTAAGTGGCGGGTTGGGGCTTAGCCGCCCGGCGTTTGTACTGCACGGGCACCCCCTCGAAGGTTGGTCCGCTCTCCAAGCTGAGCGCCAAGCCGATGCCCTGCCAGGGCCCTGGGGGCAGCGAAGCAGGGACACCAAGCATTAGGCACCAAGCATGAGAGGTAGAGGAAGACGTAACTGCAACACCGCCCGTGCTTTAACCTGTTGAGCCGTTACATGTGTGTCTGCGTGTGGTGTTATTGCGGTATGGGGGAAGGGGGAAATTGCGCCACGGAGAGATCGAGCCACTGAGCATGCGTACACTGCCATATGCGCGCGGCCACGCTGTCTATCTGGCCCATTGCAGGTATACGCCGGTGGCCAACGGACATACATACAGATCCCTTGACAAGCCAATGTTACCAATCCCCGGGCGGGGCCTGAAAGATCGCCGCCTTACATGTCCGGCGATAGATCCCTGGCCCTGGTCGTCGCCAGTTAGTTCATCGGCCGACTTGGTGCCATCGCGGCAATTCATGTTCCCGTGGTCACACTACTATGACAATTATGGTGTTGATGGTAGTGAACTCCGTCTTGGGTTATTGACTCTGACGGCAATCAAGGACACTTCCCGGCAATCTCCTCCACTCACCCCACCTAAGTTGGCCAATTCCCGCATTCCACAGTCTACAACCCCCCCGGCGCATCAAGGGGCCCATTCAACCATTCATTCAACCTTAACACGGACACACTTCCTCTTTGCTGGTACTGTAACGCACCTTGCCCGCTCTGCTTCCTTCCGCCGTAGTACAACCGCCACCGTCCTGCTGACATGGACACGGCGCAGGGACTGCCTACGTCGCCACCGTCCCACGGGTCGCTCCCGGAGGGGCTGGGCTCCGTGGCGGGCTCCAGGACTGCTGCCGGGTAGCGCCTCCAAGATGTGCCGTCCTTGGAAACCGCCAGGCCAATACTGCGACGGTTATCGGTTGCAACAGCCTCATAGTACATCAAGAATTGGCGGTTGTCGATGTCACGTACGACACTGAGCGCAGCAGGGCCCAATGCGTCGAATGAGGCGGCGCCGCCGTCCTCGTCGTCCGATACGGCTGCGGCGCCGCCAATCGCAGCGGGATCAAATACGACGCCCTTCTGGGTCCACTTGAAGCCGTCGGGTGACGTGGCGAGTGCGACCACGAAGCGCCGGCGGGAGGTGTCGTATGCGGTGTAGTACATGCGCATGTCGCGTGGCCCCACCGCGAGCACCTGCCGTACGTGGTCACAGAATCGGAACGACAAATGATGGAAATGTCGACGGCGTACATGGCTGAGGCCCGGGAGGATGAGCGGCACAAGGGTGAGGTATCCAAGCGGCGGCGGTGTCGTGGCAGTGGCGGCGGCGGTGTCGTGAAGCCCCTTGGGTCCCCGGGTTCAGGGAACCTACCACGGTTACATACCAAGCCAAGAGCCTGGCCGCCTTTACAGGCATCAGGTGTCCTCCTTCCCCTCCTCCTGGCCCCCTCGCCGGTGAGCTCAGGCCTGCAGGTGGCCCCCTGCAGCCACACCACACCACACGACACCCTTCTCCCCGCCCCTCCGCCCACCTGCATGCTGCCGTTGAAGAGCAGCGCCGCCTCTCCCTGCGCGGTCCCCACTTCGAACAGCGCCCCCGTGTGGTGGTCCGCCTCTATGCGGGCCCAGTTGCGGCCATCCTGCCGGGGGACCGAGGGACCGCCAACACACACACCACCGGTGGCGGGCAGCGGACAGACACGGACAGCACGACCCGGATCCCGAAATGCCCCCATGCGCACTCGCTTTTCAGGAAGGGAGATAGATCAGTGAGCGGAGGATTAAAGGCTAAGGATGGCAAAAGTAAGGAGGAGGGAAGGCAACTCGGGAGGGAGTGGCCGAACAGGTGGATGCATGGGAGCAGCGCGGGACAGCGGCTGTGGCGGGTCACCCTCAGCAAAGGCAAGAATCAAGAGTACCGTAGGCAGGTTGCTAGGGTCGAACGGGGGATAAGGAAGGGACGAGAAGTGCTGGCAAAGCCAGTGGCCATGCGGTACTGGCATTGTCTGCGACATGGTGACCTTCACACCTCAAGTGCCACATCCGTGACCTACCCCAGCGGCGGTGGGGAAGCAGGACGAGGGGCAGTGGGTAGGTGTACATCATATTGAACAACAAGGCAAGACTCAGATGCGAATCGGATGGCCTCACGCGAACACTGCCAATCCCACCTACATCCCCTGCCCCTGCCCACTAGCCTCAGCACCCTGAACCAACCTGGCTCATGGCCAGTCCCGGCCGCAGCCGCAGTCCCTCCACGGGCCGCCGCTCCCCGCTGCTCGGAAAGCCCTCCGGGAGCATCACCGGCTCAAAGTCCCCTCCAGAGTAGAACATCCAATAAACGCCCACTCCGCTGCTGACGGAGCTGTTGGAGAGCACCTGCGATGCGATGTGATGTGATGGATGTGACCCATGGGTCGCTCCGCCATGGATTGCAAGATAGGATAAATAGGGATGTACTTTTACACATGTTAGTTTGAGCCGGCAGCCGGGTGGCGGTGTCGTGGCGGCGGGGAAGGTAAGCCGGGAAGTGGCCATGCAGCGAGTGGGCGGACTGTGAACCCCGGATAACAGGTCTGAGGCACGGGGCAGCTTGCTGTTAAGTCGGGTTGGCTAACGGTGTGACAGACGGTTCAAGACCCGACTTTGGCTTAAGTAGTGCAGCGGTCGCTAAGTCCCATCACGTGGGTCGCTGGCCACCGGTGCGGTCCAAGGTTCGGCGGGACCCTGGTGTACCGAGCACCCCTACAAAGCACCCTGCCCTGCCCTGCCCTGCGCTGCTCTACCTGCACGTCCGCTGGAGCTAGGTGGCACGTGTCGAAGGTCCACCAATCCCCGTTGGGACCCATGATGGTGCCCACATCTCCCGCGGCGTCGGAGCCTCGGGCACCCTCGATTATGTCATAGCCCCGAGACCAACGAATTCCATCGCGCGACACGGCGACGCCTGCAATGCAACCACAGGTGTGAGATGCAGCAGATGCCGTCCAAGGTGCGATGGCAAGCCTGCGTACCGCAATCTTGCTTAGGAGTGTAGGACGCTAGCTGGGGGTGCGCGGGACTGCGAGTGATTGGTTGTGTGCAAGGCCAGTTGACAGTACGGCGCCGGGTGCAGGCCTGACAGTTTCAACCATCCATCCTGGACTCGCCTGCCCGGGGACGATCCTCCGCTTCCACTCACCACCACCACCACCACCACTATGTCAGGCCCCTCCCCAGGCAAGTCTGCTCCCGAATCCGTGCTCAGCCACCCACCCACCGATGCTGCCAGATGAGGGCGCCAGCACATCCACCCCGGCGGCTGCTGGCGAATCAGAGCGGCGGCCGCTGTACCACATGAACCAGCGCTGCTCGTTATCCCCCACGTAGCATCGCACCTGGCACAGTCCGAGGCAGCAAGGCCGCGGTGGCGGTAAGAGAACCAGCATCAGACGCAGGGGCAGCGGTGGCGGTAACGGTCCCAGAATTCCCCCCACACGCGCCCACATACCCCACAAGTCCCCACCCATTTTGTGGTCATTAGCTATCTCGCATCTGCTTGCACTACCAGGTGTAAGAAATACTTATTAACCTCGACCCCGAATAAGCCAGGCTGCTTCAGATGGCTGTTTCCGTTTGTACAGGGCCGCCGATCACCCACCACGCCCGGACGGTATGCAACGCGGACGCGCTGCGTGCGCCCCAGCAGATGATCCCAGTGGATAACTGACGGTAACGGACCATCCGCTACCTCCAAAACACAACGCAGTGCGTGAAACCGCCTGGCAGTCGGACATCCCCCGCACAGATGAGGGACATCCCCCTCCCCCTTCTATGCTCCAGCTGCAACGTGCACGTGTACAGCCGTGCAGGTACATGCCGACGGCAAGATAAGTACAACCGTACCATAACGATAATATATAACCTTTCTCCCTGCAAAATTTGGCTCACGTGGTGGCTGGGGCCTTATGAGATGCTCACCACGGGTGAACCGACGGCCGCCTCGTCCCAGCTCCCCAGGGCACCCAGCCCGAACACCAGGCCGGCAGATAGTGGCTCAGATGGCGGGTCCGCTGTCGGGGAGCTCTCTATGGCAGCGGAACTCCCTAGGCAGGAAAGGGCCATCGTGATGGGTCGGCGGCATGGAGAAAATAACGGCTGCAAGCCGGGGTCTGCTGGAGTCGAACATGAAAGCCTCGGACAGCTGGAACGCTGCGCCAGGTGCAGGGTTTTCGTGCCGCCAGCCAGGCAGGCGATTTGATGACGCGCAGCTAGGGCTGGCGGAATCTGCCTCACGCCTTGCATTTTAGCTGGTTTCTGGCTCGCGCCTACGGAATTTCCGTGGGTCGTCTCCGTATGCTTGCGGACAAATCAATATTGCACAAATTCAGCTATATGCATTCCTAGCTTCTAGGTTTGACTAGCGGTGAGCTATGAACACTGTCGTGCAGTGACTCTTAGTCGCTGATGATTGGTGGTTTGCACGGCATCACTGTCCGCATCAATGTACTTGTATGTGCGTATCGCTACATACCTTATAGCTGAATGGCATTGAGTGTATTACGGAGTAGTGCAATTGCGTATCGCGTTGCCTTGCGACGTCCTGCGGTGACCGTCCCAGGAAGGGCGGTACGCGCGATGGCGAGCGCGGAGGAGGCTGCTGCAAAAGCTGCAGCCCAGTGAGTTATACGCATCAAAACGCTAATCTCCAGTGGTAGAAAGATTCAGTTACGCCAATTCATGTTTCCTGCAATTGCAGTCTTGCCGACACGGAGCCACTTACTATCTTCGACAAGATCGTCTCTAAAGAAATTCCCGCCAATGTGATCTATGAGGACGACGAGGCACTGGCATTTAGGGATATCAGGTATGTCGACATTGCGGGCAGGTTTTTTCCGGCATCAGTTGTCGAGATAATTCTCTCATGGAGGAGTTGTGCATGCAGCCCGCAGGCACCAGTCCATTTTCTGGTAATTCCAAAAAAGCGGTCCGGTCTTACGCGCCTAAGCAAGGCCACGGAGGGTCACAAGGCGCTGCTTGGTCATCTTCTGTATGTGGCGCAGCTGGTGGCCATGAAGGGTCAGTGTATGGTTCAGCGTCCATCAATTGCGCTGGGAAGGCTCTTTCGGCAGTGGGAGCTGTGGCACGTTATGATGTGTACTGTACGTCCTTACTCACCTTGTAGTGCACTTGGTACCGCACTGAAAAAACCGACACGTTCCTTGTGGACCTGCAGAGAACTTGGGAGAAGGCTTCCGGGTTGTAATTAATGACGGGCCCAATGGCTGTAAGTTTTCACGGGCAAAATTGACTGTGGGGTTAGTTGGCAGTGCTTTGCCTTGTAAGCTATGCGTCACGCTGTCACGCATCTCATAAGACAGTACCTTATGTTTCGCTTTGCAGGTCAGTCTGTGTACCATCTACATCTCCACGTGATGGGTGGTCGTCAGCTCACCTGGCCACCCGGCTAACATGGCCGTTTTGCAGGCCGGGTGGCCAGGTGTGTGTTTCGTCGGACATTCTTTGTAACCTTTGGACTGTTGCGTACACTCCTGCAGCTTTCTCTGATGAAAGCATTGAAAACAAATGATGCAGTATCCGTACCTCTGTTACGAGTGACAGCACTAACTCGGCAGCTACGATGCAATGTCAAATGAAATCTAGGGGTCGTCGGACCCTCAGAACACAGCTTAGATGTACGCGGAAATTTTGGACCCGTCCCAAAAAATTATTTTTTTCAAGCGGGCGTAGGTCCCTCAGGCGCAATTTGGAGAATTCGGTTACCTCTTAGCTCGCGCACGCTTCTTGCTTCGATTTCTCGTCTGCTGCGTAGTCTAGCACCGAAGGGTGTCCCGGTGGCATCTTAGCACGCCGAGTTAAGCAATTAAGTCACGTGCCAAACAGGTCTTTTCGTACGAGGAGAGTCAGCGCACCGGTGCACGTCAGGGAAGTGGGTGCACCCAGGTCGGAGGCGGAGCTACGCCACGGGCTACCCAGGCCGCGTCCATTCTCCCATCCCACATTTCGCCCCTAGCTCGGTTGTAGGCTAGAATTTGTGCGCTGTCTTGCGAGCTGAGGATTAGGACTATTGTTAATTCGACCAACCGTTTGTGCCATTCTTGGGCTTTTTGGTCTGTGTTTATTCACCAGCCCGTTCGACCGCAGCCTGATTAGAAGCATGATTATCTCCATTTGGACAGGCATTAGCCATGCTTTTTGCATAATACCTGACCGAAGGATGCTTCTCCCGAAACCGTACTTGACTTTCAAGGCAATGGACTTCACGGCCCGTTACAGTATTTGAACCCAACGACAAGCAGTCGCACAAACGCCGGCGTGCATCATCCGCGCTCCCAGAAGCTAACAGAAACCACCACCAAGATGACACATTACTTCTTCTTGGCCACACCCACGGTCTTGCCCGCACGACCAGTCGTCTTCGTGTGCTGACCGCGCACGCGCAGGCCCCAGTAGTGGCGCAGACCGCGGTGGTTGCGGATCTTCTTCAGGCGCTCCAGGTCATCACGCAGGGCCGTGTCCAGGCCGGATGAGGTCAGCTACAAGTGAGGGACAGAAGCAACGACGTCATAGTGTGAACCCCACTGTAACCTATGCATAATCACACATGCACGTATCCTTATTACTGCACGACGCAAGTACAGGGATAGGAGTTCATCATCGCAGCAGCATGTGACGCATGCTCAAAAGCAAGGATGAGCTACATCAAGCCCATTAATCAATCCAGTCAACACCCCGGATCTACTGGGAAACCGTAACCCTCTACCTGGCCACACAGCCCTACTATGTGGTGACCACTAATGTGTTGATAATAGGCCCTATCTGCTGATAACTGGACAACACCGGTCCACTGCACACTTCTGTCCGAAGCTTTCAAAACTCGGCCTAATCCTTGTGATCAGCGACTTGCCCCATGCTTGCGGACACGAGTCGCCGCGACTGGCTACTTAGCCCTCCCTTCAGTCCCAGGGTTCGTTTAGGAAACGCTCCAATAACCGCAATGTAGATAACCGCTTTATACACAAGCCTACGTGAATGCCTACTGACACAGGACGGGGACCATGGCATAGTTTTTTTTCCAAAATTTCCGGCATTGGGGAACCCAATTAAAATTGGCATATTTGAAACCCCGCCCTCCCTGAGCTTCCAGCGCCAGCGATGCCGCCATGAGGCGGCATCGCATCCGCCTCGTCACTAACCTGGCTGTAGCGGCCAGTCTTGTGGTCCTTCTGCCTGTTCAGGAACCAATCCGGAATCTTGTAAGCGCGAGGGTTGGCGACAATTCCCATCATGCGCTCCAGCTCGTCAGCAGAGCACTCGCCTGCAGGGAAGAAGAATATGCCACGGCAGTTCCTGAATCCGGGACAACCGACACCGCAATCGATGCTAGGCTGTCCAGCGTCATCTTACGAGTGACACCCAGCCCGACATATATCCCCCGCAAAGCACACAATGACAAAGGCCCTCGTCACCATGTTCCATACCCATAAACACGCTCCATGCTCAGGTTCACACAGGGGGATAACCTTACCGGCGCGCTTCCTCAGGTCAACCTCAGCCTTCTTGCAGACCAGGTTAGAGAAACGGCGGCCAATACCCTTGATGGCCGTCATAGCGTACATAATCTTGTTCTTGCCATCCACGTTCGTGTTCAGCAGACGCAGAATGTGCTGGAAATCATCGCCCTGGACGAGAGAGCCCATTTTGCTGCGACAGGGAAAGAGACACGCATGCGGAAGGGCGCGCAGTTCAGCCATGGCAGCCGCCGACAAGCTTTCGCGCCTTATTCAACCGCTAGCACTGGAGGTTTGCCGGAAGAAGAACATAGGTGTTCAGCAGAATGTTCTGGGGTAAGGAGAATCGCTGCCGCCGGTCCGTGCGGGTGCAAGGGTCGTAGGGCTAACAGTTATAAGCAACACCACAAGCTTAATACGAATTTCACCGTAAACATTTGATACAACACTTTGCTTTGCAAATTTCCTGCATCCGTCGCCGCCGTCCATGCTCACCCCGCTCAACTATTAGCCGACGCCAAGCGACGGCTTCACGACGTGTAAGGAAGTGCTCGCAGCCGAAAGAGAGAACCTAAGTTAGTTACTTCTTTCTTAACACAGCGGGCAACTAAAGTCATTGCTCCAGGAGGGTTTCCCCACAAGCGATTGCCGTTCTATAGATGCTTCCTGATGCTCTAGACTTGCTAATTCATATTATGTGCATAGCTTAGCGCAGTTGCATGGCTTTGTGGCCAGCAGTGAATACCTTACGACTCTTAACGCGTTAGACAGCTTGTTATATGCTAAAGGCGGTATAACTACCTTAGACGATTCGATGCGTAACTCATCTTTGGCTAGTCTGTAGGCGTCCTAGGATATTTGACCAGATAGGAAAAGACGGAGCTTAACGGAGTCGGAGAGCTCACGGGCTATGCTATGAATGGTTGCGGTTTGAGGGCTGGGTGGAGTTTCCTAGCAATCCGGATATGCGAGAAATATGTCATAATTGGACGAGGCGAAGTTATGTTTGGCACCGATTCCGAAGGCGCGCAGGGATTTGTTGTGAAAAAGGATATCAATTTTTAAGTTCTGATTCCATGTGCGCCCCTTTTTGCATATTTGTTGTGGGGGAACACATTTTTGCTAGCCAGTACGGCCAAGTACAACATGTCACATGCTTTGTCATGAGGGCTGTAAGGAATTGATGAGCTGTAGGGCAGCACACTGGGTTGCCGTTGCACCTGCACATCCTTTGACTGCTTATCGCCTGTGGCTGCTGCGTGGCTGCTGCGCTGTAGACAAAACGGCCAGAAATGGTCCCCTGTCCACAGCGGGCAGCGCCGCTTGACAACCGTGAGACCTTGAAGGCCAGTGAAGGCCTCGACCAGTGCCATTCCACAGCGGGGATTCCTGGAATTCCGAAGTTTGTGCGAAAGAAATGTCAGCAGTCCAGGATACGCTGGCCACACCCTCCGTTTCGCGTCCTGAAACATCGCCTGCCATTCTTCCACATCTGGGGGTGCTAGTGGGTTTTTGCCCGCCCGCAGTACACCCGTCACTCAACCCCCTTACCAGGATCGGATTGCATGTACCCAACCCCATTTCGTGAGGGTTTGAGCATTGAGCCTCTGGTGTGTCCTCAGCGCACACTATATCGATTAATTGGGTCAGTGCCAGGTGAAATGTTCCAGGAGGAAAGGGTGAATGAGCAGTTTGTTTACTTGTGTGCGTTGCTCCGTGCTTACTCAGCAATTTGCCGCCAATTCGGTGATAGCCATGATTGGCTCACGACTTAGAAGCTACCTCCACGTCCGCCCACGTCTGGAGAACATCATTCCGACCGCTGTTCGAAGAACACCACTCCAACTAGCTAAGGATATATAAATCAAGCTCAGGATGATACTTAAAATGATTGAACACGAGATGCAATTCAGGGCGAGGGTTCAGAAGCAACTGGCTGTTCATTTGTCAAGTCGTCGTCAGAAGGTAATCGGCACGTTTCAATGCCTTATAATCGCATGGAATACACACACACATAGGTCACCAACACACTGCTCACATCAAGCTTGAAAACTCACACTCCTGCGACGCTTGGAATATAGTTACCAAGCGCTTGGTAACCATATTCCGATCCGTTGAGCCAGTCTTAAATTGTCAACCTAAATCACGTTAGTCATGTTAGTGCCCCGGTTAACCCTTAATCACGGACAGCTGATCAAAGCCGGCATCCATAGCCGCTACGACATACATAGCCCGCCTGCTTCACTTCCTGAGGTACAACAACTCGCTGTTCTTCTTGGCGTTCACAATGTCCGGGTACGCAAGTGTGAGCTCCTTTGTGCCGTACAGGATGTTGTCGACACACTCCACACCCAACATCAGGCTGTGGTCCTGGTTTGCTACTTCGTACTGCGTCCGGCAGGAACAGATCAGAGCGACAAGGGTGGGATGTCCGTTTGAGTTATACTGAGAAGTTCAGGTAATACTTGCTTGAGCGAAAGGTTGCAAGTTGTCAAACGTTGGTTGCGACTTGGGCTTCGGGCCTTGTGGCAAGGTCATGAACTCTCAATACGGCCGTGACCTACCTTGTAGCTGCCAAAGCGGCCGCGGCTCCAGATCCCGAACTGCTGCAACCAGGGTAGCGCCTTCTCTAACACCTCGTCGCGGCCCAAAGAAGGGGTGGGATAGCCGTGCTCGATTCGGCGGTGGTACAGCGACACTACCTCGTCACCTGGCTTCATGAGCTGGGTGTTGATAGCGCCGATAAGCGTGTCACGGACGACATCGGACCTGCCAGGACGGTGCGACCCACAAGTTAAATTCCGAACAAAGTACCGCAATACTGCTAGTCGATTTGCTAGGATACGGCCCCACAACGCAATACTCTTTAGCACTCCCCACCCGCTTCCCACTGACCAAGTGCCCGCCGTGCCGCCCAGCGTGACCGGCTCCTGGTTGACCGGCTTGTAGTTGGATTCGCTAACCTCAAACATCAACGACCAGTAGGGACCCTCCTTAGGATCGCTGCTGGCTGGCGTGCTGCCGTCGCCCAGGCACAGGGTAGGCAGCTTTGCGTCATCCGCCGGGCAGTTCAACTTCGCGTAGTTGGAGAACACCGTGCACCTAAGGAGATCGCATGCAAAGTAGGCAAAAGTGTCAACCATGAAGGCTGAATGGCTCCATGTGTCTTGACACATTACGGTCCAATTGAGTATAGTCCGGGTCAGCAAACAAACTGACTAAAACGTTGGTACATAAATTGCGGAAGGCCGGCCATCGGATGGTCCTGGCCATTCAAGACGATAAACGTTAAAAATACCCACCGGTAGAACGGGCAGTTGCTCTCCGGGAAGTACAGCCAGCACTTGGTTCCATGCGGGCACTCCCCACGGATGCCAATGCCGATGATGTGAGAGGAGCTATGCTGCAGCCCCCTGGCCCACTCTTCCTTGCCCAGCCATGTCAGTGTCAGGTCCAGTGGAATGGTGGACACCAGCGCGTCGTACTGGTACTGGTGCCCGTTCTCCAGCGTTAGCACCTTAGCGTCCTTGTCAATGGACACCACTTTCTGGCCGTAGCGCTGTGGGTATTGAAAATCGAGACGATCAATTTATTACATTGAGAAACGTACCATCAGGGTGAGCAGGTACAGTCACGAATGCTGAGCTCGCGTAATTTGCAAAGAAAACAAGGGAACCACATCCGATCATCATAGCACGCCTACTTGTAAGAATCCTATCCATAGACCACAACAGGCTACACTAGGGCGCCGCATTTTACCTGGCGTTCCTCGGGCAGCAGTTTGGCGACGCCCTTCCAGATCGCCCCGGTGCCGCCCGAAGTAGGGAACCGGAAAACTGCATTAGGTCCCCAACCGGCGTCCTCCTTGTTGTTAATGACATTCGTGATGGCGCGATCCACATCCACGGTGGCCACACGCTCGCCCAGCCAGTTGCACTGCATAAGACTGGTCGGAATCGCCCACACCTGCAGGGGCAACAGTGCCATGGCACATTCAATTCGCGTGTCCTGAGGCCAAATGAAGGCAAGAGGTAAATCCGTACAAGAAGCAGATGGAGATTTCGGACTGTGATGAAATTTGATGAGGAAAGATACTTTACTAGGACAGGCATGGCCACTGCCTTCCGTACCTTGAAGTTGTACGGCCGCATGAACAGGTCAGCGATGCCAGGGCCCATCACGCGCAGAATCCACTCATCGAAGTTTTTTGGGCGTCCTTGAGCAATCGCATTAGTAACCTTAGCCTCCACCAACCCGGTCAGGCATTTAATCTGCGTGGGAGAGTATTGTAGGTGGAAGTTATGTAGGTGGAAGTTATGCATGGTGTCCCGCTGGCTGTCCCGTACAGGTTTGCCTGCCCGAAGAAGAGCGTACCTGGTCATCCTTCGGCAGGGCGCTGATGTTGTTCTGGAATGGGTACGCAACCCAGCGGTCGCGGATCCACACGTATGAGACGCGCTGAAGCGTGTTCCAAGCTTCGGGTCCGGAGCCGAGAGCAGAGTCCAGCAACTCGTCGAAGTAATTCCAGTGGCTAAAGATAACATGACCACCCATATCAAAAAGAAACCCCTCAGGCGTAATGTCTGTGCAGGCTAAGCCACCCGCCTCGGGAGCCTGCAACAGGTGATCATGCAACTTTGCAAGCTCCCACAACGGATATACCATCTTAAGTTCTCCAAAAGCCTATTATACAAAATTCTATAGAGCCAATCAAACTTGCAAAAGACCCACCGCGTCGATGAGAAGCCAGTCTTTGTGGCCATGCTGCTGCAGGCGAGTCGCAGCTCCGAGCCCGGTTGGCCCAGCACCCACAATAAGAACACCGACCTGGACAAAACACATCCTTAGAAGGTTTGCCTAATTTTGCAGTGCGTGCAGAGAGCAACCTTACTTTCTCAACCATGGTAGATCTTAAGCCTAACAAGAGAAGGGCCTGAAGGGAGGGAGGCTGTGCCTTTTATCCTGGAAGAAATGATTAAAATGAATGGCCCAACTTTACAGTTGATACTGACGCATATAAATACGTTGACTTAAGGAAGGGACAGCACTCCGTACGTGCACGATCACTGCAACGGGTTTAGGGCACAGATGCGCGACATGGAAGTTGATAGAACCTACAGTGACGAGTCCGTTGCAATTAAAGGAATCCGGATGACTGCAGGCGAATTTGTTAGCTGAGCCAAGCGGTTGGCACTGCCCCTCCTTATTGACTCACAGCAAGCGGGGACAATTCAAATTTCTTTTCGTTACAGAATGCTGCATAACGTGACTCGCATTTCTGTCTCCTACACTACGTATTTACCTTCGCCCGCCTTTGACTGTGACCCAGAGCACATCGGCATTAACGATTTTGGCTCGTCCTTACATGAAACACATTAGCGCTCGTGGGTCTCCACCAATAGACCTGGGGAAGTCAGATACCAAACCCATTAACAAACGCTTCGCTGGCAGAGATGCATACGTCGCTAGTCATACGTTCATAACCGCCGACAAATACACGGCCGCGTCCAACACGACGGTAAAATTGCTGGACGAACCGCGCTGAAGACAAAAACTAGGAGCAAAACATTCTTCCAGCAATTGCGTTATCACCCTGGACGGTTTTACCCTAGCCAGGTGCTTCACGCCTTCACCACCTGAGCAAGCGTCTTGCTCTTATCATCATCCAGCTCTGACACTTTCTTCAGTGCAATCGCCAACTTCGTAGGCACCATTTTAATGCCCGTTGCCAGCTTCTGAGCAGGCTGCTTTGCAAGGCGTGCAATCGTCGCATACAGCTGCGCCTTCGTTGGTAGGTTCTCGCACTTCTTGAGCTGCAGGGGTCAAAAGTACGGCGCGAAAGGTAACACAATATAGGATGGTTCGTAGAACCGCTAATGCTCTGGCTACACTACAAACCACGCTCCGCATGCTCCCTGCGTGCTCATACCCTAGGGTAGGTGAGCTCCCTCAGAATTGTGGACATGCCGCTGCCCATTGCGCTCCAATACAGTCCCATCATTCAGAAGTTGAGGACAGGCAAGCGGCATGAGCCAACAGCAATGCTAATATGGAATCTGCGCGGCGCACACTGCATGAAGCGATGTGGTAATCTTCTTTCCGCAGATGCACGCGAGGTCGAACCTGCCAAGTACAGTTTCGCTCTCCCGGGGCATAGCGGCTACATTCCCATCTTCCACATTTGGTAACGCAATTAATCTACAACGCGCTGAACACGATGCCTTGTTCCGGATGAGAAGACCCAAATCCCAGGTTGAGCATTGTTGTATGCTTGCTTCGAATTTCGGCAGTTGATACACTTCGCAATCTGTGTCGATTAACCGGCCCATGAAAACCGCGCCATCCTTCACCCACCTCAGCCGGCGTCAGGTACTTCCCGGACATGACTACACAGGAAAGCTCCGTGGGCGGCTTAACCTCCTGGTTCTTTGCGGCCTGCTTCTTAGCTTCCGTGAACAGGTCCTCCTCAAACTTGAAATAGTGTTTCACGGCGTCCGCAATCTCCTCCTCGTTCACAAACACCCAGGCATTCTCGCCCTGCAAAGACAGCGCGTGCCTCAGCCCTATGCATAAACCGGTGCACAAATGGCATGCCATAATTGGCAACCCCTGCCGTGCCCACGCCCCCAATATCATAATCAGCGAGGCGTACGAAGGACACAAGAGTATCCTTGAATTCATCTTGTACACATGCTAGAACTCCATCACCCTTCTTCTATACGTCATTTCTTGTTGGCAACGTAATCTCACCAGGTACGGAATTAGGAGGAGTGCATAGGGTGGGTATTCCTTCCCCTTCCCGTGAAATTGCGAATGCCCAAGTTATGGCTTCTTACGTTAAGAGAGGGGCCTTAGCTTCCCATGGCGCAGCCTACGTATTACCATGGCCGAGCCCTCCTAGCTGAGGCTACAATATTTCAAAGCGTTCGGGAGACCATGCACACCGCGCTCAGGCGCGTCACGCCCTGGCGAGCGGGGAGGATAACAGCGTTCTCGCTTGGCGCCACAATTATGGACCCCCGCTCAAACAATCGCCTCAGCATTTGAGCGCAACTAATCACTTAAAATAGCTCGTCTCCGTAAGTTGCACTCGCATCTTGGCCCTCCGACCTCTTCCACCCATTGCTTAATACCATAAAACCCCTCAACACGTCGCGCCTTCCCCCGTACCTGGCAACCCTTTTCGGCGAGCGTCTCCCACCCCTGGGTCTGGGAGATGGCCACCTTCATTAGTGTGTTCTTAGTCACATACACGGAGCAGTTCGGCGGCAGGCCCTTGCGGAACCTTTGGATAGTGGGCACCTGCACAGCCGCCGAGGAAAGTGGCGCTCGTCACCACGACCGCAATTTTCAAGTCTAGATGCTGCTGCCCTTACGTCCAGACCCTTGAAGCGCATGCCAAAGACAATAATGCTCTTGTCCAGCTTCTCCTTCAGGGTAGTAACCACTTCTTCCTTCTTCTGACGAGTAATGGCGTTCATCACCTGCAAGGGGCGCGCCGAAAGATGTTCATGACACTCGAACAGTATGTCGGTTGTATGTCTGTTTCATCCCTACAGACCTGCAGACCCGCACGCTGCGTCCGCGCGCTGGTGAACGGCTTGGGGCTGCCCGCAAACTGGCTGCGCTGACCCCTGCATAAAGATTCCCATGCCATTAATGCCTACAATGAATAACTACTGGACAAAACATGGAAAAAAAGCGCACCGGAGGGCCATCTTGCACGTCTGCATATTGTTTGTGAGGTGAGACGCTTCTGCAGTGTCAGCTAGTTGCAGCACGTTCAGGCGCGTGGTGTAAGGTGCGAATATGAAAAGGGAGACAACCAAGGAAAGTTTTGGAAAAGTTTTTCGGGCATGGTACTCGCAGGGCCCTCCAGGGGCGCCGCCGCGATTGGACGTCCTCTTGAGGACGTCTTGCTAATTTGTTCTGTCTCTTTCCTGCACCATAGGGGTAGGAACGGTGCGGCACCATGGGTAAGTAATGACAAATTATCCTGCCAGGGAGCCTCGCTTTGTTGTCGCGAATGCAACTCAATGCTCCATGGACTAAGTATAATGCGTAGCAGCAGCTCTCAAAGTTAATATGTCTACACGGTACACAATGTGCAGGTATCTCTCGCGATTCGCTGCATAAGCGGCGCGCCACGGGCGGCCGCAAGAAGCACTGGCGCAAGAAGAAGAAGTAAGCTTACTCAGTTGCCGGGTCATGTTCACATATTGGGAAGTTGCAGCGTCAGTGTGAGGCATCCTGCCAGGGTTGCTGGATGTCTTAAATTTCACGGCCTAGCACTGGCGGCTGTCATGTTGCACTTCGCAGCACCATGAGAGACGGCCTTTGAAATGGAGAGGCCCTTTTCTTTCTCCTACGAAAGTTTCTTCGTAGTATCCGAGCCCAATATACGCTAAACAGCATAGGAAACTCGACCTCTCTATTCCATGGCAAGGCGCGGGTGGGACCCGAGACCTATATGCTACCGGGTGTTGTGCGCAGGTATGAGATGGGCCGTGTGCCAGCTAACACTAAGTTGAGCAGCAATGTGGCTGTCCGGACGGTGCGCGTGCGCGGAGGCCATACCAAGTTCCGTGCCCTGCGCCTGGACACTGGCAATTACTCTTGGGGCTCGGAGGTGCGTGTGACAGGGAACGTCCTAAATGCCTAGGAGAGGGTATTGAGATGTAGGGGGCGCATGGCATCATGACAACTAATTATCCACAACGGTAATCGTGCATGCCTTCATCACCCGCTGCCCCACGATGTGGTGTAACCACCTCCCCTCGGAGGGAAAGGAGGTCCCAATGGCTCTGTTTGGCAAGTTGCACTGGAACCTCTTGACGTTACTGTACGGTCGTGGTGGATTTGGCATCACTGTCCACTGGTGGTACAGTGCTTGGAACATCCATGTGTGCTTATCATGGCAGTCTGTGTTCCTACTTTTCCTCGCAGGCTGTGACCCGCAAGGTCCGCATCCTGGACGTCGTTTACAACGCATCCAATAACGAGCTGGTGCGCACCCAAACCCTGGTGAAGAACGCCATTGTCCAGGTGGATGCCACGCAGTTTAAGCAGTGGTACCAGAAGCACTACAACGTGGAGCTGGGTGCCAAGAAGGACCAGCCCGACGTGGCCCCTAAGCCGGAGGAGATCCAGGTGGGGAATGGGCAGTTCAAAGTTTGACAGGTGCTGTGCTAAAGCGTATGTTGTCATTACCTTTTGGGACGTCTCACTCCGTGCTCTCTTTTTCCTACTGCGGGATGTTCAATTATGAACTGGAGTTCCGTTACGTTCTGGCTTGCATCTACTGAAACTTGAAAATTGTATTACGCAAGTCGTGATCATATCGTCGGGCATGACGTTACCTGCAGGGCTCGAACCACGTGAAGCGAAAGATCAAGGAGCGGCTGCAGAAGCGCAAGCTGGACCCGCACCTCGCTGAGCAGTTCACGACGGGACGACTGTTTGCCTGCATCGCGTCGCGCCCGGGCCAGTGCGGCCGTGCAGACGGCTACATCCTTGAGGGCAAGGAGCTTGAGTTTTACCTCAAGAAGATGCAGAAGAAGAAGTCGAAGGCTGCGTAAAGCACGGCCTGCTAGGATCTAAGTGGTGTAACAAGTTTGTTCGTCGAGTATCTTGACGCATTAGTATCACTAGTTGTCCCCCCTTTGTGCCTGCATGATATCGTGTACCACATTTAGGCAAGTTCCCACAAGTTCAAACGGGATGCAATGGTTTTAGCTTACAGGTGGGCTCGGTTCCTGAACCCGTACAGGCGACGAGCATGTAGCAAGACAGACCACATGAAATCAGCCGTTACGAAACATTCCTCCATTTGTTGAACACCGGCGGTTGTGGCAAAGAAAGCGGCCGAAAGCACCTATGTGTGACATGGTCCGTGGGGGTGCGTACCCCTTAGCTGCAAACCGCGGGCTCAAGCGCTGCAATCGCCAATTAACACCATCCTAACATTTCCCACACGGGCGTTTAGTAGCAAAGCAAAGTCTTCCCTAAAACCTCTACATCATCTATCGCACATCGATCTCAATTTCCCTCCCAAAGTCCGCCACAATGCTCGTAGATCATGCCGACGCTTGACCACAAAATCTTTCATCCTGCTCTCGTATGCTGCCTTCGCATGCCTTTTCGCCCGGTTGTAGTCTGTCCGCGCGCGGCAAAAAGCTTCCCTGTATTATCCTTATAGCAGGCCGTTATTGGCGATGAATTACCACTTCGGACGTGTTGCGAAATGGATAACCGGAATCATATGTATGTAATTGCCAACATACATTGTAGTTATCACATGCATAGCTGATAACCATTGCAGAGTTGCAGTGACCAGGCAGTAGCAAGCCTGAAAGAGACACCCATGCATGTGACAGTGTATGCAGCTCGAGGAGGACAGCCTCCCCGGCCGGGGGCGGATGCCAGTCTGCATCTCTACCTACCTTCGTGTTGGCAGACCGTACCAAACGATGCCATGCATACTGTTCATTTTTACGGACACTGAACCCACATTGCGACGCCCAACGTCGTGCGAACTCATATACCCTTGGATACTGGTTGGCTCCATGTGGGTGCTTTCGCAACCTCGCGCAAATCCCTGAAAAATGAGTGTCAGCTTTTTCGTGCTTCAAAAGTGCTTCAACGTAACTCGGACGACAACTGCAGGGGAGCTACGGGCCCCCTCACAGCTTCAAGGAAACTGAAACGTTGTCATTTGCCCAAGCTTTACCGCACGCACAGCGCATGCCGGATTTTGCCTTGCGCGCGAATATTCCCAAGGCATCTTACGCTGCGAGCCGTCGTAGTTCTGAGTTACGTACATTGTGACCGTGACTAGCATCGGCAGCGCGTACCGCACCCGACACTTCTCGTTAGGGGGGAAGGAAAATGGGGTCCAGGAGCAAGGTCAATTCACAGACGGACAACGCAGCGCGTCGACGCATTCCCGATATTTCCCACGATATCTCCAATGTGATGGGATATGGTGGGTTCAGCTGACGCTGACTGAAGGAAAAGTCTGGGTCGTAATCAACTGACTGGGCCCCTCCAAAAGGCTACAAGATGAGCTCAACTGCACTGGACATGACCTTCTAGAACGAACGTACGAACCAATGCTGTGCGACGGTTACTGTGCCAATCTGCAAGGACAGCTTCCCCCTCCTTCTGAGCTGCCTGCAAAAGCAAACGTTGCCCACCCACGATAGCAATTTTTGCCCATTGCGGAGGGAAATTCAGCCCTACCAGACACCCAAATAGGTTAGCCTCCGTAAGCCTTACTTGTATTCATGCCCAACCCCCCATCCCCGTCCCATACCATAAGACCCCGTCCCATAGGTGGCCACCACCATACGTGGCCACCACCCTTCTCGATCTTCAGCATGGGAACAGATAGCAGAGATCCAATTCAGGGACACAAAGGTCATAGACATCAATGATCCAGCAGGTCATAAGCCATCCCAGTGCGTCTGCAAGGCATGCGTTTTACGCTGACCTTTGGGTCAAGTACGGAGCTGAATGTATGCTCAAGGAAGGCTAATAGGCACCATGGGAGAACTTCTGGCATGAAACCGCCGCACAACTCATACTTTCCGTCCAATTCTTCATGCAAGCGAAGCGTGGGTATACCTTGGGTTTCCTGCTTCGATACTCATGTGCCATGCTTGCTACGGATATAAATGTAAGCCGAATGATTGTGCCCAAGAGGGTAACAGTGGCGATGTAGGGAGCCCGACCCTACAACGTAAAAGAATATGGCGATCGAGACCCGCAGATAATTTTCACATTACCTGCCATAACCATCTTAGGGCCTCCGTTACAATATCGAAATATTATTAAGCAATTTCAATTGCAAATGACGCGGAAGGGTGCACAGGTAAACTACTCCAGGCTTTAAGCTTGATATATCTCCTGACGTCCAATTGCTGTATTGTATTGCACAAACTTTGCATGATGAGGTTACGAGGACTCATATGTTTTCATACTACCTTGCACCTATTCCTTTAATAACGAAAACCTAACGCTATGTAAAGTAATTAAGTTGTGCGCGTTTATAGCAAGAACGTTGGGCATTCTCTGCGCTGTATGATTTCAGTACGGCGATCTTGTACGTCCAATTTGGCAAAGTGATCATTAGTGACACACGGACTTGACGAGAACTGTCGTCGTTGCTGGCTTCGGGGAGTCTTTTTCTTTCACACATTCCAGATAAGATGGCCCTGATGATGAAGCGCTCGGCCGTGGCCGCTCGCCCTGCGGTCTCGCGCAAGGCCGTGGTTACCTGCGTTGCGCGCCAGTCATGGCTGCCTGGCAGTGAAATCCCCAAGCACCTTGACAGCCCAGCTGCTCTGGCCATGGCTGGCAACTTTGGTAAGCGGAGCGCGGCGGCTTCAACATTCAGTGGATTGACAAGTTCTTGGGAATACCTAGTATCTTCCAGAATTGAACCGCGTCTAAAACTCTCTGCGGGTTGCAATTAATTGCAGGCTTTGACCCGCTGGGCCTGGGCAAGGATGCCGAGGCTCTGCGTTGGTGAGAGAAGGTTGATTGCAAAGAGCACTAAGTCCTGTGAATTGTCTTCCCATCGGTTTTCGGTCTTATATCGTATTGTGTGGCAATCTGTATCTGATTTTAGCCAATGTTTTGACTGAGCAGGTACCAGCAGGCGGAGCTCGTGCACGCTCGCACTGCCATGACTGCTGTGGCCGGCATTCTCATTCCCGGCGTGAGTGGGAGATCGATTGTTTGTGTATCATCTGCATGATGTTTTCTGAAACGATTAGGCTTTGAGTTTGAGACAGATCCGAAGCCGCGTTTTAGGACACTCGGGGCATTCGCATCGGCACGGCTGTTGTACACCACTTGCTCTCTTCGCACTTAGAGTTGGATTTTTCAACTTTCCCTTGATTGCAGCTACTTACCAAGGCTGGTGCGCTGAACGTGCCGGAGTGGTACGACGCTGGCAAGGTTGCGATTGAGAGCTCTTTTGCTCCGTTCGGTAAGATCATGTAATAAGGGCTGGTCTTGTGTTCCGAAACTCTAATGTCTCTGACGTCGAGGACGTAGGGTTATGTATTTCAGGTGTAGGTTAATAAGATGTGACAGTGAAACTCACGATGGCCTTGACTCTCTTAATTGCGCTATGTAAATTGAGCTAGGTTAGCCTCATGGGACACGTGGGGTTTGGTCAAAGCGCGTTGCTTGCGTGCGTGCGCGTTGCTCAAGTGGGGTACCTGTGTCCGCAGGCGCTCTGCTGGCTGTCCAGCTGTTCCTGACCGGCTTCGTGGAGGCTAAGCGTTGGCAGGACTTCAAGAAGCCGGGTAGCCAGGCCGAGAAGGGCAGCTTCCTGGGCTTCGAGACTGCCTTCGCCGGCACGGGCGACAACGGCTACCCCGGCGGCATCTTCGACCCCCTTGGTAAGCTAGGGCGTGTCGAAGATCGACAGACAAGAAGTGATTCATTCTATGGTTGCTTCAGTGCGTTATCTGTGTCTCCTTTGGATATTCAGTTCGGTTGGCGTTGCTCCTTTAACAGGCCTGTCCAAGGATGCTGACAAGTTGGCTGACTGGAAGCTGAAGGAGATCAAGAACGGCCGTCTGGCCATGGTATGTGCTGAATCTTGGGTTTTTAGAATTAGGGTGACATGCGCTTGCATTGTCGGAGCAAGATACGGCCACATGTGTCTAACCATTGTCTCGTTCATGTCTATACAGGTTGCTTTCCTCGGCTTCACCGCTCAGAAGTTCGCTACCGGTAAGTAGCTAATGGGTTAGTGCTGGTTGACACATTACCGATAGGAATGGGCTTGCAATATCCTGTTATCGCTCAGTCATGCAGTGCTCAGCTTTTGTCTGTTTCCTACGTGCTGACCAGCTCCTGCCTGCCGTGCATACGTCCAATTCACGTTTGCAGGCAAGGGCCCGATCGACAACCTGGCGGCTCACCTGGCGGATCCGTGGCACGTCAACTACGCTTCGAACGGCGTTTCAGTTCCGTTCCTGTAAGCGCTATGCATAAGCGTAAATGCTTACCAGGCAGAGTGACTAAGGCGTGTTGCGTGTTGTTGACGGAAGACGGTGGCTATTGGAGCAATGGGATAGGTCCCAGCCAGAAGATTGTTCCATTTTGGGATGTGTGCCGAGAAGAGACTCAATTCCCTCAGGCCTCATTTTGTAATACGCACATGTTCGTCGTGCGGTCTGAGGCTGTGGGTTCAACTCGTACGAGGGGAAGCTTCCTGTGTATCCTTTTGTAACGACGCGACGATTTCCTTGGAACACGTTGCCGTTCGATTGCTAGACATCTTCTGCACACTTACGACGTCTTGGTGAAGTACGGCATACCGAGACGCATTAACGTAGGCACAGGATTTGGTGGGGTCAATTTTGTTTCCTTACTGTCTTGGGACAGACCGTTGTAAAGTCATGGGGAAGGTTTGTCCAGCCGGTTATGCGACAGCATTCCCTATCTTCGAGGTGTCCCGCAAATCTTTTTATTAGGACACAACGCATGTGCACAGGATGCCACAAGCCCAACATCTAGTGATGTATCCTTGCTTTACCATGGCTCAACCCCAAGACAATTAGGTAGAGTTAGAGAGTGGTCAATGATTTAGTTTATTTCACAGTTTACCCACGTGATCCGGCCCCAGGACCTAGTAAAAACCTTCCTTTGCAAAGTAGCAGTCAAGTTGGTTGGTTGCCCTGAAACAAGCATGGGAGTATGCACATTAAGTAAAACGTCAAGGAGGACCCAAGTAAAATGTCAGGATGACCGACCTTGCTAATCGTGTGCGTGACGGCGATGGAGTAATTTCGACGTTTCAGATTCGCTCAGGATGCGCCTTCTAAACAGTACTGAGTGCCTGTCGTTCTTTGTGACTTAGTGCCTTTGGTGCCTTTCAGTGATTTCCTGTCTCCAGTCGTAACTGGTTGTGCGTTTGGTGGCAGTAACGCCGCACTCGCTCAGACGTCTGTCTCCCCGCCCTTGATGCTTTCCTGCTGTTCTGTGGGGCTGCTTGTCTGCTCGTCAGCGGGTTTCGTAATCTTTTAGGTTACCGGCTAGTCCTAGAGAGAGTGAGATTTGCATTGACTCTGGTTTCTCCGCACTTTCGCTAGCTTGGGCACTGCTTCGCACAGGAAACCATTGTTGGCGCATGTGTCTGCTGGTCGTGCATCAGCCCCCCTATGAGGTGTTTCCTAGCGACACTACCGTGCATGAATACCATGCATGTGTCTGTGCTCGGTGGACAGTTGCGACACGATGAGTTGGGACCATCAACTGCCGTTATCAAACATGCACGCGGGCAGATAAGCAGGCCTGACTATACAACAAACTCATTGTGCATCTTGGCTTCGCGTGCACAACTCGCTTTAGGGTTTGGACATGAGGGATCAGCTACAGCTGCGTTAAAGCTTTGACCTTTCGTATGGCACTAGAGGGGGGGATAACTCCTCCGTAACATTTACCGGGGTGTAGAGGCTACTGACCCCCTTTCGTAAATGTGAATCCGCTGTTTGGGGACACATTGAAGGGGTTACTCCGCGGGGTGTACACGCTCGTTCGCAAAACAGCATGTAGTGATGCACTCTTGTCTCGCCTTCATACACCTACACACGCCTCCCATGTCTTAAAAGCACATGACACACCAGTCCACAAACATAGACACCTGCCACGCACACCACCTCCCCCGCCAACCAACACGCAGTCCTGCTCGCAGCCCTAGTTGGATGCAGGTATGAATGTTTTCATGCCTGCCCGTCTCGCCTGCATGTACGCCTGCCTGCCATTACGTCTTCATGACGTTCTTACAGGGTGGTATAGCTTCACCAGCGGCCCCCTTTCCCGAGGCAGTTTCCTGCTCTCCCCTGTGAGAGGGGCATCCTAATCCATTCACCCCATCCGGCCTCAGAATGTATGATATGTTGAACAGGGGGTATATCTTTACCCATGGCAGCTATCCTGCGAAACCCTGCCTTCCCCAATAATTCGGGAGGATTTTCGACCCTGATAGGTCTGGGCCCCGGGATCTCCCGGGGACAATGGTCGCGCGTTACCAGTAGTGCCAAACCCTAGTATTGAAAATGAATTCATTGGTTTCAGCAACTTACCACCCGCATTAATCGACTCTAGCGGGTCATCGGCGCTCACAACTTCGTTCGCAAGGTGCTATTATCACATCATGTACCGTCCTCAAGATGTGGGGCCACCTCCCAATTGATCAACCCTCATTCATTGAGGGGTCGACAGGCGGATTTAAATCCGAAACCTCCGGGAGCAGAAGTCAGGCCTTAACTTCTACCAGCCACCAGTCTTCATGCATGCTTGCATCGTTTTCCTGCTATGTTAAGCCTCTCTCCTGGTCACAGGTGCCCAAGGATGCGTGCCTAATTTGCCCACAACCCAGCGATCCCTTGCAAATGTGCCTCCATCTGGTGCCGCCATATCTCTCTGCAGTCAAGGACAGGGTACTTACAGACGTGCATCCCGGGAGCAGTACTTCGTCGTGGCTTAAGGGTTGCTTCCCTTGCGTGGGCGTTTAGCTGGTGCTAGAATACTCAGTGCCATAGGCCTTGTGGGTCGCAGATGTGGTTACACGGCTTCGAGGCCGCTGCATGCTGGCCCTTTAGATACATGGGAAACCAGGATGTGCAAGGTGACTCGTGCTGGTACGAAGGTGTCAGATATCAATGTACGGGGAAGCCCAAAGATGGTTGCAGGAATAGAAATTGCATAAGTTCCATCTGTTAACGCGGACTCCCTAACCCAGCGCGTGGGCTGCGCAGGCTTGCACGGGCTCCTCGGATGCTCAACGCCACTCATCTATGTGCTGTTGCATAACGCGAAAGGGCTTGGCGAGGGCATTCAGGATTTGCTTATACGGTTTTCGTTCGGTGTTGCACGCCAAAGCTACGTACGGCATGGGTGGGTTCGGAGTCCCGACGGACTTCTTGGATGACGCTCGGAACTTAGTAACTGCACACCGATGCGGAATTATAAGAGCAATTGCTTGCGTTTTTCATCAATGGTGTTACAGATTACAGCTATTAAACGCCTCACTTGATGGGGTTAATTCTTGGGTGACATCGGGCTCGGTTAGTGTGCGAAGACTTGCTCAGATGGACCCAAGGGACATCATCCAAACGACAAGAAACAACATTAGTACTGATCCTGTCTTTGAAGTTTCCACGCCTGCAATTTGCGGTTGATCATAGACGCATCCATTGTCCAAAGGTTGCGGCAGTATCTTTGCCGCGAACAAATGCAATTATCTTAACCTTACGGTACGCAACGCGAGTGATAGAAACACATTTCTTACGTTATGATCCAACCTTCCCAGACCAGAGGTGATCCGGAGGCCCGGTGCTCGCGCCCGACTTTTACTGGACTGCTTCAGCACTATGATAAGGGAAGGCGAGGTTTCAGCCTGGTGGAAGCGTTAATTGCATAATGATTATGCTGGCAGAGTTACAACTTCTGCTTGTCAGCCATGGGATTTTCCGACGAGCCCCGACGTCAACAAAATCCAATTCTGCAAATGTCCGCCGAATCATCTCGTTGATAATCAGCTAAGCTGCAGCAAATAATGTGGAAGGCGACGCATCCAGGTCATGATCCTGGGCACCTAGACAGATGCCTCCCCAAATGGAGTTGCGTCATGATGAGTGCAATTTACAGCACCCGGTGTTCCCAGCGAGATCTCTCTGCGCCGGTACTGGACGGGCCCAGCAGCACCAACATCTATTACGGATGCGGTACCTGCCGACTTGGCCGTAAACGCTCCTCTCCCCTTTGCTGGCCCCCGTATGCGGACTTCACAGTCCGCAAGGCGACAGCATTGGTGTAAAGAGCAAATACAAAACACGCACACAAAAGGAAGCGGCACAAAAACAAGATTCCTCAAATTCTTGTACGCTTTGCGAAACGCTCCTCCGTATCACTTCCCCCCTCCGACGACAAGTCCGACGAAGTGGGGCTGGAGAAGCTGTCACCACGTGAAGGAGACTGCAGGGATAACCCAATCGATTCCCGTAGAAATGCGATGACAGCCGCATGTGAACGGAAAGATCTTCCTGATGGTGAAATGTAAGTATTGGTTGTTGTCCGCCCTGGACGACCGTTGCTGCGAGTCGTCACGCGAGGCTTAACAGATACACTCCAGCCTTCATCCATAATAACACCTACGAGGAAAGAAAATACTGAAGCGGACGAAAAGGACAAAAAGGACCTCGTCCTGAGAAATCAGGACTACTGAACGCACCTTGTTGAGATGCATGGAGCTTTAGCTTCTGCAATGCAGAAGCAGCAAGCAAGGATACATCTTCCTACAAGGATCAGTGAAATGACGATGAGCCAAGCATTCTGGAAGAAGCATCAGGGCGCAACCTTCCCATACCTCTGCAATGCGATGGGCCAACTCATCATATGGGACCTTTAAATATGTAGGAGAAACCCTTTGTAAGCCATGAAGTGAAAGGAGGTCGGCGACACCGCAGGCGCTGAGTTGGCGATTCATGTTCAATTCCGCAATGATTGGATTGAAAGTTGAGGAGAGATATGCTGCTTTATACATACCGCCAATACTTAAACCTATGCAAGTGTGCATGTTCTGTATAATGACTCGCCGCCGTAGGGCCCTCCGCAATGCACGGCAGGTTCCACAGTTCCAGCATGATTCCTAGCTGTCAACACAGAAGGAAGCGCTACACATTCGAGACGTGTTGTGAGCGATATCTTGCTAAACGGCTATCCGGCTTGGCTATGAATTGTAACCTTTGATTTAAGCAAATGTGATTTCTAAAAACATTAGTCTTTTAGTACTTACAGAAGTGGGTGCTCTCTTCTCCGTAGCAATCATAATGATCAAAGCGAGGGCACCCGAGGCACCTGGAACGTTTGGTGAACAGCAAAGGTGGATGCATACCCCCTCAACCCGCCCTTAACCTCGCACCCCTTGCATGCATATTCATATAATGCGAGTACCACATGCTGTATAATAAGGGGGGCTGCCATCCCCGATTCAGCTCCCAGCAGGACCCTGCAAACCAAGTTATTGCATCGAAATTCCGGCTATAGCGTTTGTAATATTACCCAGACCTACTTTGGCGCGTTGGACAGACCACACCACGTACCATGTACTAGGCTGGCGATTGGCGGGGCGCATTCGGGTTTGATACGCATCCATGCACAAAGGCCAGGAAATGGAGTAAGCAGCCGCAGCACCACTGTTGAGCATATCTTGCAATCAAGCTCACGAAACACTCAACTGCCATCATCACATGTTTCTCTGATAAACATCCCACAAAGCAAGAAGAACACAACATGCCGGGCGTTCGACCGGGAAACATGCACCCGACAGCGAAAAACGCGTACAAGAACGAACGCCTTGGCAGTGTCTTGGTATTGTCAGGGCGCATGGTGAACGGCTCCTACTTTGGAGTTGACGAATTCCGCACTGCGGCAAACAAGACCCAGACGCCTGCAGCAAGCCAACCAGAAGCCAATACACGCGAACGGCTCACAACTACGTAAGTTTGCCATGCAAACAAAGATCTCAGGTCCCATGGCATGCGTGCATGCAGCCAACTGGATCGACACCCGACAGGAAAGCAGGACTATTGTCGTGTCTGCTTAGCTACTTACGTGACGGCAATCCTGACCACCAAAAGTGGAGATAAGGGAAGCAGTGTCAATCCCCGAGACCTTTCAAAATGCAATAACCCAACTATCACAGCCGCCTGCTGAATCGTTTCCGCAGCCTTGTTCTTGTCGTGTCCCAATACCGCAGTACCGGGGGAGCTTAACAGGACTACACACTCCTGCTGCTACTGTTGCTGCTGCTGCTGATACGCAATAGCTGTCAACCGTGCGGGATGTGTGTGTGCGTGTGCGTGTCTCCAGCCCTCCATCAAAACCCCCTCCTCCCCCCCATTCGCGATCACATCATACCCTCGCCCTGCCCCCTGCCGCGTCCACACATACACCGTACACGCGCGTGCATGTGTCCTCCCAACCCCAAACACCTAGTACCGCGTACCCCAAACCGCTTGTACCCCTCAACACCTCAAGCCCCCCAAACCCCAAACACCTCGTATCTCGTACCCCACACCTCAAACCCCCAAACCTCAACCACATAATTTCAAAACACTTCGTCCCTCGTCCCTCGTACCCCAAACCCCAAACACCTCGTACGTTGCACCCCAAACCCCAAACACCTAACCCCAAACACCTAACCCCAAACACCTCGTACCCCGAGTACCCCAAACCCAAAACGCCTCAAAAACCTCGTATAACATCCACCCTTCCTCTTCGTGTCGTAGCACACCCCAAACCGCAAACCTCAACAAAAAATAAACCTCACACAACCCCCTCAAAGAATCCCACAAATCCCAATCTCTATTCACCAATCCGCAAGTGCCTCAATCCCGTGATGTCCCCAACCCTGGTGGCGCCAACAAGGCCCCAGGACTGCCCGCACAACGCCAGGGGGGGCCCGTCCTCAAACGGGATCAGCCCTTCCTCCAGTAGGTCGGTCAGCAGGCCATGCCCGTTAGGCCAGATCTATCGCATCATTGCTTAGCTTGTCAGCCTCGGCATTCAATTCCCTGCGAAGCACCAAACCAAAGCATCTCAACGAGCGAGAAGCGGCGATAGGAGTTGGCCCCCCACGGTGCGAAATGGAACGTGAACGTCTTTACGCCCCCTGGCCTGTGGCCATCGGACCCGCAGCTGCAACTGCATCCATCCACACCCCCACCAGCAGAGGGCGCTTTCCTCCCTTCCTTAATTCACCCCATGCCCTTTGCACCACCCTCCGCTACCTCAAAGCCAGCTCGAAAACCACTGACCGAGTCCGCTGCACACACTGGGCGACCTGGTTCTGAGTTGCTTAGCAAAATCGACACCACCACAACCACCATCGATAGCGGGCAGGAAGTCCACGCCTTCTCAGCTGTGCAAATGCGTGAAGTGCCCGGCACGGCCCGAGGAACCGGCCATTAAGGTATCTTCCCAGCACGAACAACCCATCCTCCGCTCAACCCCTACCTCATACCTGATCATTCATCTGGCCGGCCGTCCCACCTCTCACCTGGGGATATGGCGGATCTCGAACTCGCTTAGCAGCCGCGTCTCTGCGTGCACCTGCTCACATAAGGCCCTCAGGTGGTCCTTGTTGATGTTCCACTTGCCGTCGACCTGCATCACCACCAGCTTGCTGTCGCCCTTGGCGTGCACGCAGGTGGCACCCAGGCGCCGGGCCATCTGGGCGAGTTCGTGGGCCCGGTGAGCAGGGGGGGGTGAGGAAATAATCACACATCCGTTTTAGCTGCAGGAATGCCCGGAACGTCCAGATGCCCTGACCACAAGGACGGTGAGGAGCGGGCTAAGGGAGCGCCGAGACAGGGGGCACACAGGGGAGGGCAGAGCGCGCGGGGAGAGAGAGAGAGGGGGGCCCGGACAGCACCGGCCGGGGCTCTAGTGGCGACGCTAATAGGCAGGAACGGGGCACCTTAGAAGTGGTTAACGCTAACGGCATAAGGTTAAGAGACAGGTATCCTTGCAAACCAAAACGCCACCCGCCTTGAAAGGCTGTCGCGGTCATCGCCGGGGCCCCAATCCGGTCCCCCCCCCAAAAGGCCGCCGAGAAATTTTCCCTTATCCGGGTTATCCCAAACCCGCCCACAGCAGTCAGACCCTGTCGCCGCTGCCGTACTAGCAGCAACATGCACCGCACACTCACTTTCAGGCCCTCAATCAATGCAGTGTACTCCGCCTCATTGTTGGTGAACCGTGAGCCCATGTACTTGCGTAGTCGGCACACCTGGCGGGCGGGCCGCACGGCAGGATGTAAGCGCGACAGCTGTCAGAGGAGGGTGCGCTGACCTCAACCGGCGATGTCCCAGCACAGCGAAGCACCCAAGGCAATGCGCCGGCAGCAGGGGAACAAACAGGCCCCAGGCAGCTGCAGGTCCCCTAGGAGGCCACGGACCGTTTTCATCCCCCCGGCTTACTTCGCCTGTGGAGAGAGGCGCGCGCTTTGTGCAACATTGCAACACTAAACTCAGCGTTAGCGAGTTTAGGAGCGGCCTCCGAACCGCGACGTCATTGGATTGGCGGTGCAGCCTGACGCGCACCCTTGCGCCCCGTCTCCGTACGTTACCGTACCGGACAGGGCGGCGACGGGTTGAGCTCTTTCCCACGTATCCCGCCCGCCTCGCCCTTGGTGGAATTGTTTGACCTAATCCGAACGAAACCATCAGCCGTGCTCCGAAATTTGCAAGTCCAAATAAACAGTACCGAGTGCACTAGGGCTGGTATGCCTGTCGTGGCGGGTCAATGGCAACTACGGACATGGCCTACCACGCTTCCATTGTATCGTAGCACGGCTCCGCAGCCCGCCTGGCCGGGGTTACCACGCGCGGCGCCGTCGAATTCCTGCGCGTTAGGAGGGCGCCGTGCATGTGTTGTGTCTCTCTGTGCGTTTATATAAAAAGGTGAGCTGCTGGTAGAGCAGCAGGTAGGCAATACATGTGTGCATGTGTTAGAGAAGGGGACAGAGAAGCGCAGACGACGCCGTCAACGGTCGACAAGCGAGGGACATGGAAGGGAAAACATCGCACGTCTGTCTTTATTTAGCAGCAAGCAACAGATATCGCGCAGCGATATCGCAAAGGTGTGTGTGTGGGGGGGGGGAAATAGACTGGTGGAACGGGCCAGTTGTAACCGCAAGCCCGCCCCCTTACCAGCTCGTACACGGAGTTAGAGCGGATGGGCTGCCATGGCCCCTCCACGACCGGGTCATAGCGGCCCCTGGCCGTAGAGGCAGCGCCTGAGCGACCACGATCAGGTTCTCGAGCCGAGTTATAGGTGCCGCCAGCCGCGGACAAATTGAGGGGGGCAGCCCGGGCGCTCGTGGCTATCAAAATCCCCGACGTGACCATTGGGTAACTTCCGTGGTCAGCCAGGGGTTCGGTGCGCCGGGCTCGGGAAGGTGGCTCTCGCATTTGAGGGCGGTAATCGTCATCATCATCATCATCAATGTAACCGTAATCATCGTTCCGGTTCCGCTTCCTGCCGACAGCAGCCGCAGAACCCTCCGACAAGTAGGCTTCGGCTTCGCTACGTGACCTAAAAGATTTGTGTTGAGCTCCCGGGTAGCCGCTCACGAGGGGTTGGACTTCAGACCATTCGTGGTAGACGCCTGGCCGGCGGCCTACTCGCACAGCATAGTACTTGCCCATCCTTGCCGGGCCGAGCAAAACAGAGTGGTATCTAAGGTTTATTTTTTATAAAAAAAGGTTAGACGAACAGTGCACCTCCGGTGCTGAACGAGTCAGTACTTCGGGCAGACAGCTTTTCTGTCGAAATGGTCCCAGCTCTCAAGCATCGGGATGTCGAGGTCCGCTATGTTCCTTAAATTAATAACTCTAACATCAAACCTTAACTGTTTACGCTGTGGTGTTTTGCAGATTTGTACAGACCTGCACATCTGCAGTAGTTGTGCACGATGACGGTTTCCTAACCGCCAATCTGATGCGCAAGATCTAGGCATCGCAAGGCATGGTGGCTTTATTTATTGACCCTTTAAAGCCTCTGACTTCAGTTATGTCTCTCCTCAGACACATCGCCTCGTGGCATCTTAAGAGTTTGGACTCAAAGACACAAGTCACATCGCATTAACGGGTCATCGTTCCTTGCCCTGCAGTGACAACATCAATTCAGAGCACCTATCAAAGCCCCGCGGGAACTCTCTACAAACAACTTTGCCGACACATGTCTCAGCACCATTAGCCAGGCGCGAGGCTGTACCCGACCCCCTAGTCTCAGGACCGCTTGCGTCAACCACTGCACCACGTATCTCATTCACACTCCCAGACGAGTCGCCTACGAGGCCTCCAGGGTATAGCAGTGACGCTCGCCATTTCCGACACGCCGCGAGCAGCGCATCACTTTCAGCCTCCCCAATCCCGAGCACCCCTAACTCGCAAAGCCCCTCGTAATTCACCGACGTTACCACCCCGCGGTCGTGCTGCCTGGCAGGCCCCTCTGATCGCTCCGCCTCCTCCTGATGCCGCTGTTGCTCGTGCTGCCATTGCTGCCGGTGCGGGTACGAATAATGCCGCTGAATGTTAGACGGCAGCGGCATCGCCTCGCCCTCGCGTATGTGTTTCAGCAGCGTCGCCGCCAGGGAAGACGCTAGCGCCAGCGGCGGCGCGCCCGATGCCGCGTATGCTGCCAGCGCCTCCACCAGCACTGACGGCGGCAGCGCCGCCCCTGCAGCCGCCACGGCGGGCTGCACCGCATCCAGCGCCGCCTGGTTGTGGAAGCCCAGCTGCGCCAGCGCCTGCAGCGCACCCACCATAGCCACCACCTCGCCCACCGCAGAACCCAAATCAGAGCCCTGCCGCTGCCGCCGCTGCCGCTGGTCCCCCGAAGTAGAGCTCTGAAGGACCCGCGCGATGCGGCTGATGTCAACCTGCCCGGCCAGGGCCTCCAGCTGTACAAATGGATGGACGGAACGGAGCGGGAGGGGCCGGGAGGAAAGATAAGGCCAGGCGGGGGGTGTAAGTCAAGGCAAGCGCATCGCGAATGCACGGGGCGGGCAGGTTCCCGTTACCGTTGTTCGGTAGTGAAAATAGGCGGGAGGGCCTCACTCATTAGGAGTGGGCATCAATGTGCGAAAGGGCTGGAATCCTTGACCTGGCGCGAAGGCGAAGAGGCGTTCCCCATTGGGGCTACGAGGGCATTGCCACCCAAGCCGGCGGTAGTCCTGACCTGGTGCTGCGGGCAAGACGACCTCACACACCGAAGGTGCATCGCACAGGTGGTGGCGGTACTGATCGTATGCCACGGCGTCAGATTGTATACACGACAAAAACGTTTTTTCTTCTACACGACACAAACGACCCACATCAAGGGACCAAAACGACCCGACCGACGGAACCTAGCGAGTGAGAGAGATGTCCGTCAAGATCGATCCGAGTTCTGAACGTGCTAAAGCTACGACCGGCCTCCGGAGCTCCGCCCACCCCCGCCCACGCAGCAGCCACCACGCACCCGTGCCGCCGCCGCAGTACACAGCTCCGCGTGAAAGTGACCCGCCGCCGAGAAGGCCGCAACTAACCAACGCAGCTCCTCAGCCGACCCTGCAGCCGCCACAGCCGGCGCCGCTGCAGCTGCCAGATGATCCAGCACCGCCGCTGTGGTCACCGGCGTCATCGGCTCCGCTGTTTCGCTGCTAGTGTGCGTGGGGGCTTGCGGGGCACCATGGGGCTGTCCATCCGCGGGGCGGCGCTCACCGCTGCTGCCGATGGCGAAGTGGGTGAGGTCTGTGACGAGAGAGGCCACCACTGCCAGGTCGGAGAATGCGGAGGGGGCTGAGTGCAGCAGCTGGGTTCGGGCCTGGAGGTGTTGAGGCGCCCAGCCCCCAAGCGGGGTGCGGAGAGGATAACGAGGGGGTAATGGAAAGGTTCGTGAAGAAGAGGGAACGTGGTGGATCGTATGGTGGTGGAGGTGTACGTAAGAGAAATCTCCACACAGGTGTTACGGCGGCCGCGGGGGACAAGAGCTTATATGGGGTAACTTCTTCGTCCCCTTTAGGGGAACCAAAGCGTGCAGCAGTACTGACCGGCGGCGCGGCAGCCACATGTCACTCGTTGCTTGCCTTTGCCCTTTTGTGCTTGCTGCTTGGCAGCAATGCTTCCTCCTCTCCCGGTCCTTTACTAGGTGTCCATACATATTCATCACTCACACATATTCACACTCTCACACGCGCACGTCCCTGTCGCGCGGCATTCGGGTTCCCCTGGTGCGACCCACCCACCTAGCCCGCCGTAACACCCACTCGCCACTCCGACTACCGGCTTACCGCCTCCACGAAGCCAATGAAGACCGGGTCCTGGATCTCCGCAGCCCCCTGCGGCTCCAATCCCGCCGGGACAGCCCCGGGAACACCGAATCCACCACGCTGCTGCTCCTGCGGCTGCTCCTGCCGTGGCGGCTGCCTTGGTGGCTGCAGTTGCTGTCGTGTTTTGTGTTGCAGGGCGTGTGGCTGGGTGAGCACATGCAGTAGCCGGGCCAGGTGTTGGGGCCGCAGCTCCCGAATGCGCAGTGAGGCGGCAGCAAACAGGGAGGACAGGTGCTCGCCGGGGTCGACCAGGGAGGTCCCGGCCGTGGCGCGCTGCGCGTCAGTCGCCGTCGCGGGCCCCGCTGGCATGGCGCCGCCAGCCGCCGCTTGTGCCGCGCTGCCAGCTGCGGCGGCAGGTTCCACCTCCACCCCCCTAGCAGTCGCCAGACCTACCGCCGCATTCGGGGGCCCTGCGGATGCTGCGTGTTGGATGGCGTTGCGTGCAGCGGCGCTGCGTGCGCTGGCGGCCTGCAGCGCCTCAGCCGTCGTACAGAGCTCCGCCGGTTTTAATGCGCCTGCATGTATCGGAGGGCATGTATCAGTGGTGTTGGCAACATCAGAATGAGGCTGTGGTAGCGGTGCGGAGCAGTGCAGGCGCCCTGGGCAAGCACCAGCCATGCCATGCCATGCAGGTCCACATGTGCAACGGCAAACGGTTAACGGCCAACCGCCACGACAGGTGCATGCCAGATGCCACTACGAACGAAAGAAGGCCAACGCCATGTTACGCCGTCGTGTAATCAGCCAGCTGCCAGTACAGGGGCTCTGATCGTTAACACCCAAATCCTCATCGAAGCAGTTTAGGACACATAGTTTCCCAGGCTTTTCCTTCTTCTTTCTCCCTCTTCTCTTTCTTCTTCTTCTTCTTCTTCTTCTTCTTCTTTTTCTCTCTCCCATTTCGTTGACACATGCTCATCCTCGCTATCTTAATCGCTACGTCGATGTCGCCTTCCGTCTTACTCCCTCTTTCTGTTACCTCCACTGGCTCCCTCTCTCCTACCTCCAATTCTGTACGCTGGAACTCTCACTTTTAACCTTTCCCTCTCCCCGCCCTCACACCCGCCCCTCACCGCTTCCCCTCCCCCTCCTCACCCGCACTGAGCCGCAGCTGCCCACCCAGCTCCTCCCAAGCAGCTCCCTCCGTCCAGCCCAGCCGCGCCAGGGACCAGGCCACTCCTGCCAGCTCAGTGGGCGGGCACTGCCGCAGCCGGGAAGCCACCAGTCGCCGCGCCAGCGCCGCCGCATAGCCCGTCACCTCGCCCATGGCAGGATTCGAGTCCGTATCCTTACCCTTCACTTTCACAGCACCACCAGTGGCTGCAGCTATGGCTGAGGACGAGCTCCTCGGCTGCAAGGGTGTAGCCGCCGCTGTCTCCGGCCCAAGCGCCCCGTGCGCCTCAAGGTGCCGTACAGCGGCCCACAGGGCGTTGGCCAAGTTACGTCCGGAGAGGGCGTCGGCGTCCGCCACTGCGCGACCCAGCAGCCTGGAGAACGCGTCTCTGTGCTCGTGGGCGCCTCCGCGGGCCAGGGCTGACAACGTGTTGGCCACGTGTTGTGGGGACATGGCCGCCCAGTGCACCTCCACGCCGCGCGCCACTGCGCGCCAGGCGCGGCGGCTGGGGCAGTTGAGGCGCGCCAGGGCCAGCGCAACCACCGACACGTCCTTCGGATTGCAAAGGGAAGGAAGGATTGCCGATGAGGGCCAGCGCGTATAGGATGGGCCCCCGCGCCTCCTTTGTCTTAGCGATTTTGCATTTCGAGTTGGAGCTCCATTCGGTGGATCAATTAAGCACCGCACGCCGTACCACCTGTTTGAACACGGGCTGGGCGCTTTCCTGCCCCTCGGCATGTGGGATGAGCTGAGATGCACTTGTGGGTCACATCTGCTATAAAACACCCCCGTGTAAAACCTCATCAAATGCCCCAGAATGCCCCAGAACAAGCCCATAACACCCTAAAACCTACCACGCCATTGCCCGCTCTCAGTAGCGCCGCCCGGTCCTCGCAAAGCGCATCCAGCAGGGCCCCCCACAGCCGCTCACTCGGGGCCACTCCCAGCTCAGCCAGGCTGTGAAGGCATGTGCCCAGCTGCCGGGCGCCGCAGCGATGAAGGTGCTCCGAAAACGCCAGAGCCCCTGCCAGCTCCGACAACAGCTCCCGCTGGGCGGCCCGGTCCGCGGCTCGACGGCTGGTTCCCGCCAACTGTGAGGTGGTCGTGTGGATATGTGCCGGAGGAGAAGGGATGGGCGCTGGCCGGGATGGCGTCCGTGCAGTGCTTCCATACATAGAGGGCCATAGCCAAGAGGGCGATTGCACAAGGGGGGAGGAAATCCCCGTTGGAGACCCACCCGGGGTTAAGGCCAAAAACATTCATGCATCTGAACCTTCCCATATGTCCTGAGGCCCTTCCCCCTTTTTCCCATCACCTGACAGCTACACGATTTCGTCCTGATTCCCTGCACTACCTTCCCCCACAGGGACCGGAGCCTTACATCCCAGATCGTGTGCAACGGGGCCTCTCTTTGCATAGCGCTTGCATACCACACTCCATTACACCCTCTCCAGCACTGCTACCCGAGCCCGAGTTTTCTGAAGCTATCCTGTCCTCCAGGGGTTTCCCGTCCTTAAGGACCCTAACGCCCCCCACTGACCGTCCCAGGGCACCTGTGTCACCCGTGTCATTGCAGCCACGAGTGCGAGGTGATCCACTGCGCCCGAGTTCTGGGCCAGCAACATCCGCAGGTCCACGGCGCTGCGGCTGCGACGGATGTGGCCCATCAGCTGCAGCACGGCCGAGCTCGGGCCAGGGCCAGCGGTAGCGCTAGAACTGGCACTGGGGATGCTGGCTTCGGCGGCGCTATCGAGGCCGGACCCAGCGTCCGTGTTGGGAATGTCAGTGGATGCTGAAGCTGGAGCTGGCGCTCCGTCAGCCGCCGGCCGGTGCTCCGCGTGGGCGCAAGGAGAGATACTTACAGCGGATTCGGGGGTGGAAGGAGGGATTGCCTGAGGTATCGCGGGGCCTGGTGGTACTGGTGGGTTGGAGGATGGCGGACTTGGGGCATCGGTCGTGTAGGGCAGGGTGGCAGTCCGCGGCAGAAGGCCAGTATTTGCGGTGGATGATAGGACATGGGGCGTAATCTGCATAGCCAGGGCCGCTGGGTGAAAATTCCGGCGTGGAAAACGGTCGATTGCGATGCGAGGTCGGGGCATGGAGCCCAGGGCTCGAAATGCGAAGCTGCATGCAGCAATGGACTCCAGCTCAGCCAATCGGTTTTGTTGGGTTGCAAATATTGAAGGAGACGCTAACGAGTGTTGAATAGCTGCTGTCCAACAAATTCGAAATGCCGATGCGGCGCGTCGCGACGGGCGCGGCAGCCACGGCGCCGTGAGGATAAGCCACATGTTGCAAACATGTGCCCCTTAGATGCACACCATATGCATGGTTGCGTACCCTTACAGTCTTTCCGGATTTTCGTTACAATACTCTGTTGGCAACCGAATGCCAGCGACAATCGCCTAAAAGTACGCCGACACAACGCTACAATAATGATACTATGACGCACACAATCCGATTTGCCGCTCATTTGGCAGGGAACGATTACCTTTAGCATTGCTATTCGGACGCAAGTCGCTGCTCGTCCAAAATCGAACCAGCGCACAGCACATAGGGTTCCAGAGCTGCAGACCTGCCGCGTTTCCTCTACGCTGCAAACTGGAGAGCATATAAAGTGCATTGACAATGATGAGCCAACTCGACACACATCTCCTTGCGTTGCGCTGACCCTCGGGCCGCCCCACTCCGTGTGTCGCATGCTCTCCAAGACTATACAATGTCCCACCACAATTTATTAAAAGCCAACGTTCATAGACATGTAAATCCATGAAAATCTGTAACGAACTCATGAAGGGAGGTTTTCCACCTTCTCCTGCTCCAGCCGAACTAACGTCTGATTCCACTCTATCCCCTTAATGACAAAAAATATTAACCGACCACACGCGCCGGTCGATCTCGTTACAACCACACTCCGATTCTGACTTCTTAAGCGTTGCAGGAACGGCTGAGTTGCCACCAGCGCGGCGCGACCAGCTGCCCATCGGGTGCACGCAACTTCATGCTGTTTGACGTACAAGAAAATCATTAAAATGGTTCAAGTACATACACGCCGTGTCCCACGCCATCCCTAGAGGCCCGCTCTCCTGGCCGGCGGGTCACGAGCCACCACCACATCGCCGCTTCCTCTGGCCACCACCCGTGCCCTCGTTGCCGATGTCCGCGGGAGCGTCCCCCGGCCGGCGCCGCCTGCCTGCCTCGCTTCGTGGCTTGCTGGCGTGCGGCCGGGCTAGCGGCCTCTGTGGCAGCAGGCCCACCCGCACCTTAAGCTGCTTGTAAACGGTGACCGCAATTGCATTCGGAGGAGCATCCGATGGGGAAACGGCGTGGGAAAGGGGATCGGTGGAAGGGGATGGGGGTTACCATTAAGGTGTGAGTTGGTTCCCAAGTCAAAATAGTTCCCCGCTGAACCATATATAAACCTGCGTGCTTGATGGATGCTGTGAACCCCACAGACGAAAAGCTTGTAGGTGGGCTCACCGAAACTCAGTTATCCCCTTTGGACGCTAGTCTGGGCTGATGTGCGGTGTTTCCTGTTCTCCGTGGCTTTTAGGCGTATAAACATTGCCCTTGAGCCTTCGGCTCGTATGGAAAGTTTTACAGGTATGGGGTCACACACCCCCAACCATAACACCCACCCACCCACACACATGAAAAGCTTGTGCACCAATCTGGGTCGGCGACAGACGTTTCCAATTTCGGTTTCGTCACGTGCAATGTGTGCCTTGGACTATGACCTTGTGGACACGTCGGCATTCCCAGCAGCAGACACCAGACCCACCGCCGTATGCCCCCCTAAACCCACCTTCGTCATCGAGTGCTGGTACTGTTCATTGCCCAACAGCTCCGGCAACTCCAGCTCTCGGACATCTTTCTTCGTAACAGTTACTCCGCGAGCAAACTTCCTATCAAGGATGCGCACGGGCTTGGCAACCCGGCCCTCCGAAACTGGGTGACCGTCTTGTCCGCCTGCTGGCGCCGTCAGGGGCCCAGGCGCGAACTGGACCCTTTTCACGGCACGCCTCTGGATATGTTTCTTTGCAGCTCCGCAGCTACGCTTGGGATGTATAGGTAACGTGAAACCTGCTTTGCTCGCCTTGTCGGCAGGTGCATGCGACGCCTCCGGTTCCAGCGACGCAGGTAACGCTATCGAGAGCTTGTCCTGGATCGCTTGGCGAGATGACTTCCTCGTGGGCAGTGCCGCAGGTTGTTTTTTAGGTTCTGAGAGTAGTTGGCTCCTTCTCGTTGCCCTACCCTCGCTACCAGGTTTGCAAGGTCGGCCCTGCATATGCCATCAAGATTATAAGTCAGGAACACACATAATAAACGTTTACATCCAGATTACGTGTGCGCAGGCCGCGCGAAGAAATTTAGTCAACCATTTCCCGCACCTGGGTTGGTACGGCAGCGCAATTGCAAACTTGCAAATGATTTCCAATGGCCCGACCTGCACAGTTGCGGGCTTGTATGAGCCCTTCCATAACTCGGGACAGGAACTCATCATCTCAACCATGGCTCTTGCAGCTCGTCACTCCTCGCTGATAAACCAATTTAATTGTTCACGCACGACACGATCACGGCTCTCGGTGGCCACCTGCAGAACACGATTTCATTATGGAGCGTCCCGCATTCAGCTATGCAGTCGGGCAGCGGCTACCAACCAGCCAGCACCCCAAGAAGCTGGTGGCTCTGAAGAGGTGCAGATTGCGACATTTTTGTTTAGACAGAAGAAAGGATTACATGCTGGGATGTGTCATGTTCAGTTTGTGTTGTCACCTTGGTGACATCCGTTCGATATACTTCTCCCTCCCACAGGAGTTCGTGGGCATTCCTCCCGAAGAGGATATGGAGGTACGGGCACTGTAAAAGGGAGTAGAGTCAGTACTACGGGGTTTGGTTTTAGGCCTGGGGTTGGTGTTGGGGTCTGGTTTTGCTGGAAGGTGGTAACGTGCCATCGCCGCATTAAAATGGACTTTGGTCTAGTCATCGTACAGAGACACTTATCCCTGGAAAGCAAGGCACTGGGTACGGCGCTGGGGGTGGAGGAGGCATATGGCCACGTATCCTTGCCCATATAACAAGCCACAGCCGGCAGCTGGTGGGTATATGGTCGAAGGCCATGGCCTGGGGAGCTCGCCCTGTTGAAGACTTTGGGCGCGGCCTCCGTACCCAAAGTCGATTCCCTTTTTGTTTTTCCTAGCGGATGTCAGAAATAGGGAAGGATACGCGGCAGGCTCCTACTGGCTTTTTTATCACGTGTTTGGCGATGACAGATCGTCAGTCTGGGCCTTGTGCTAATTGGGCTTCCATCAGGACAAATGGCCCTCTTATCCTCGTAGCATTGGGTACCTTTCTATCAGCCACGGGGCGCAACTTGGGCTTGCAAGCACCTTCCCGTCCTTGGCCCCTACCTCATGGCATCGTAGGTCCCAGGCACCTACCTAGACGCGCTGAACCCAAATACCAAACTGGGCAAAGCTGTACGAGCTGCTGTGGACGAGCTTAACCACCTGAATGCCCTGGTGGGTGGCTGGGGTTGGACTGCTGTAGGCAAGGTGCCGCGGTCTTGGTGCTCAACCGGCCTGTGATCCTCACCAGCGAAGACACGACGGTACTGTAGCAGACACCTGTAAATGTCCTCCTTCCTGTGCTCTAGTGGACGGCTGAGACCGGGCGTATAGGTGCAGATGTGGCGCTTGCTTCCGCCCGGCAGACAATAGGCGCGGCAAAATGGCACCACCAACCAGCAACGAGTGCTTCAGGATCCCAAAACGCCATGCGGCTTCCACAGGAGGGCCGCAGTCGGAATGTCTGAGCTTTGGGTGTTGGTCCTCCGTCTTCTTCTGGTCTGCATCTTCCACTAGGCTTCCTCGCATGGGGATGGAACCTATTGGTCTGTTTGCTTGAACCCAATGTGTCAAACCCCACGATGGCGTCCTTGTTGCGCGCTGCAGGAGATGGAGACCCTGCAGCAATGTGATGCCCTTCTCAAAAAGCTGGGGTTGAAGGGGTCCATCATGCAAGCGCCGGCGCAGCCACAGGGCCCCTCTGATGATTCCTAGGGCGTTTTTTAACTGGGGTTTTCTGAGGCGATGTCTTTGATAACTGTTGTGACTAGGTTCAGGCAGGATGGCGAGGGAGGATGAGGGCATAGCGGCAAAGGAGGCTATGTATCAAGGACAGGCGCATCTCGATTTGGAGAGCCCTGCTTGGGAGGAACAAAGTTGTCCCGCTAGGTTACGGTCTGGTGTCTTGCTCAAATGGGATTTCGGCCGTGTCGACCAAAGCTATGTCGCTGAAGCTGTGCTGAGACTGCATGAGTTGGTCTGAGGGCTCCTCCTTCACCCTTTGTGTATTTGAATGGAGGCGGCCTCGTCGGCCTGTGTGAATGCCTCGGCGTACTTTGCGGGTAGGTAGCTGCGTTCCCTTCTTTCCAGGGGGAGCTCTCGTGTGTTCATTAGGGCTTCTGGGTGCTGTTGGGGGACTGGGCGTTTTGCGTTTTTGGAAAATGCGATTGTTATAGTGGACCCCGAACGGGTCGAGTTCAGCACGCCTCCCGCACAACACTGTGGGCTTTGGAGATCGCGCTCCGTTAGGCTTTTCTGGGGCGAAGGCTCGCATCCGGTTTTGTCAGGTGAATTTTTCCTGGTAAGGCTGTATTTCGCCATTTTAAACATCCTGGGCTTTTATCGCCTGTTTCAGGCAACTCGCACATTCACCGTCTCAAGATATCCTGGTGATTATTTCTGTAGGACCCACGGTTCATGTCCTGTGAATAGCCGCTTCTGCACGTCACTAGTGCAGCGAAGAACATCTCATGCTATGGTTAGCACATCAGGACTCTCTTGTTCGGCCGCATGCGATTAGCATAAGCTTCACCTGCTCAGCCTGGCTGAGCCTAGACCTCGACACAACAGATCTTGAGAATGCTACTGCGAACTCGAGTTTGCAAACTTAGCTCCTTTGGGCTCACCTACTACTCATGTTTCCAAAAGGACATAGAACTCAGTGGCGCGCAGGTGGCGCCAAAGCCAACTTGCTTCATGACTCGGTGAAACGGACAGCGATAAATGCAGTGAAACCAATTCTTGTCTGTATTTAAAAAGACGAATGTAGTCGCATGAGGAAGACCATGAATATGAAAGCAGATCGTGGTGTACGACAGCACCGTTTTGGCCCCCGCTCCGCACTTGGGAACTCCTGCTCACGAATCCTTCAGCGTAGGAAAGCACCGGTGGACTAAGGTATTAATTGCTTAAATCGCGTCGGGGCTGTAGAAGCGAACCCTCAGCTTGCAGTGGACCAACATACGATCCACTAACTTTTAACCCATCTATACATTAATATTTTTCACATAGGAAGGACCTGATAAGTGTTCGTGCGCTGTCGCCCTTAGGCGGCCGCTCGCAGCGCATTCCGCGACGCTAGCGGCCCTTATCGCAAAGATCGCCTAGATATCCAATCAGCCGCACATCGGCTTCATCTTACCCGTTTTCATCCTGCTGCGCTTGGACCTGGATGGCAAGTTAATGTGGAGGACTCAGGGCCCTCGTCCCTGTCGCGGCCTGCGCTGCTGTTCGACGAGTCCTTTAGTTATCCAACGGGTAAGAAGTCTGAATCGCATGACCAGCGTTTGCAGGTGCAGTACCCGGTTTGCGAAATTGCCTACAGGCTTTAAAATCCCAGCTGCACGACGGGCTTATCGGTGCGGATCTGCCTAGTTCTCATGCCGATTCGTCGCGGAGTGCTTTGGGGATCCCGGTCTCCTTACAGGTGCGCGAGCCTGGCGCCTTGAGCTGCAGACGTCAGAGGCGAGCGCGTACTGACGCGGGATGGAGTGGAAACGTTCAATATGTTTGCAACCCCACTGCATGCCTGCAGCACCTCCCAACGCGGCCACCGGAGATCCAGCATACGTTACCCCTTCATGGAGCCGCCTCGCACAGCGATGGCACCGATCTGCCGACGCTTCAGCTTCAGGAGCGGCCGGTGGCAGGCGACGGCGGAGAGTGCAGCTGTGATTGCGAACCCAGCACCAGCACTGGCGACCGGATCGACGATGGCTTGGCGGGCAACCGACGATGGCGGAGCCAGCATGTAATGAACAGCCGTGATGCCGCTGCCTTGACACGGCGGATAACCCACACGCAATCTGTTTCAGAACTGCATGAGGTGCTGCGGCAGTACCGGTCGAGACTTAACCCCATACACATTTCGGCAGCAATCGTGAAACTTGCTAAGTTGACAGCCGCCGAAGGCTGCCGAAAGAGGCCACGCCAAGGGCTGATGGCACGGCAAGTCCAGCAGCAAGGGCAGGAGCCGCCGGGCGGGCGTCAGGTGGTTGCGGCCGACTCCCTCACGGCAACGGGGCAGGAGGGAACAGAACTGAAGTCCGTGCATGCTCGTCATTCCTCGGGCGCTGCAGTAAATGTAGACATGGGGGGGACGCCGGCAGTCTTAGCAGACGCATTGCGGCGTGTGCGACGACGAGAAGACAACTGGGTTGATGAACTGGTCAGCAGCGGGAGCAGAACCAGCACCGGTGGCTTGAGCGATCAAGCCAGCGGAGAGCAGAGCGGGCCCGGGCTTGATCCAGATAATACCTTGGGCAGCCATGCTCCGGGCAGCAGCGACCACAACCCAGCGGCGAACGTCAGACTGCCGATGGCTCGTTCAATTGACGGACGCAGCTTTCAGCCTGCCAACGCAGACGTCCCCCTTGCCCATCCCCGGCAGGGACAGCGCACGGCTGCCTCCGCCAGCCCCCGGACAGCGCAGTCCTCTGCTGCCCTCCTGGCTGACCTGGTCTCCGGCTTCCTGACGCAGCTCCCCCACTACACCGCCCGGCAGTACGCCAATGTGGTGTGGGCCCTGGGCTCCATGGGCAGCCGGGAACACACTGAGCTACTGCATGCGGCAGCGGTGCAGCTGCAAGCACAGGGGGGCGCCAAGCTCTTTGCTGCTCCACCACAGGAGCTTTCCAACCTGGCGCTTGGACTGGCAAAGCTGGGGTATCGTGAGGTGTCGTTGTGGGGCGCCATCATCGCGGCGGGAAAGGCGCGTTTACATGAGTTCAAGCCACAGGAGCTGCACAACATGGCCTGGGCTGTGGCGGCGGCGAGCCAGGACCGCAGCATGATCTCAGCCGCCGTGCAAACTGCGCTGCCACAGCTCCGCCGCTTCAACGCGTCCGGGCTGTCTAATCTGTTGTGGGCATGCGCCACAGCGCAGTGCCACTGCGAGGAGCTGTTCGACGGCGCGGCGGCTGCGCTAATGGCGCTACCGCCTCATGAAATGAACTGCCAGGATGTGGCTAATACGGCCTGGGCATGCGCCAAGCTGCAGCACAACCACCCAGAGCTAATGGCGCATTTAGCCCGGTTGGTGCTGGCGGCAGCCGAGGCACCGGGGGCAACCGGGCTTCGGGGGGCAAACACTCAGGAGCTGGCTAACACGTTGTGGGCATTTGCGGTGCTGCCACTGCCGCTGTCTATGCCCCGTACTCAGGGAATGATCCAAGGGGGGGATGGTGTTGACGCTTCTGGGCCTGAGGGTATGGAGGGTGCTAATTGCATCACGCGAGGGGTGGGCGCCGCGGGTGGGGTTTGGTTAGGTCGAGATGATGCGGGTGTGGGGCTACTCGAGCAACCACAGCCGCAAAAGGCTGCACGCTGGCTGGCACCGCAGGCGTTGAGTTCCGGGCCCCCATCAGGAACTTCTGGCATGCCGGATGCAGTGGCAGCACTCGGGTCACAGGTGCGCGTCAGCAATAGCAGCATCGGTAGCAGCTATGTGGCCAATAACGGGTGTGGCGCCGCCGGCAATCACGGCGGCAGTGGCAGCAGCGGCTGCACATCCGGGTTGTTCGAGAGCGTTGTCCGGGTTCTGGTTTTGGAGCTCTCCCAGCGGCCGGACTTAACGCCGCAGGGGGCTTCCAATGCGCTGTGGGCGTGTGCGCGCCTGCAGCCCTTCCCGCTGCCCCCTGCCGGTGTGGTCGCCCTGACGGACGCCACCGCGCGCTGCTGCGGCCGCATGAACGATCAGGAGGTCGCGAACACGCTGTGGGCGCTGGCGGAGCTGCGCAGCGCAGGTCTGCACGTGCCCTACGGCGCCGCTGAGTCTATCTTTACAGCCGCGTGCGCGGCGTCTCGCTTGGAGGTGATGGCACCTGCGGGCCTGGCGCAGCTTATGCACGGGGCGGTTGCGCTGCGGCGGGTGCTAACGGGGGAGATGGACGTGCTGGCGCAGCATGTGCTGCGCCGCCTGGCGGCGGTGCGGCCGCAGGAGCTGTGCGTCATGGCAGTGGCGGTGGCGGAGGCGGTGCGGGTAGCAAAGTACTGCAACCCCATACTGCTCAACGGGCTGGCCAATGCTGCAGTGGCGTGCGTAGGCGAGTTGTGCCCGCAGGTGTGTGGCACAAGATAAAGACAAGCGACGGGGATGGTCCGGGACGCCAGAATGATGGAGGTGGTGGGATCGAGGGTTGAGGAAGTTTGGACGCCACGTGTGACTTTTGCATTTCTGAGTTGCAGGGATCGGTTTCCTATTACCAGGGAAGTTAGGTGCGGGGCGTCGTTCAGTGAGTGAATGGTTGCTATTGCTGCCAGCATTGTCACCGCTTTGCCGTACGCCTATTGTCACCGCTTTGCCGTACGCATTGTCATAACGCTCCGCAACTTCCTTTTTTCAACACAGGGCATCAGCACACTGCTCTGGTCTTTTGCGCGCGCGAAGCATTACCACGGGCCCCTGACTACCACCTTGTGCCGCGCGGCCAAGCCACGACTGGGGGAGTTCAGTGATATGGAGATCTCCAACTTGGTGTGGGCGCTGGCGATCCTGAAGTGCCAGGATCGGCAGCTGCTGGTGCAGGCGGCGCGCGTCCTGGTAGAGCGCGTCAGATTGCGGCGACAGCGCCGGGCAGCTACGCTTCGGCGGCAGCAGCATGCTGTTTCGCCGCAAGTGCCGCGTACGCCAGCGCAACAGCAGGAGGCGAGCGTCCGGGGCCAGTCCTTGATGTCGCTGGAGCAAACGGGTGGAGAAGTGGCATTGGAGGGCGACGAGGAGGACTTGGCCCAGCCGCGGGAGCAGCTCAGCCAGCTGCTACTGAGCGAGCGGACAGAGATGGCGCTGGCGTTGGCGTCGCACAGGCAGCAGCAGCGGCGGAGAAGACAGCAGCAGAAGCAACAGCAACAACAGCGGCAGTTCCAAGAAAGCGAGCAGCTGGGCTCGGAGACTGCGTCTGTGGGTTATCAGCAAGTGCGGGCTGAGGTGGCGACTGACAGTGAACGGAAAGGACTGACGGACACGAAGCTGTGGGCACGTGCCGGTTGGGAGGCGTACGGCCTACGACAGCAAAATGCCGCTGAGCCGGACGCTCCTGGGGTCGGCGTAGGCACCGTTCCTGAAGCTCTTGCGTATTCCGTTGGCGACAGTGGTTCCAGAACCGATCGCGGCAGCAGCAGCACCGTTGTGGCGGTCGCGGCTGTTTTACCAACTCATGCTTCTACAGCCGAACCGCTGCCGTCGCAGCCCGAGCCACGACTCCGGCTGCGTCGCCTGCCGTCTCTGTATCACCACGACGATGCCGACCTCGTGCTGCAGCCTCGCAGGCCGCAACCACGGGACAGTAGCAGCGAGGCGGGCGGGGTAGACAGCCACCGCCGCGGTGCCGCCGTTACCGTTGCGTCCATGCCGCGATGCACTGGGTCCTTAGACGCTGGCGGAGGCGGTCCCGGCATCCTGACTCAGCGCGCTGTTTCTCCCACGGATGACGCCGATCGCGATGTGTACCTGGGCGCTGCAGACGGCGGTGTCGGCCCTACGCCTTGCGATCACGCCAAGAGCATGGCGAAATTGCTCTGGTCCTACGCCAAATGCAATCTGTACAACCAATCACTCTTCCGGCTGCTAGTCCAGGAGCTGCTACCGGTCCTGCGCCACGCTACTCCCCACGAACTGGCGCAGGCGCTGTGGGCAGTTGCTTGCCATGGCCACCATTGCCCAGACTTTTTGGACGCCGCGGCGGCGCTTATGCTGCGGGGCCGGCTGCGGCATCTGTGCGCCTGGGACGCATCCGTGGTGGCGTGGGCATACGCCAAACTGAGGTATCCACACCGCGACTTGTTTGAGGCTCTGCAGGAGCATGCGCGGGTTGCGGGCGACAAATACAGGGAGCCGTGTCTGTTGCGGCTGGCATGGGCGTGTGCGACGATGGAGGTGCCAATGCAGGATGACCTAGTGCGGCGAGTGGTAGACCTGAAGCAGCAGGCGCGACGGCGTGCGGCACTGAGCAGCTACGATGGCGCAGACGGGGAGTTGCCGGCGGCAGTGGACGCTGCACGTGAAGAGGGGGAGGTGTAACGTTGGAGAGAGACGGGACGGTTTGGTAAGGGACAGGGCATGACGGGCAAGGAAGGGTTAGTGGGCGGACAGGTAACCGTTTCATCTGGAAAGGGCAAAAGGGTAGTCAACGCTTGTTGGGCAACGTTGGCGCAACAGGCGCTGGCAGTGGTGAGACAGCTCTTCGTTTGCCTCCGCTGTTGTAGATGCGTGTGTGTGTTTCGGTCAACCCCGGCCAGCCCCATTTGCGTCCCGGAACGTAGTCTTGCAGGATGTGGTTCCTTTGTCGGTGTCAGAAGGGAAGCCAGTCGTGAGCGGGGTCGAACAGCGCCTTACGATCATGACAATGACACAGCCCGACGTTTTGCTATCGAACGGTGCCTTTTCACCGTTTGGCATACGTTTCCGGCTCTCAGGTAAAGCAGCGGATAATGACGTGCTCTGCGCGGCGACCAAGAAAGGAGGAAAGATAATATTTAGGCTCTTTAAGGTTCTTGTCGAGCGGCTAGCGTGTGCCTCTTATGTGCTCAGTGCTCAGTGCCGCGCAGCACCCGAGGCCAACAAACGGTGCCTTTGTGACACGGTGCACCGGGGCATGATGGGGCCAGTCCTGCTCCGTGTTAGGTGTGCCTGACTGCATACAGCTAACCCATCCAAGGATTCTGTATTGATACCTGGATGGCACCACCGAGCGAGCTTGTAGTCGAGGGGTTTTTGTCCACCTGCGTTACGGTGTTGTGCTTACCCGGGACGGGGTGAGAAGGTCAGAGCTGTCCAATCATGGTGAATAACTCCTTGCTCCGGGTGTGTAGGTGTTTAGGTAGGGTCCAAAGATAGACAGGCCGTGCGCGTCCCAGGCAAGATGGCTATGGAACAAAAACGCTACAGGTTTCTGGTCTCAGCTGGTCTCGCTTGTCGGCTGGGTCTGCGTCAAGAGGCTAGGTGCTGGGTCGTTGTGGTCGTTGGGATTGAAAACGGCCAGCCTGGCATGGCATTGTAGGGGGGAAGGGGACATAGGGACATAGGGCCTGCATAGAGGTCGTCCTGCGAGCAGGCCTGTCCCCTTTATCTTGAGAAGAACGTAGAAGCAGAGCGCGTGTTTTTACAGTGTAAAAGAGCCTTGAGAGGTCGAAGCGAGGAACCGTCGGGAGTAACGAGATGTGCAGGTTTGAGCTGAAGTGCAGATGGAGCGCGGATCGTGCAGGTTTCCTGGATCCACGGTCATGTGGGTTGCTGTGGACCGTCCGGCTGTCCAGCTTATATGTGGAATTTTAATCCTTACAGGCATCTAAAATCTTTTCCCACAGCTCCATACTTCACGAAGTTTCTTATCATAGGCTTTGCGCCCGGAAGCCCCGGCGAGTCGTTACCGAACTCCGAAGGGGCAGATAGGAAAAGGTGGCAGTTGGACTCCCAAGGCCAGTCCTAAGGTGTATTCACCAGCGCTGGGGCTAAAAAGGAGGAATCGAGGATGGTACAAGTGGATCCTTATTTTCCCGTACTTTCCGTTGGTAGGTGGTCCGAACTTTTTAAAACACGGTTGCTGGCTGCACAGGCCTCACGGGGCCGGAATTCCGGAATTTGACCCCATGAATTCCCAAGCAAATCCGGGTCAAATCCCAACGGGATTTGTGGATTTGACCCCCAAAACAACAAACAATATAATGGTCATGCAAAGATTTCCTCGGGCCTGGAATTTGACACATTTGAGGATTTGAACCCCCCAAAACAATTATCATCATGCAACATGGCCATGAAAACAATTCCATGCGCAGCCGTTACAATATATTGCATATCTTCGAGCGGCATGTTATGCTCGTGCCAGTCAGTCCTCGCGCCGCATGCCTTCAAACATTTAGTTGGACTTTTACTATTAGAGTTATTCCTCCAAAGCCGGCGCTCACCGCAAAGAGCGATGTAGACAGCGGCGATGGACAACCCAGAGGTGCGAATTTACTTTTCAGCTTGGACGCCAAGGGGCCTCCACAGGCAACGGATTATGCATAGCGAAGATGTAGGATTAGCTCATCAAGATAGCAACGATGACTGCGTTATTATGCAGAAGTAATGGACCTTACGCGAGATGGTGCCGACCAACCCCCACTGGGACGCCGCCGACTGAATAACGGAGCCGCTGTGAGCACGAACAGGTGCTTATGCACATTGGAAGGTCTTAGTACGGTGCACAGGCTTGCGCGGGA